AACCCGGAGTGTATAGAGTTCATATATCAAGTTTCATTTCCATGTATGTTTACAGTTCACCATTGACAGTCGAGGTGGGTTAAGAGGTCATATACCAAGTTTCATTTTCATGTTTACAGTCTACTACTCACACTTAGATGATAACCATATATGGCAAGAGGAACATACCATATATGGTGCAGGGTGACTACCATATATGGCACAGGGTGACTACCATATATGGTGTAGGGTGGCCATTCAATGGAGCAGGGTGCATAGTAGTGCTATCACCCTACAGTCACCCTACACTATCTTATAGCATGTTCAGTGTAGCTTCAATTGGGTTTGCAAGAGAGTTGCCAATAATGAAATCCACATCACCCATGTCCCTGGGGCCGTCATTGTTGCCGACACCTTTATCATGCCAGTTGACTGGACTAGTCTCGCACCAGCTCTGGGCAAGTCTGATACATTGCACAAGCCCCGGAGTGCTTTCTTATATTAGTCCTAGTCCTGGCAATGATTTCTGCAGCCTTTATGGTTTCTCATGTCTCTTATACAGTCCTCTGACTTTGCGTTGTCATCATTACCACTCTCTTAGGTGCTCAACTGCCATCGAGCTAACTGTTGACACGACAAACCTGTTGTCGACTTTGCCACTGTCAAAATTTGCCTGGTCACGGAGTGTGAGAAGAGGTTCATCGGGGACATGGTGTCAAGAGCATTGACCGACTGGGTAGACATTGTACGCAATTGAGTAGGCGTCACTGCTCTCAGAAAATAGCTCTTCTGATGAAATCTCGCTTTCACCATCTGGGATGCTTGGGATCACAGAGGATGTAGGAGTTCCATGAACCAACAACAATGGTGAGTTGCAGAAGACGTTGGGGAATGACTGGACACTAGGCAAAGGCTGCTGCGACAGAGATCGGTCATGAAGACATTGGAGATGATGACTGGACTTTGGATGGCGTAACCGGTGCCCTATAATACAGAGACAAGATGGCTCAGGTGAAAGCTCCAAACTAGGGTATGGAGGTCCTGGGTTCGATCCCAGTCAAGTTATTTAGACTACTTTTAGTAATGATCATCTTTAGATGGTTTAGACAGTTTGATATAAAATTGCACCTTAATAGGTTGATGTAAATGAAGAATCCTGCATCCACAGAAGTCAAGTGTATTCTTAGGTCTTGAATGGATTCAAAACATGTAATCCAGTAGTATAAAATCGAAAATGATTGACTATATCCCTGGTATGCATCCTTCCTGTACGCGGATCCACTCATTTCCATATACAAATGTGGACAACTCAAGCCGGACTCGAGGGCATTGACCAATAATGACAACGCCATCGCGCACAAGCCCAGTTCGAAAGATTTCTGGTACCCAAATGAGATGCTTGTCATTGGGTCCCACTAACCAGCCATCATGATCAAGACGGTGCTGCTGATATGTAATGCAAGCTATACATATATGAGTACATTCATCAGGAAGCTAACACTACTACCGAGCCACCTGCTGCACTATTTGAAATTCTGCAATTTTTCTGTCACCGTCACCAGAAACAATCCTGTGACTGTCTGGCGAGAAGGCGACAGACAGACCGCATTGGTATGTCCTCGAGCGCGGGTCCAAGCGGTTCGCCCGTCTCTGCATTCCATACCGCACTGTCTTGTCTCAGGATCCAGAAACGATCTTGTGACCGTCTGGCGAGAAGGCAACAGAGGAGACCGCATCGGTATGTCCTCGAGCGCGGGTCCAAGCGGTTCGCCCGTCTCTGCATTCCATACCTGCACCGTCTTGTCCTGGATCCAGAAACGATCTTGTGACCGTCTGGCGAGAAGGCGACAGACCAGACCGCATTGGTATGTCCTCGAGCGCGGGTCCAAGCGGTTCGCCCGTCTCTGCATTCCATACCGCACCGTCTTGTCCCAGGATCCAGAAACGATCTTGTGACCATCTGGCGAGAAGGACAGAGAGGTGGTCCGCATTGTGTCCTTGAGCGCGGGTCCAGCGGTTCGCCCGTCTCTGCATTCCATACCCGCACCGTCTTGTCCTCAGATCCAGAAACGATCTTGTGACCGTCTGGCGAGAAGGCGACAGACAAGACCGTATCAGTATGTCCATAAAGTGAACCAAGTAATGGAGACCATGTTTGATACCCCCCATCAAGAATGGCCAGTGTGGATGGATATTGAGGGTGGTAATGTCTTCTCACTTCAGAGCAATTTGGAGAGAAAGGTACAAGAAAATGTAAATATGAGGAGCGCTCATGGATATCACGTGGCCAGAAGTGGACAGCCAAATTGACACATATCCTCTCCTAAAGCTACTAGCTCTTCTCATTGGTTCTCTTTGACCTGTCAGCAAGAAAAAAAAAAATATATTTACAAACCCTGCCTTCAGCCATCTGTCAGGTTGCAGAGAATAGATTGTATGCATCTGTAAATTCACATAGGCTGCAAACTCGAGCCAGGCTAGAAATCATGTGAGAAAGTGTCGGACAAGAGCCATTGTCTCATCATTGAGAGGCAGAGAACCAAATGATCGGCCCAGTAATGATATTATTTCAATGTGACGGAATGCAATCTTCAATGGATGTGATTGTCTCAAACTCTCGACATTGAGTTGGTCGGACGATGGGGATGCCAATGTTGAACTTTAGATTGTTCTTCATCACCTGCAGGCACTGGTTGGCAATGCTTTGCTCACAGATAGACGTCGTTAAACTGAATTCTGGTGCATCTTGCTTGTTCCCGAGCAGGAAGTCGACAAACGATTGATGTCGGAATCGAAGTGGGCCTTCTTGATCCAATACTGAGCGAAGTCCGTTGCAAAAGTTCTCCAATATCGACTGCTTCAATGAAAGGAGTTTAGCCAATGTCGGGAGAGATAATGGTTCCTTTGCCACAATAATCGCGCCAAGCATGGCGAGCAAACGATCCCGCTCTTCTCGCCATGTCTCTCGAGACGCAATATGCAGTACTTGCGCATAGAGTTGGCCGAGATGATTCTTCCTTCACCCCGTCAGACTTCTCAAGTCGATCCTCCGGAGGCCAGCCGATCAAGTCCACCACTGTTGTAGCCCAGATGAACAGACCACTCGCCTTCTCCGTCAACTGATCCAGCTGTTTGGGTCCGGGCCACTCTGGTCCCAATGACGGATACTCAGTCGCAATTGACTGCAGCTTTAGACTCAAGACGGCCTGTATATCGGTTTGTACTCCCTGGTCTGCTTTTGCCTATTTTTAGCTCAATGGCTAGTGGCTTATTCCGTCGATCCTACCGAGGACGTTTACGATGTCCGTCTCTTCACGACTGGTGACGATGAGCTTGAAGCTAGATGGAAGCTGGACCAACAGATCAACGTCTGCATCAGGCTCCTACGATCGACAGACGACCGACCCTCAATCCCACCGCACTCGTCGAGTGCATCGACGACGACCACTGGAGAAATTTTCAAGGGGGCTACTAATTTTCGATAGCGGTTCCGTAATTAATTGCAGAAATAGATCGGTGATACTGGATGTTGACAAGTCGATTGTTCCTTTTTCATTGCGCTGCAAAGATGCTTTCGGACGGTTGGGACGTGCCAAGTCGTATGCAACGTTACGCCAGAGTGCATCTGTCGTACGAGTAGTACTTTCTGACGACGAAAGAAGAAGCTTGAGCCGAGTCGCTTCTTCTGATCTCTGTAGGTCTACAAGACTGGATGCAATGGCTGTTTTCCTGCTCCAGGTGCGGCTTTGATCCAGAGGATGTTGGGTGCTTCACGGTTTGCCACCCATTCCTGCATATGTGGAGTACATCACGCGTTCCTGGTTGACATCCTGAGGGCCGTTTGTATTCGGGTCCTCGCAGCCTGCCCAACACGGCGGCATCCGCAAACTCTGTCACGGCGACAGAGACATAGAACGTAAGAGAGCGCTACTCAAGGCCTGAATACTGTGCAAAGAAGAAAGTGGGAATCAGATACGAGTATTTTGATTCCGCAGCCTTCAAACGCTTTTCGTAGGTGCTGATTATATCCGTTTCCAGCTTGCTTGTGCCACTGCGCTTCACAAACATCTTCAAGAGCCCCTCTTTATTCTCGAAATTGGTCTTGTTGATGTCAGCGTCTTCGCACACGTCGGCAAGCAGTTCCTTGAGCGTACTAAGGCGGGTGAGATGCATTCGTGCCGGGTTCGTCTACGTACGCAATGTAGTTTGCAATCGGGCCTTTGACCGAGTCATCGACCACGTCGTTGATTCCAGGCTGGTTTAGTTGGGCATTGAATGCACCGATTTGCATCTGAATGGTTTTGGCGAGTTCATTCCAAGCAGATCTGCCGTTATTGAAAGCCTCAATTGAGTGAGGAACGATCACATACTAATAGTGGTAGCTACATACCTGGATGACCTCAAGGACGGTCACTGCGCCCTCACAAGCGCCTTTGAGCGGTGCAAGACCAGCCGCATCGGCAGCACTCTTGGTCAGATTGAGAATGAGCGCGGCTTGAGCGAGCCACTTTTCCGTATTCGATCTACGAACTCGCTCATGGACCCGCGGCTCGCTCCCTGGTCCCGCTTCACCAGTGATATCGTTTTTACTTTCGCTTTTGATAACATTGGTGTTTGTCTCGGCGATGTTTGGGGCGCCGATGTTGCTGGATTGACCCGCAGAGGTGGTTACGGTGGTCGGGATCGAATCCAAAGGTCTTTCTGGTGCATCTGAAGTGCCTTTCTTCTTCTCTTTCTTACGAAAAAGTTTAGGTATTATCTTCATTTTGTGCGAGGTATCAGCCTGAAAAGATGGAGAACAAGGACCAGGCGCCGGCCAGTCTCTAGTGCCTCTGCGGGTTGGAACCTGACAGCCGGTCTGTGAACCATCAGCTCGGTTCCAGGGTTCATGAACTTAGTTTCACACGTAGTAGGCGTACGATGGTTATTTAGGGACTGCTCAAGTGAACGTGGGATGACCTCGAACCCGAATCCAAGAGCCTTTCTCACCTGACAAAGACATAGCTCGTCCCCGTGGGTCTCTGCGCAACCCATAAACGCCTCTGTATACGGCAACGGATAGCGCAAACGCGTATGCAGCGCCCTGAGCCCGACCTCGGTCACGGGTCCTCACCCGGGTGTAATCGTCCCGTTGCACAACCATTAGGCATCTACCTGTAGGCTCATACTGCGCATGGAACTCGAGCGTGTTGAACAACCCTGTGCCAAAATCCTTGAGTCGGCCCCATTTGTCCGCGTACAGCTCATCGCCCTGGATCCGCGTCGTCTCAAGCATGCGTCCGAATCGAGCGATACCTGCCGACACCAGAATTTTATATGTGAGCTGTTGAGATCGGATCAGAATAGAACGACGTACCAACAAGGTGGTGATTTCGTACTTGGTCCGTTCCATCGCTCGGCCAAATCCCTGGGCGGCAACCTACCTGGTTGCGTTGACGAGCGGGTTCAACGTGGATAATTGGTGTTCGGGACGATGTTGCCGGGACATAGACTGACCGACAACTCGCTGCGGACAACATGAGTCGCAAATTCAAGCGCCGAGGCGCAGCTTGAGCGGAGGGATGAGGATTGGAGACCAAAATAACAGCCATTTTACACGCAACCACGTCCATCTTTCCCATCAAACGCGTCATACGCGAACCAAGTCTACCTGTGGCTCGCTACCAAAGGTTTGTCCCCGTCGTGCGTGATGAGACGGACCAAGAAAAGCTGATGTCGTCGAATTTTTCTCACGGTATGGTGCGACTACCTTTTTCCTGGCAGGTCCAAGGTCTGGTGCATTGAAGGAGCCAATTTACGACTATACTGATACTCTGCACCATGGCTCTACAGGTCCAAGATCATGTCCAAGCACTAGTCGTCCGGCGCGATGATCTGGCGCACGAGATTTGCGTCGACTCGACCAGTTGATCCGGACTCGCTTTCCTGGGTGCTATGGACACTAATCCCAGGAACATTCAAACGCTCTTTCTCAGTCTGGCTATGGCATCTCGCGAATAGCAACGAAGCTCACGACATCGGCCGCTTTCGAGCGTTTGATGATGAGGACAGTCCTGGTGGAATCAGGCGATTCTTGCTCCATCTGGAGAGAGTTAATATCAAATGGTTGCAGCGCCAAACCACTGACCGGAATATCGTGACCGGCTGCACGACCACAAGATTGGGAGCACGACATCATGCCTTGTGCTTCTCTGGGCAGACGAGGCACCAATCGTGTTTCGGCATCACGTGGAAGACATGACCGACAAGAAGTCTATCAGTTTCCTGTCAACGACACTCAGAAGTACGAAGGTTGTTGGGCCATCTTGCGAAGGTCAGACGATTGATAACTTTCAGAGAGTGCATCTGACACTCGGACAAACAGCTTACAATATGCGCCATGCACACTAAACCCGCGAGATTTCGAAGATACCGACCTGCCGTGGTGGGGACTCACCTATGGCGGCCATCTTTACATGATCATTGCCATTGCGTACACACAGGATGGGCAGGTTCATCTTTATCCGAACTCGATTATTTTCCGACGATCAACATGTACGACGAAGTGCTGCCTGTGGACCCCAATACTTACATGCTCCTGGACAATCTGAGCATGCAACATGAAGAAAGAGTCTCCGTGACGCGCTCACAGTGCAAAGTTCACCTCTTCGGATCGCTGGTGCTCTCAGACCGCTTCATCCGATATACTGGCACACCAGAGTGCGGAGCAGTAGCAGCGTCTATCACAACCGTTGACGATATTTGCTCGGTGGCTCATCCAACCCCAGAAACGGACGTAGAGGCTGCTCGACGAATTGGATTGGTATTGCACCTCTTCGGCCTTCTGAGTGCTGCAATGTCGCGGACTCTTCCAGGCCAAGACGGGCATGGGCCCATTTTGATGATTGTGGTACCACTCTCCAAACGCTTGACGGTCTTGCTCTCAAGGACAGGTCAGAGCCGCCGCTCTTTTCAACTCACCAACCGCACCTTTAATCTACGTGTCTAGGCTGCAACTCTATCACGCGCAAAAGCCATGTCTGATTGGAGACTTCGTCGGGAGATGGCTGGATGGGGGCGACGTGGAAGGAACTCATACAGACGGAAAAGGAGATGGATGCCCTCATCCAGCCTTGCCTCTACTTTGCCCTTTTCGCCCTCGTCGTTGCTGCGCTGGAGCACCAGCGCACACACTGCGTCCTATGATCTCGCTTGTAGCTCATCTACTCTATTCGTGTAGTGGATTTCCTTGGAGTCGAGCATGTAGCTCGTATTTATCTTGTAATATTGTAGGCCGTGCTTAATCCATTTCTTCGGACCAATAATAGTTTGTGAAAGATATTACAAAACCCAAGGGTTGGTAGCTCAATGTAACAACCGAGGATGTCTCCTCGTCACACATCGTAACTGCACCCGTGACACTTCATTACCCACTCCATACCACATTTATTACCCTTCTCTTCATAGCCTCCATTGCATATACCTCATAGCGACGGCCTTAGCACATGCTTAGCTTCCATCGTTCTTTCCTCGTTCCAATGTTTACCTTGCTATATAAGACTCTATGTAAATGTCTTAACTAGCAGACTCTTTCCTGTACCTCCCACGTCGATACCCTCCGTCAATAAACAGGTTTAGATGGTGAACTCATCGCCCCAGCTAAGCATTACTCACTTGGCCTGGCATATAGCTCTCTCGTACTGGTGAGTTCTCCCTGTGAACCTCACACTCAAGGACCAGTTCTCAACCAGCAGAGACTGGCCAGCGTCTAATCCTTCCATCCCTGTCTTTTCACATCGATATTCTAAAATATGAAGGAACTTCAAATGGACTCGTGAAGGAGAGGAGAAAAGAAAAATACTCAGATTTACATACAGCGCCTCCTTGATTCAACCTGACTGCCGTGACCACCGTCGCTGAATCTAACATGCCGCTGCTTCAAGCATCACAGATACGAACTCTGGTCTTCTAAATTGAAAATTAGAAAGGGATGTTGAAGGTTTACCCTTTGACTCTTAGCGCTCACTAAATAGACTTAGCCAATAGTAATATCGTCGTAACTCATTAGGGACGCGGGACGATGCGGCCGGACCTTACTGGTCTTGCCTCTCACCTCACGCGTCCTAGGTTTGCCACACTATATACTGGTCTTGCCTCTCACCTCACGCGTCCTAGAATCAACGGAATCAACAGGTTATGAGCCTCTTGTTGCACTAAGGATCAAATTTACCAGTAATCTCGCCTCCGCGCACCCACTGCTACACAAACATGTCTACAAAAGATTTCAGTGCGATCCCAGTCCTCACAACGGGCAACTACCTCGCATGTTCAAAAAAGATAGATGGATATTTCACACTCAACAACCTCTTACAAACAATACGTCGCCGATAATGCTAACGAATGGAAACGCCGCGCAAAACAGGCCTCCGCAGCCATCACACTCACTGTCGATGAGACCAACATGAGCCAGATCCGCAAACTCAAAAGGGATCCGGTCGCAATGTGGAATAAACTCGAGTCTATTCACAATGCAAAGACATCAGCAACCCGCTTCAATGCGCTTGAGGCATTCTTCACCAAGACGAAGACCGAAGGAGAGCCTTTGGCGTCGATCACAGCCGCCACCAATGCCCTCGAGGAGCAATTTAGATCACTATGGACGACAAATTACGATGTAGACGCACTACTAAACGACCTCGCTATGATGTCGAGCCTCCGCATGATCCCGCCTGAATCGATTCACGTCCGAACTTCACTACTCTGCCAGCCAAATCTCACCGAGATGTAATAGATGCAGCTCGTCAACGAGGACAATCAGCAGCGCAGGAACTCGCAGCCAGCCATCGCACTCCGCAGCCACTTCCCAGCCCATTGCTTATCGGTACACCTGCCACTCACGACCAAAGCCCACGGCCGCTGAACGCACGCCAGGTGCCACATGCGATCATTGTGGCAAACGGAACCATACAGCTGCTCAGTGCTGGTCGAAGCTGAAGCGACTCGTCGCAAGCAAGAGGCCGCACGTGTTGCCAGCACTACAGACGGATCAACTACTGTACCAAATGCTCATGCCGCTCATGCAAGGGCCCTCCCCTTACCACCTACGGCTAGATCTGACCTGAACGCCGACACAGGGGCTACTCGGACAATGATAAGTGACGAAAGTTACTTTACCATGCTCCACCCCTTGGTCAGGTCGATCAAACTGGCCAATGGTGAAAGGATCTTCTCCACTGGAGAAGGGGACGTTGTGTTTCAGCCGTGGATAGATGGTTACTTTAGTTCTGATCTCGTTACTTTCCCTAATGTCCTCGTTGCTCCCGACTTACAATCGAATCTCGTCTCAGTTCTCTCAATGGCACGCAAAGAAGGATATGACATTCGCATTAATTCGAAACAAATGGAGTTCTACCTTGATGTTAAACTCCGAATGACAGCTCGTATTGATGACAACTGCGTTGCTTACCTCAACGGACGAGTTCTCACGTCGGAGCAGGCACATATCGCGAGTACACTCAAGCTGGACCGAGAGCTGTGGCATCGCCGCCTTGGTCACTTTCACCAGGACGGAGTCGACATATTAATCCGCCATAATCTGGTCAACGGGCTCAAGCTGGACTCAAATGCAAAGCCAGACCCTATATGCGCCCCGTGTATTGCGGGCAAGCAAACCGAGCACCCCATACAACGCCAGCGACTCACGCCACCACTCCATTAGACCGGTCTTTATTGATTAAAAGGCCCAGTCAATGTTGAGTCCATGCCACACCGTGCCAAGTACTGGATGGCTATGGTAGATGACGCATCTAATTTGTCACGCTCACTCCTTCACTCGAAAGATGGAGCATTCAGGCGTTCCAAGAGTTCCACAAGCTCGCTGAGAATCAGACGCACCAGCGCTTTGGTACTGCGAGATGATAAAGGCGGCGAGTTCAGTGGCAAAGAGTTTGATCAGTACTGTATCTCCGCTGGTATTACAAGAGAACGCACCATAGTGGCAACACCGGAGCAGAATGGACGAGTCGAGCGAGCAAACCGATGGATAGCAGAAGGGACAATCACTAAACTTACAGAATCAAACCTTCCACCATCTTTTGGGGTCTTCTGCACTTGCCACTGTCCATGAGTTCAACCGTGCCCGAGTTCACAATGGGAAACCCGTATGAACATTGGCATGGTGAACCTCCAAGTGTTGATCACCTTCGAATATTTGGATGTCTTGCCTATGTCTTCATTCCAAAATCGCAGCGTGATGCCTCGACTCGCACACTGACAAGTGTATCTTCGGTATCCATCTGACCGCCCTGGCTGGGTGTTCTGGAACCCGCAGACACGAAAGATTATACACAGCGACAGTGCTGTATTCGATGAGAGAGTCTTTCCAGGCACTTCGTTTGCAAAGGAATCGATTCCGAACCTCTCGACTACATCCAGCTGCCAGATCTCGAGGAAATCAACGCCTCTCCATCATCCATTCCACCTCCAAAATACTCACCCTCCTGTTACGTTGCAGGGCGACCTGTACCTGCACCTATTCCTCACGAGCCTGCCTCACGAGCCTGTCCCCCACCCACACCAGAGCCAGCACACCTAAACCCGCAGCCCCACAGCGCCTGAGTCGCGAACTTTGAGCACTCACTGATCATACCACTTTCGAGAAGGTCCTACAAATCTCCCAGCTCGACGACACACAATTGCGCGGCAGCCAGGCACCTTGACTGAATCTGACTCGGACCTGATTAAATGAGAGCTCTGACGAAGATAATGTCCAATTAGCTGCTGAAGAAGCGTTCTTACCCTCAAATTCCATCTCTCATGTGTCAACTAAGACTCGACGCTGGAGACCTAAGCCGAATTTCGAAGCGCCTGATCATATCCTCATTCCCATTGCTGATGGCGTCGAAGCTGCCTTAAACACATCTACAAGCCGCGAGCCAACAACACTAGGAGAAGCTCTGAAACGCCCTGACGGCGACAAGTACGTCCAAGCGGCTATAGAAGAGGTCAGAGCTCACCTGGAAAACGGCACGTGGAAGCTTGTGCGACTCCCACAAGGCAAAAAGGCTATCGGCTCACGTTAGGTATTCAAAATCAAACGTGATGCTGACGGGTCTATTAGCAAGTACAAGGGACGCATTGTGGCCAAGGGATACGCACAACGAGAGGGAATCGACTACACAGAGACCTTCGCACCAACAGCTCGCTTTGGTGCCCTTCGCACCATCATAGCACTTGCAGCACTTGAAGACTGGGAGCTAGAGTCAGTAGACATATCAACCGCTTTTCTCAATGGTGAGATTGATGCAGAAGTCTACATGAGAAAGCCAGAAGGAGTCGAGTTCGAGGGCTATGAAGGCACGAGCTGGGTTTCAACTCTCAAGGTCCTCTATGGAATCAAACAAGGCCTCGCATCTGGTCTGTGAAGCTACACACTGTCCTATCAGAAATTGATTCAAACGTCTCGAAAGCGATCACAGTGTCTTCATCTATGAACGCGACAGTGTGAAGATCATTGTACCAGTCCATGTCGATGACTTACTGCTTGCATCAAAGTCATCCGAAGCCATTCAAATGGTGAAGGATGAGCTCAAAGCACGCTTCAAGATCCATGACCAAGGCCCTACCTCATTCCTACTTGGTGTCAAGCTCGAGCGCGATCGCCAATCCCATACCATCTCTCTCTCTCAGCCTGTGTACATCGAACAGATCCTCGAAACCTACGAAATGCAGGACTGTAATGGCACCGACACGCCTATGGCTGAAAAGCCACTCCTCTCGACCAAGGATTCATCACAAACTGAGCAGGAGAAGTTGGAAATGTAGAATGTACCCTATCGAGAGGCCCTTGGAAAGCTCATTTACCTCGCCACTGCCACTCGACCAGACATCTCATATGCCGTGGGGGTGCTCTGTCGGTTCAGCGAGAATCCTGGACGAGCACACTGGCTAGCTCTCAAACGGGTATTGCGATATCTCCGCACAACAACGAAGTACAAGCTCACCTACGGCCTCAAACCCAACTCCGACGAACTGTTCACGACGCATAGTGATGCCGATCTGGGTGGAAACGCTGGTAATACCCGCTCAACAGCCGGTTTTGTCATGTCAATTGGTGGCGCTGTAATGGAGTAGCCGACTCCAGCGCCATACATCACTATCATCAACCGAGTCGGAGTATACAACAGCCTCCACCACCGTGTGCGAAATGATCTGGATGCGGTCGTTCCTTGATGAAATTGGCTACGACATTGCGTCCTATCCATCCACCCTATTTGTTGACAACGCCTCTGCCATTCAAGTTGCTGCAAGAACCCAGAACATCAGTCCACCATGAAGCATGTTCACCGTAGCTTCAACTGGATTCGCGAGAGAGTTGCCAATAATGAAATCTGTGTTGCTCATGTCCCTGGAGTCGTCAATGTTGCCGACATCTTCACCAAACCACAGGCCGCATCAAGTTCGAACAGTTTGTCAAATGCTCGGTCTGATTCTCACCTCATGCCCGTACTCAGTCCATGAGCAAAGTCACAGGGTCAGGGGTCGTTAAAGGTTTACCTTTGAATCTTAGCGCTCACTAAATAGACTTAGTCCAATAGTAATAGCTCACGTCAACCAATGTATTTAGGGACGCGGGACGATGCCGCCGACCTTACTGGTCTTGCCTCTCACCTCACGCGTCCTAGAATCAACGGAATCAACAGGGGGAGAAAAGGGATGGTACAGTGCCAGTTATTTGGCTGATGAGACCAGGATTATCAGGCTAGGGCAGAGAAGACCCCAATTATTGCCTTGACTGCTACCATGAGCATTCAATCAGCGCCAACACTTGCAGGACCATGACAGGCGTGCCTAAAACATCAATTTGCATTGGTTATTATCTGAATTCAGATAGATTGCATTTAAGGTCGTAATTTGTAATACATCATGAATCTGGTTAAGCGATGGGCACATGGATCGGAAAATTTTGCAAATCAATGATCATGACCATGACCCGTCCATCCCCTCATTGCCAGGGCAATTATCTGGCATTTGGTGAGCAATGCACCCAAAATTCATCAGGTATCCTATATATCTACGGTATGGACAACAAGCAGACCAAGCTCCTGACTGGCGTGAAGTCAGAGCTACTGTGAATTGCTTGAGGCTGGGCTTGACAGTCCGACAAGGAAATGAGTGTGGCTGAAGTCCATCCTGGGAGACATTGAGTGCCGTTTCATTATCCAGATGTAGGTGAGTGTCCATCCTGGGAGAAAGACAAATGGGGGCAAGGTGAATTGATGTGTAAGCAGGCCCCAAACTTGAAGCAAGGCAATGTCCCATAGGCGTACAGTGCATCCCCAGATCCACCTGATGCAAGACGGAGCCCATCTGGCGAGAAGGCCAGACACGAGACATAATAGGTATGTCCTTTGAGCGTCGCAAGGCTTGCACCGGTGGTCCCATCCCATAGGCGTACAGTGTAATCCTCAGATCCAGACGCAAGACAGAGCCCGTCTGGCGAGAAGGCCAGACACGAGACATTATAGGTATGTCCTTTGAGCGTCGCAAGGCTTGCACCGGTGGTCCCATCCCACAGGCGTACAGTGCAATCCTCAGATCCAGACGCAAGACAGAGCCCATCTGGCGAGAAGACCAGACATGGGACAATCCCAGTATGTCCTTCGAGCGTCGCAAGGCTTGCACCGGTGGTCCCATCCCATAGGCATACAGTGTGATCCCCGGATCCAGACGCAAGACGGAGCCCATCTGGCGAGAAGGCCAGGCACGCGACAATCCCAGTATGTCCTTCGAGCTTCGCAAGGCTTGCACCGGTGGTCCAATTCCATAGGCGTACAGTGTGATCCCCGGATCCAGACGCAAGACGGAGCCCATCTGGCGAGAAGGCCAGACACGAGACGATCTCAGTATGTCCTTCGAGCGTCGCAAGGCTTGCACTGGTGGTCCCATCCCATAGGCGTACAGTGCGATCCCAGGATCCAGACGCAAGACAAAACCCGTCTGGCGAGAAGGCCAGACACGAGACATCCCCAGTATGTCCTTGGAGCGTCGCAAGGCTTGCACCGGTGGACCCATCCCATAGGCGTACAGTGTGATCCCCGGATCCAGACGCAAGACGGAGCCCATCTGGCGAGAAGGCCAGACACGAGACAATCCCAGTATGTCCTTCGAGCGTCGCAAGGCTTGCACCGGTGGTCCCATCCCATAGGCGTACAGTGCGATCCTCAGATCCAGACGCAAGACGGAGCCCGTCTGGCGAGAAGGCCAGACACAAGACGTAATAGCTATGTCCTTTCAAAGTTTGGTGTGAAGGCCAATGCTCTGATGGTCCTCCAGTGATCTTTGGTAGTCGATCTGAAAACCTGCTCTGGTACATTGTCCACAGTTGTGACTTTCGAGGGAGGAATAGTAGCCCTGACAAGTAGATATCCAAGGCACTCCTCTCTAGTGTCTTTTGATTCCTCTGTACAAGTCTAACTATATCACGGCATACCTATTGTTACCACGGTTAATTGACATATCATATATAGCACTAGCTCACCTCAACTTCATCGCCGAACCTTTGTTGTGCACAACTTCGCCGTATCTCTTCAAAATTTCGAATAAGATGCATGTGACCCATCAAGCTTAACAGCTCCACGAGGTACAAAATTTGGCTTTCTAAAAACCTTCGCAGCGGCTGGACCACATGTTCCTCCATTACGACAGTGGATGCATGATAGCCCCAGTACTTTGCCGCATAAGGTAGTGCCGGACAACTTGTCCATAATCGTTCCAGACGTTCATCCAGATCCATGACGTCCGTATTCCTTGGATATGGTTCATTCGGCACGGAAATGCCGCAAATGTCCTCCTTCAGATCCTTCTGAAGCACTGTGAGGACAGAGATACAAGTCTGATTGCATTGCTGTCGACTCGAATGGCATATCCACGTTGTATGGACTAAGAAGGTATTCTCGAAACGTCGGATGTAGAAACTCTACCACAGTCTTCACCCGAAATACACTTTGCATCGACCCTAAGATCGGCTCTAGCTCAGAGTCTGCAATCCCAGTTATTCTCCAGACCTCTGTCGACACCGCTCGAACAAGGTTAGGATAGTGCCCATAATCTTGTATGGTGCCGCTGGACGGCTCTCGTCGTAGTCGACGAAGGATGCTTGTATAGACCTGGTTAATATCGCCGCCCTCGCCTCGCGTCAAGAGTGATTTGAGAGTCGCGCCAACTGCGGCCGGACCTTGAGCCTGTCGTAGCTCAAGATGTGCTGTCGTGATCCAGATGAAAAGTCCATTCGAGCGTTTTACAATCTGCCAGCGCTGAGGCTCAGTAAGCAGGTCAACGAGATGTACGTCGACGTAGGCCCTAATATCATCCAAGTTGGACTGCTGCTCTTTGCCATGCATCTTGAAATGCATTCCACGTACAATTGCTCTACCCTGGAGTATCGCGGTGATGTCTGGCTCTGGCCGGCTCGTTATAAAGAGTTTGAGTTTAGGCATCAATGGAAGCTTCTCAACAAGTAGGTTAATCAACTCTCCCCTCATCTCCTTGTTGCACTCATCCATTGCGTCAATCACAAGGACAATATTCGTCGTTGCAAGTTGCAAGGGTTCTTCTACGAGTTTAGTGAACTGATGGCGCAGTCCTCGTATGAGAAGGTGAGGATCTTCTTCTTTGATCACCTTTATTTGCTTTAGGATTGCCTTGTTTCGAGCACCGATATCTTCCGCAATGACGGAGCAGAAATCATCCGTCTCTGATGTCTGTCGAGCATTCTTCGAAAAGAAGAATCGACCAACCAGAACACCTTCGGCATTATCCCACTCCTCGCACATCGTCAACGTGACTGTGGACTTGCCCGATCCGCCAACGTCGCAGAGCCAAAAAATGCGCTTGTCCGCGTTGGGGTCCAGGCGCCAATGTCGAACTTCCTGCAGAATCGATACGCGTGTGCCTGGTAGACACGTCTTGTGCTGAGTCCCCATTGGACGAGGCTTTTCGGGCCCCAGTCGGGCTACTTTCCATACTATGGAAAATCACTACGAGTCGGAGAGCGATGTGAATCGAGCGAACCTTCTGCTTGCAGCTGAATTTGATAGAGCTTGGTCATATCCTATTGCGAATAGCTCAATATGAAACTGGCTTCGCATGGTATTCATACCTCGAATACGCGCGTAGCTTGTAAGATTTCCTGTTTGTATTCTGCAATATTTCCTGTGTTCATCTTGGAATCCGTGATCTTTCTGAAAAATCCATTCATGCCTTGATCTCTGCTGTGCTTCAACTCGTTCATTCTGGCGAGTATGCCTTTCAGAGTTCTACAAAATATCAGCCAGACATTCAAAAGCTCGATCTCGGGTCCTACGCAATGTAATCCTCATGCGTTGTTAAAACTTGAGCGCTTGGGCATTTGTCCATGCGTCTCATCCTCGACAGCCTGGAGATATCCTTCATCCAAGATGGATATATGTGCTTCAAGACTATCCCTGAGTATTTGAGTCCTTTGGTGTTCTCGTTTTGGTCTACGGCGTAATCAGATAGAAACTCAGTAGTGATGCTAAGCGTGTCGTACCCTGGTTATCTCAAGGAATAGAAGGGAAATCTCGCAAACTGCTTTGAGAGGTCCCAGAAATGAAGTAGCGTCGGTCCCCGCCCTGACAAGCTTGACGACCTCGATGAGGGTATCCCGTGTTCGCTGATAAGCAATGTCTGGGTCATGAGCAGTGTATTTTCCTGAGGAATCCGAAGGAGTCGAATCTGAGTTCCTTTGGCTTTTCGGCGATGCATTGTGGTATGCTCGAAGCTGGCGGATACCACGTTGATCGCGTATGTTTGCCCAAAGCGCTATGCTGGCGCTTGGCCCCGGCGTCCAAACGCGGGTGCATAGGAATCCCGGCCATCGCCGCCATCTCGGTATTTGCATCTCAGTCATCTCGGTGGCTGGTTAACATGACAATGGTTGCCCAATTGTGGCTATAATCAAATGAGGGCTGGCAGCATGAAGGGATAAAAACAGCCCTGATTAGGCAGCTCCCTGCTGACGGCTCCCGAGGAGTCCACGAGTGCGGCACAAGGAGATTGGTTTTAACATTCCGATTCTGTTACACCCTCCGACAATGTGTTCACTGTTAGTAGTTCAGTCCGTGAGTAGGCTCTCGTCTTTGGGCCCCTGCCCAGTAGCGCAGAGAGAGGGATATTGCCATGATACTCCTCCTCGGCTTAGTCCCCTCAATCTACATGCCTATTTTTCAACAGGCTGGTCCGCTTCCTTGCTTATGGGTGACGGGCTGATGGGCGTCCAGGAGTAGGAAGCGAGAAAATGAACTACAGTGTCGCCAACTAGCTTTTCGCGACATGGCCACCAAAGAACAGTTTAGCTACTGGAGCCTTCTGCAGCCCGATATAATGTAGCGTATATTCCTCTTAGATACTTCATGTGAAGAGTCAGTGGGTATAGTGACTGGGGCAAGCATACGGCCGCCTACTGATGGAACTACGGCGGTTACAGGCAAGAAGGTGGAGTGCGAAGGATAGTTGGGCAAAATTGCCATCAGCGGAGATTATGAGGTCCATGCTCATTTACATGTGTTCCTATGCTTTGCAATATGCACACACTGTATTCTAGAACATATATAAGCCAGACATATTGCAAGTTACGTCCCTCGGATAAATGTGTCAGCATAATACGCAAACTTCTTGTATACGGCCCTTCCTCACTCGGGTGGAGTCGACATGTGCCTCTCTTCGTGTCCAAACATTACAGGAATCATCAGATATTTTCTACGTAGGAAAATAGAAGTCTCTCCCAGCAGTTGTTGCTGTCACCAGTTTAGGTTGCCTTATCAGGGCTGTTTGTCCTGGATGCGTTGACAGAGGAGGAGGCTAAATAGTCATTTATACATCAATTCATCGGAGCGTATAGTACAAAATTTACCAGGCGAAATAGTCCTTAGAGTCTATAGTATGCCCAGGGACCGCTTAATGGAAGGTTAATACCGACGCCGCGTTGATTTGGTCCTTGCCACTTCTATTGAACGAACCACCAAAACTATGGCATGTCAATTTCTCTCATTTGATATAAAATAACAAGATGAGGTCCAACATGAGCTGACATTCCAGGCAAGGCGCTCTCTAGCTGTGGCCTCCACATATGTCCAAGAGTGGTAGCGGCTTTGTGGTAATCTAGGGACACATGATGGCCCAATATGCGACATATATGTGGTCTATCGATGAAATTACAGACGTATACAAGCATCCATGCATTATTAGTAACCATTTGACTGCTTCAGTCCTTCACCTCCGCACACGGCGGGTTAACTAGGCCCTTCCGGCAGGACAGAGGCTCGAATTATATACCTCAAACTTTTTCAAACTTGATTTAGAATAATATTACATGCACTTCTAGTCGGCCTATGCGGTCCTTAGCTTCAATCCCGTCGAGGTTCTCTAAGACTTCCAAGGCGCCTATGAGAGACGCCGGGTTAAAATATGACAAAGTTCTTACACAATAGAACTTATATGACAGCAAAACACTCTTATACGTTATTCGGAGCACACCGAGAAGGGCTTAGAGCGGCGATTTGTCCCCCTGGGGGCTGCACCAAGGATTTGCCCAAGAACCTTTCGCGCAGAGCCTCCCACTTTCTACCCCTTTCCGCCTCTGATATTACATCCTATACCTATCTGCTACTTCTTCGCAGATAGTTGTCGAAGGTTCACCCTTTGACTCTTAGCGCTCACTAAATAGACTTAGCCACTATAGTAATAGCTCTGCACGTCGTAACTCAATGCATTTAGGGACGCGGGATGACACAGCCAGACCTTACTGGTCTTGCCTCTCACCTCACGCGTCCTAGTATCAACAATAGTTTCGATCAATATCTTCCACTTTAGCATTATTTGATCAATTATGTTTCTCTGCATAGCACTCTATTGGTCAATTTGGGCCTGAGTGGCTCTGTCGCGAAAGGTAGTTGGAGCCACTGTAGGGTACAACAGAACAAGATGACTGGACGACAGAGGATATGTAGGAAACCAAAATGCAACGATACGAACAAGGTCGATGCTGATGTCTTTGAGCGGTGCTGTGATAGATGCTAGGGTATTAGGACTATGGGGAAGTTTGGCGATGCCAAAAGGTGACAGGTGAGGAGAATCGGAAGAGGGTGACCGATTCATCTCGTTCGCGGGGAGTATCATGTCATTGTACTGTATACACCTCGGGTTTGAGCACTGCCGATGCCCAGAGGGCTGGTATCGGGGACAGGAGAACAGAGACATTCGTAGTTGCTCTTGCTGAGCTGTAGACGCTTTAAGTGGTATAGTTCGACTCCAATGTCAGCGTTCTTTTGACTCCTGACCACCCGTATGATCGCTGCCTCATAGACTGCCAGACGGCGATACTACAATCACAAAGAGATTGTCTGCCACTAGACTGTTATCGCAACGGAGGCTTGATATCAAGAAGACATATTGCATTCTGCATACAGTACGAAACACTAACAGTGGCATACAAAAGGTAAATGTATTAGACAAGAACGGTACGATGACACGGCTTTGAGAGAACCACTAGTCCATGAGAGTGTACGCCACTAGGTACGAAAAGTCCGTGTCGAGTCACAAGTGCAGTCTGGCAAGTGTTACCAAGCCGTCTGAGAAATACGACAGGAAAGGGGTCTCACCAATATCAGTCGTTTGAGTCTGTCAGGTTGCCTGCAGTCCCGCCATCCCCGGCTCCAGCCATCGACTGTTCGGGTGCAGTCGCGACTGGCGTAGTCGTCCCGGTAGCGACACGACTGAGCAGCTCGATCACACGTTCGTCATGCAGGTCACGCGAATGATGTGTCGACGGCGTGAGGGCCCAACTTTGAACTAACGGCACCACCCGTTGCACATGTTGCGCTCGTTTGACTCGTCGTACTCCCGCCTGTAATGTTCATGTCCAATTTGGCTAGTGGTGCCGATGAAGACGAAACGTGAGCGCTTGCGAGTTGTCCCGTTTGACGACGTCGGCCCTCTGCTGGCGTTGCGTCAATGAGACGTCTATAGGCTACAACTAGACTCACGACTCGCGCTGGTGACGTTTGCAATATCGGTTCCAGAGGAAGAACGGAAATGTGTAAACGGAGGCGAGCCGTCTGGATTGGCGAGGGTTCAAGTTGCGGTTGGAAATGTCCGCCAGTGGTTGGCTGAGGTGGTGTTTAGTTTTCTGTCGAGGTGGCTGGATTACGAAATTGTTCTTCCGTCGGCGGGCATGGCATATGCGCTCTGGGATTATAAGGAGACCGAGGGGTGTTCGGTGGACCATTGGGTTGACCAGGAGGGATCGCGTTCATATGTATACCCAATCTGATGTGGTCCAGGGGGTTGATTATGCGAATCACTCGCAGGCCGAGGTGTAGAGGCGTTGCCTGTCGTCGAGTCAGCCTCGTTCAAGAAACCGTTTTGCCACGTCTTACTCGGTATCGAAGACGCACGTGATTGCTGACCTGACTCGATAAGAGGTGGATGGAACGGATCGAAATGACCACTAGACGGAGCAAACTCCGCGGCTGGACGTTGGCGAGGTTAATGGGACGACGATAGGGCGAAAAGTGAGAGGTCCTAGCGTCTATGGACCCACGTTCCTTGGGTTCATCCTATCTACGCAGCTTTCGCCCTGTTCGTACTACACCACTGGGTGGACTACGCACGCCCGCATTTGCTGGACCGGGTGATCCGTACGCATGTCCATTATCCACAGAGCCCGAATAGGTCGCGTATATGAATTGGTACCTGCAGGTGTGGAGGCGCGGGGACAGCATAACGATGCTCGGGATTTTGGGCAGGTGGGGTGGGCAACTGTTGAGTTGGCGCTGCATCGGCGTGCGCTGGAGTGAGAGTCGGTAGCTGGTATGCAAATGGATGGTCGTATGTCTGCGGTGCGGCGAGTGGGTATGACATTTAACGCATCATGTGCATTTCGAGGACTGTCGGCTGAGTCATGACCGGTTCACGGTAATAGGAGGATGATGCGCAGGTGGAGGATGGTATTGATAGCGTTTGGGGAGAGCCATTGTACGATTGAGAGCGGCGTTAGTAAGAGAGGGTGCGGTTCTCCGGGCGGTGGATAGTAGTTTGGACAATGAGATAGCGGTGATCGAGGAGAATAGTCGTATGTATGGCATGGCGCCTGGTATTGACCCGCCTCGCTCATCGAGTTCGACCTCAGAGTGGGCTGGTGGATGCGGGTTGCATAGTGAGGAAGCGTCGACGTTGTAAACGACTGACATGGAGTATGCGTGCTGGTGGTGACTGCATGGGTATAACCATGGAGAGGAGGACGATAGCGCAGGAGTGAGGGCCGAGACTGTGTGCCAGCAAGGTGATGATGGGCGGTTGAATGAGACGAGGAAAAGAGACTCTGGCCAATGCACAATGAGTGCCTTGTAGATCTCCATCGCCAATCTACCTGGGATGTTCCTCGTTGACACCGCATAGGAGATTATGGATGGGATGGCGCATGCATTTGTGTTGGACGAGTGGAACAGAAACGTACCACTGCATACAAGAGATGCATCCGCCGCCTGCGAATCTTGACACTGCGCGCAGTAGCGCGTCGACGTTCGCACTGGATCCAATGGCTATCGCGAAACATATCTCTGCAGGCGCATGTCTACTGGAGCGTTCAAATGACGTCCTTTTCCCACCCATCGTGACCATGTCTCTTGTCCAGGACGCTCGCAAGCATAACGACTGACCCCGAAAGGCGCTGCTTGACTAGAAAACACACGTTTGGTACTAAATACAGTTCATGTCTGACTCGAAAGATGTATTCGACCTCGAATATGTTAGCCAGCAAGTCCAGAAAACGCGTGGAGACGTCGAGCGTCCAGTAGAATGAGACTACGCACTCATGATGATTGAACGAGCGATACCAAAGTCACTCCAAGTCGAATAGGGCCCGACTGCGGCTGCTAGATGACGGGCTCAAATCTCCAACGCTGGAGCGGATCGACGCCAAAGAAGTGGGAGTCGATTTTAGGTGAGCTGAGGACTCGAATGTTGATACTTTCAAGGCGAAAGAGTCGCATCGTGAGCAGCTAGCCGTAGAAGAGTCACGAAGGACGCTTCCCTAGGCACAGTTGCGGTAGAAAAGGAATCAGCCTGTATTATACTAGAATTTCTTGTACACATTGGTGCACTTCGCAGCGCAATGGACCGAGAGCCGCAGACTACAGAGTCGCGGTCGGCACGAACACTTGGTCAAACAAAGGGCAACTCGTTTTGGCCATATAATGCCAGATCCCAGCGAGTACTCGCATGCTGGTGGACACGATTAGTACCGCTATTGAGATGCCATCTTATCCGAATACAAAGTCACACACCAATCAGACTCTGGCGTCTATCGAATCGAACTGCGATTGGACGATTCATATCAGCCTACTGACCGGTCATCCGGCTGGTTCGTCTGGAAACAATGAGACTTGCTCCCCGACACCTCTAGGACCGTAAGACCCCTACAGCGCGTCCTAAGGCCCGTTCAGACGACACTATCGACTGTTTGAACAACTCAAGAGCGCACAATGTCACAAGAGCAAGGCAAAGTACGGCCATATCCCCGAGGCCTGAATCATGTTGCCCGACTTTGGCAACGAGTGAACGATCGGACTGCTGCAAGTGAACATCCTAGAACATTGAAATCCTCTACGTCCAAAACCAAGAAGGAAGACCTTGGATTCCTGGAATTGGTATGCCCAGAGGATCCCACCGTCGAGTAAGCACATTCGGGGCACTGTAGTCGCTTCGTGCTGACCTCCCCACTCCAGTATCATAGCAATCCACGGCTTGAATGGTCACAGAGAAAAGACTTGGATGACAGACGATGGCGTTCTTTGGCTACGCCAATTCTTGCCGTCCTCATTGCCTCGTGCCCGTATCCTGACCTATGGCTACGACGCCGACACTCACAGTACGGAGTGCGTATCGACCCAGACTATGCGCCGCCACGCCGTCGGTCTGGCTCAAGCTATTTTACGGAAGCGTAAAGATGCTCGAGTGAGTGGCATCCGTAAACCGGTGCCTTCTTCCCTAATCACCCTAGCGCCCCATCATCTTTGTTGCTCACGATTTGGGAGGCATCATTCTCAAATGGGTTCGTCCGAGGATGTCCACTACATTTTGACCCTGACGGTCTCATAGGCGCTTGTCATATGCAACAATGAGGACCTGGAATCAAAAGACGGCCTACGAAATATCGTGGTATCCACCCATTCCATCCTCTTCTTTGGAACCCCGCATTCCGGCGTAGAAGAAACGCCTTAAGAAGATCGTTCGCCTGGCAGCACCATGTATGGAATCGACAGAAGTCATTGTCAAGAACCTTCACGCTCACTCGGATGAACTCGAAAACATCCAGAGCTTGTATCTCACCGCGAGTAAAAGATAAACAGCGTCTTCTTCTGCGAGGAATACAGCACCGGAGCCGACGAACAGCAGATACATTTGGTAGGTGCGCTAAATCGTCTTGATGGTGGGTGCTAACTGGCTTATAGAATGTTCCGTATCACTCGGCGGTGATCGCTGGCGATCAAAACGCTATTGCGGTCGTACTCCATAGCGATCACCAGAACCTTGTCAGATTCCAGACGGAAGAGAGTGAAGATTACCAAGCAGTTGCTTACTATCTCACGGAGTGCGCTGAGAACGCCCCCGATGCCGTGCACAAAAAATGGTTTATGGAGAATAACTTGCGCAGTTCGTAACATACTCATCGCTGATTCTTTCCTGACCCACGAGTAGCCGTCGTGAAGGGAGGAACCATCCCTCAACCAGGTATGAACTATCTCGTGTACACGAAGGTTTACTAATATTCTCAAGACGACGCGCTTTTCGTATCTCAACTGCCGGTAGTCGCATTCGCCCCATCCTCTGTCCATACCACCTGTCTACAAGGAACTCGCCAGGCTGTCCTCGAGACAATCTCGCAATGGGCCGATGGCGATTCATCAGAAAAACCGATCTTCTGGCTATGTGATATAGCGGGCTCTGGAAAATCGACCGTCGCGATGACTGCAATGGAGAAGTGGAAGAAGCAAGGAATCTTAGGCGGCGGATTCTTCTTCTCCATGGCAAGCAGCGAAAGCTCAGACATCGAAAAGTTTTGCTCGACCATGGCGAGGGAACTCGCTCAACATATTCCCGAGCTTGGGACACCGATTGCGGAGATAGTAAAGCGGAATCCTGCTCTCCTGCGAGCCTCTTTTGATCAACAGTTTCGAATGCTCATCACCGACCCACTCCAGCATCGACAGACGCAAGTAGTCCTCGTCTTAGATGCACTCGACGAATGCAAGTCTGGAGCACAGAGAAAAGAACTGGTTGAGACTCTCGCTTCTGCTGCTCAGGAGAGCAAGAATCTTCGGATATTCATCACAAGTCGACCAGACCCTGTGGTCGAAAGGGTTTTAGAACCTCTTTCGATCAAGGCCAAGTTGACAGATCGGCTCCACGATGCTAGCCACCGCGATAACATCGATGACATTGCGATATACGTCCATCGATTGCTCGGCCGGCGCCTGACGCCAGATAAGATCCAGCGACTGGTTGATAAGGCCAACGGGCTGTTCATTTGGGCGAGCACTGCGTGCCGGATGCTCGATGATGAATCATCGGCGATCAATACACGAGGTCATATATGATCGCCTGACGTCTATTGATCAGCCTGGAGCCATCGACGGGTATACGACGTTTTCGAGCGCATTGACCGAGCATCCAAACCAGTCATCATTGAAATGCTCGGTATGCTGCTTCTGCACGAGCCGCTCACCACCCACGACTTGGAAGATCTTGTTCAAGCATACCAAAGGACAAGGAGTGCCAGTGCGCTAGTACAGAATCTGGGAAGCGTGCTCAAGCAGGATCCAATCACATGCTTGATCCAGTTTCGCCATCCCACGTTTGTCGAATACCTTCGACGACGCTGCACGGAACCAAAGAAAGCGGCAATGGAATAGCTATTGATACATCGCGCGTGCACATGGCCAAGCCGCATCATGGTGTTCACACTCTCAAATCGCGCAAGGAGGGGCTCAAGTTTAATATTTGCCAAATCGAGTCATCCTTCTATCTGAATAGGCAGATTACAGACCTTGACGCCCGGGTGGCGAAATTCATTTCGCGGAGGCTTCGCTATGCTAGTTTGCACTGGTCGTTCCATGTGGCCGCAATGGACAGTGACTGGGCCGCAGGCTAAGGAATGAGCTGGCGTATAGTCAAAAGTCCATTCGCACTCTATTGGATGGAGATCCTCAGCGTGACTGGAGGAGTCATGCGGGCAGTATCTGGAATGCGAGCTGCGTGACGCAACATAAGAGTGTGCGTGGACTATTTGAGACCTTCCGATTACTAAAGCAATGATAGCTTGAGCAAGAGATCCGAGTCGGATGAATGACATCAGACGGTTTTGATGGCATTTCTGTACCAATCCAAGACAGCGCACCACACATCTACATCATCTCTCCCATTCAGTCCACGGAAGTCGGTATCATACGGAGGGTTTAAAGGAGTATATGAATTCGTTAATTGTGACCAGAGGGGTTGAAGAAACATTTCCTGGGCTTCCCAGAACGCTGTTAGGTCATCAGAATGGTGTCACAGCGGTTGCATTCTCTCCAGATGGCATGAGAATCGTGTCTGGCTCTGGGGACAAGACAATTCAACAGTGGGACGTAGAGACTGGCCAGCCAATGGGAGAAGCCCTCCGAGGTCATGAAGAATCAGTCAACGCTGTCGCATTCTCACCAGATGGCACGCGAATCGTCTCTGGCTCTGACGACAAGACAATTCGACAGTGGGATGCAGAGACTGGCCAGCCAATGGGAGAGCCCCTCCGAGGTCATAAATTTGCAGTCAACGCTGTCGCATTCTCACCAGATGGCGCGCGAATCGTCTCTGGCTCAAAGGACAGGACAATTCGACAATGGGATGCAGAGACTGGCCAGCCAGTGGAAGAGCCCCTCCGAGGTCATGAAGAATCAGTCAACACTGTCGCATTCTCACCAGATGGCACGCGAATCGTCTCTGGTTCTGACGACAGGACAATTCGACAGTGGGATGCAGAGACTGGCCAGCCAGTGGGAGAGCCCCTCCGAGGTCATGAAGAATCAGTCAACGCTCTCGCATTCTCACCAGATGGCGCGCGAATCGTCTCTGGCTCAAAGGACAGGACAATTCGACAGTGGGATGCAGAGACTGGCCAGCCAGTGGGAGAGCCCCTCCGAGGTCATAAATTTACAGTCAACGCTGTCGCACTCTCACCAGATGGCACGCAAATCTTCTCTGGCTCTTTGGACAGGACAATTCGACAGTGGGATGCTGAGACTGGCCAGCCAGTGGGAGAGCCCCTCCGAGGTCATGAAGACTCAGTCAATGCTGTCGCATTCTCACCAGATGGCACGCGAATCGTCTCTGGTTCTGACGACAGGACAATTCGACAGTGGGATGCAGAGACTGGCCAGCCAGTGGGAGAGCCCCTCCGAGGTCATGAAGAATCAGTCAACGCTGTCGCATTCTCACCAGATGGCACGCGAATCGTCTCTGGCTCTTTGGACAGGACAATTCGACAGTGGGATGCAGAGACTGGCCAGCCAATGGGAGAGCCCCTCCGAGGTCATGAATACTCAGTCAACGCTGTTGCATGCTCTCCAGATGGCACGCGAATCGTCTCTGGCTCTTGGGACAGGACAATTCGACAATGGGATGCAGAGACTGGCCAGCCAGTGGGAGAGCCCCTCCGAGGTCATGAAGGCTCAGTCAACGCTCTCGCATTCTCACCAGATGGCGCGCGAATCATCTCTGGCTCTTTGGACAGGACAATTCGACAGTGGGATGCAGAGACTGGCCAGCCAGTGGGAGAGCCCCTCCGAGGTCATGAAGACTCAGTCAACGCCGTTGCATGCTCTCCAGATGGCACGCGAATCGTCTCTGGCTCTTGGGACAAGACAATTCAACAGTGGGACGCAGAGACTGGCCAGCCAATGGGAGAGCCCCTCCGAGGTCATGAAGAATCAGTCAGCGCTGTCGCATTCTCACCAGATGGCGCGCGAATCGTCTCTGGCTCTTTGGACAGGACAATTCGACAGTGGGATGCAGAGACTGGCCAGCCAGTGGGAGAGCCCCTCCGAGGTCATGAAGAATCAGTCAACGCTCTCGCATTCTCACCAGATGGCGCGCGAATCGTCTCTGGCTCTGACGATAAGACAATTCGACAGTGGGATGCAGAGACTGGCCAGCCAGTGGGAGAGCCCCTCCGAGGTCATGAAGAATCAGTCAACGCTGTCACATTCTCACGAGATGGCACGCGAATCGTTTCTGGCTCTTGGGACAAGATAATTCAACAGTGGGATGCAGAGACTGGCCAGCCAATAGGAGAGCCCCTCCAAGGTCATGAAGGCTCAGTCAACGCTCTCGCATTCTCACCAGATGGCACACAAGTTGTCTCTGGCTCCATTGGTAGGACAATTCAAATCTCGAGCTTGGACAATGGTGAGTTGATTCTGAATGTCTCTTTGGTTTGTAGCATCAGTTTGTTATGGCGACTGACCGTATGCTAAATGTAGGTAATCTACAAAATAGAACACGTCTCTCTGGCCATATCAAGTCTCTTTCCACTGATCCAGGTCTCGTTATACCTGGATTTGGTGATTGTTCTTTGCTGCCTGATGGATGGGTGCAGTCTTCTGGTCAATACCTCTTCTGGGTACCACCTAATAATCGTTATGGACTGAAGCACCCATGTCTTGTTCTGACTATACCCACTTCGAGTCACCTTAGAGCAACCAAACTCGATTTCACTAATTTCCAGTGTGGGGCAATGTGGACCAAAGTTCGAACAAGCTCATAGTTATGAGTAAATGTATCAGACTAGGATATAAATGGTATTATTGCCCAGTGGGGACAATAAAATCTGATTAGTCTTGCCGCTCCTGCGGAGTGCCTGAGAATATGATGCAGAGATCATGGAGATATGGGATAAGAAGCTAATCTATCTACCATAAAGATTTCATGAGTTTAGTATAGGCCCTTATTGAGTAATCGGGCCGACAAGCCACCTGTGACCAACATTGGAACAGTTTTGGAGCCCACTGTATCTCAGATACAATGCGGCTTGGTTTGCCACTGTAACAAGGGGATGATATATTGAAAAGACCTTGATTCTGCTCAAACGAGCTTGTTGGGGACAAAAGTCACTTTAGAAAGGCTCTTTGCCCCGACTTGGCACGCCTTATAGCTGACATGACTATCCATGTTATCAGATACAAATTGTAGAGCTTTAGGTGAACTTGGTCTCTGAATAAATGTATCTTTAGATAAACTGGGATACACTTGTTTGGCTTGAGGGTCAAGCTCATGAGGTGAACCATGAGACCTTGAGAAGGACCTGAAACGAGCCAAAGTGTCAGGCTCCTCAGCGTCTTCTATTTTGATGGCTGTAGAGTCATAATCCTCTTCATAGTCGTCCTCATCCTCATATAATGTACTGTCAAACTTAATCCTGAGAGGTGAAGCGCGAGGAGGCTCATTAGAATCATGAATAAATTCATCTAGGTCAGATGCATATTTATCCCAAGACCTAGTGCGTTCAGCATCACTAAGGGACTCATAAGAGCGACATGCATACATCGAAGAACTTCCCAGATTAATTCTACTATGACTCTTGGAGCGATTCTCCTTTTCCCAAGTGGGCTTCCGTGATCTGAGAGAGCTCATACTGATGTACGTATTTAATAATGAATTTACGCAAGTATAATACTTGGTAACTAAGGGTGCACGACGCGGTCAGCTAGAAGACTATTCTGAGTACTCACTATGAAGATTCTGATCGCTAGGTAAGTTCAAACTATCTAGTTGGCGTACTAGTAGTCTCAGTTTGACTGCTGAGTGTGAACGTAGGTAGAGATACTGCCGATCTTACAGAGGGAATAATTCTAAAAATAATCTTGTTCAAAAGGGAGACTATCTACAGCGCCTTTTATACCTTTCAGATGTGACCGTGCTTCCTAGTCATCGATTCAGAGTCTTATGAAGCTACTGACTCGATTCTATAGACTCTGGTCTGTCATCCAGCCAACCTGGCTCAGTTCACCTCTGACTCAGGCCCGGCTCCTAGTCATAACTATCAACCAAACTGAGTCATAGTGAGTGACTAGGACTGCTGACAAACATATCCTTCCTAGTCATCTCCAGCTGAGGTGGAATATACAGGTGAAATCTAGAGGAATTCTAAGGAAATTGAGGCGAGTCTAAAATGATGTTCATAATTCGAAGTAAAATCGAATTTGCATACTAGGCTATTCAAAGAAGCCCGATTGTGTATCAGCAAGGCAACTAGAGACGAGGCAAATGTGACGCGCAAACTGGCAAAGGAGGCGGTGCACCACTAGTAGTTTTATAAGGGTATTTCTCATACTTTCGCACATCTGATATCTTTCACCATTTTCTACCACATTTACATAGTGCTGTGTGTCGAAGGTTTACCCTTTGACTCTTAGCGCTTACTAAATAGACTTAGCCAATAGTAATAGCTCACGTCGTAACTCAATGTATTTAGGGACGCGGGACGATGCGGCCGGACCTTACTGGTCTTGCCTCTCACCTCACGCGTCCTAGGTTTGCCACACCATATACTGGTCTTGCCTCTCACCTCACGCGTCCTAGAATCAACGGAATCAATACTGTGTGACTAATTGGTCGCCAGCCATGGAAAAAAACCTTTTTCCCAGTAAACCACGTCGGTGGCTTTCAGCCTTTCGCCTCAGTTTTGCAAAGTAAACTTGCCTTCGCAGCTGTACAGCTTGCTCTTCACATCGCTGACGCAGTAGGTCGCTCTGGAGATCACTAATCGTCCAGACTTCGCTCTCGCTCAGGAATCGCCGGGGAGGTCTCGTCCAGTCGGAGAAAACGACACGAATCACATAGAATTATCATTTTACATCCTTTATACAACTTTGTATCCTATTCCGTCCCCATTCTGAACGCACTTGTCATTGTTTCCTGTAAGGTTTCGAGGATTTCTCCTCGTCACACACATCATAACCGCACCCGCGACACTCGTTACCCCTTCCACATCACATTCTTCACCCTTCTCTTCATAGCCTCTATTGCATATACCCTCATAGCGACGGCCTTAGCACATGCTTAGTTTCCCATCGCTCTTTCCTCGTTCCAATGTTTACCCTTGCTATATAAGACTCGATGTACATGTCTTAACTAGCAGAGACTTTCCTGTACACTCCCACATCGATACCATCCGTCAATAAGCGGGTTTAGACTGGTGAACACGCTCGCCCCAGCTAAGTATTATTCGCCACCTAATAGACAACGTCTGATTAACCCACAACGGTCATAGATTAACCGAGTCAATACACTACCTAATAGACAACGTCTGATTAACTAGTGTAGGGCGTCAGAAACGGTCGTATGAAAGAGTCGGTGGTCTCACCCCACAACGGTCGGATATTAACCGAGTGAGGGGCCACCGCCACCAGCGACGCGTCGTCCAATCTGGACAGCTACGTTACGGGTGAAATGTACAGACAATATCCAATGTACACTAGTGTAAACTAACAAGTATTACTCACTTGGCCTCGCATAACCCTCGTACTGGTGAGTTCTCCCTGTGAACCTCACATTTCCCCTCCGTGTCATTGTTCTTATATTCGCTCAAGTTGTACGCGTGTGCTGCGGGCTGCTGTTCAGCGGTGAAACCCATGGGAGAGACAACATACCTTGAATGTTCTTCCAAAAGTGGCTATGGCATGTGCACAGTCGTTCAAGTGGTAGCAACGGCGGCGCTCTATGTAACATTTAGCCCTGGTAAAATGGAACAAGCCGGATTTGCACCGACTCAGCCCTCAGATCACTAGATTATAGTGTCCCTCTTTTCCCTCTAAAGCGTTACAGTTCATATGTACCCCCGTTACTCATGTATTTTAACCTGTAAGGTGAACCAATCCTTACACTCTACGCACACGTTCCATGTCGACAGCCCGGGTTCATCCCATTTTGAGCATCCTAGTGTCATTTCATTTGTACTGAAATATGATTTAGCACAATATAGTCCAGGCCTCATGCGCTCGTGACTTGGACTCTGTGTCCGGAGGGTTTAATCAAAATGGCTATAGGAGGTAGTAAGTCACATGATTGCTGGCTACTACCATTTGGAGAGTGGAGTGCATAGAGAATCAAAATAAGCTGATGGCTGCCTTCCAGCAACAATGTATCGACTGTTTTCCGTAAAAAAAAAACCGCTGATCAATGGCCCCCTTTGTATACTTCAAGCAGAATTGCGCACTTAGGTGGTGGCCTTTTGCCTCATGATGCTGTCCGCAGAGGACGAAGTGCTCGCACGACCAAAGCCCCCAACGACAGACCTAGCAGCTTGAGTGCGCCGGAGGAAGATGAACGCAGCAATGAGAATAAGAGTACCGAGTCCAACAAGTCCTCCAACAATGGCACCCGCAAGTTGACTGGGCGTCAGTTTGGGTGAGTCACAGACGGTGATGGCTGTCACAACCAACTTGGGGAAGTACGAGTCGGGGATGGCTAGCAGGTGATCATGAGTGTTGCATTAATGGAAGTGATCATCAGCTCACTGGCGGCAGACTCGGTGAGGGCAGAGAACTTGTCAAAGGTTCCATTGGTGATTGCAGGAGGGACAAAGGCCCAGCCTGGAATGGGGATGTCGGCGGGCATGCGTTCGATTACATAACTGTTGGTCATATGAGCAAGTGCCACGCAAAAGAGTCCGAGTCTTCTTACGCAGGGGAGGTCACCGACTTGCAGTTGACAGTCCATTCGGCCCAGCTCGACATACAAGTTAGCTGGCGAAACAAAATAGTAGATGTTAGGCACTCACGTCGTCCAGTTGAGTGTCGAGGCTTGACAAGCACCGCAGGCGCTGGCAAGCTGCATTATAGTAAAAGCGAAATGAGATACCGAGCGTTGACTGATCAAACAAGGAGATGCATACGTTGTAGAAGATGGGGTTGCATCTCAGATCGTCAGCCTCATTGGCGGATGGGGCTGGGTAGCGGTCCAAGCCCTGGCTGATGAGGTCTGGGAACGGAGAATCCGCTGGCTTGACTGTGATTCAAATGGTAGATGGAATCGATTGGCAAAGCGATCAGAGAAGACGAATATGATTGCGTCAAGAAATTGCTCACTGCCGCCCCCAACGAGCAAGGCCCCAATGTCACAGGGCGTGTGCCCACTGCAGAGACGCCTGAGCGGATATAATCGAAAGTTTTGAATAGACTCGTACCTCTCAGTGTTGAGGAACATACCATGAGAGCTGCAGATTGCCTGGCGGACGGCGGCATTGGCGCCAGCGGTGGCGAGTGCGAAGGTTGCAACGAGTTTGACGAACATGACTGTCATACGAGTGGCTTGTAGAGAGCGCGACTAGCTGATTTCTGTCGAGGGAGGGGACAAGGACAAGGAGACGGGCGAGGAGCGGCGAGAGGGGGTTGATATCGACACTCGAGGACGGCGCATGGACGGCATGGTCTTCGGGCATTCGGCCGTTAAAAAGAAACCAACAGAGATCGCTGGTCTAGAGCGTTTCCAGAATCGTGGTTTGCTGACCGGATGGTTCTGCCATCAACGGGACCGGTAGGCACGCACATGCCAAGCCCTCGATGGTGTTATCAGATAACATGGCATGCTCGCCGTCCCGTCTCCCCATTGCCTTGTCACGGCGGTTTGCAGCATGAAAACCGGATAAATATGTCGTGACAGTCTTTGGTGAGCAGTTCTAGTGGACATACCCAAGGAGTTTACCAAGGACGCAGCGGTGGCTCGGCAGAGGCCCGAGGTTGAGGGCCTATCAGATAAGATTACCCGAGTGGTACCACCCCTTCATCACGAGTGCACTAGGCTCGCGCCATCCGACTTCAAGGACCCACTTGAAACAAACGGGCCCCTCGTCTTCGGAGATTCCAGCCCGCGCGGCACAAATAGGAGCCCTGTCTTTGCCAGTGTATAAAGCCTGACGATTGTCCTCGACTCGCTGACCTGACTTGGTCTCCACCGCCGTCGTTTTCTCCCCTCGATCGTCCTCAGGAGCATATCTCGGCATGAAGCCGGCTTCGACCACCACCCTCCTCGCCTGCATCGCGGCTGTTTCCAGTACTCCTCTGTAAGTAGAATTCGTTGCACACGCATAGACGAGTCAACGATGCTCACCTTTGGTCGCCTCTCAGCGAGATGAAGAAGAAGGCCCTCCCCCCAGGCCATCCGATCATCAACGACGGCTTTATCGTATATTTCCCTCTCCTGCTGACATTGAGCTCCTGTTGACCTGTGGGTAGACCCAGTACAACTACACGCTCAACAACAATGTGTACCCCACCGGCTTCCAAATCCCCACCGAGGTCCTCACAAAGTAAGTGATCGCTCTTGTCAGCCGATAACTCTCCTCATTTGCTTCTCATCCAGCATTCCTCATGGATATTCTATCGGTCCAACCGCCGTTTGGGGTCCTGATGGTGGTACGTACTGCGTATATGGCTCCTCCCAGATACTCACAAATCTGCTCAGCCGTGGTGACTGCATTCCCTTCAGAGGTCCTCGCCTCAGTCGCCGTTCAGGAGACGACCTCGATCGCTTCACCGACCAGTCTGTCGACCAGCGTCGTGGCCTCGACGCCCGCGGCGTCCACCTCTGCATCCGCAAGTGCTGCCTTCCGAGCGGAGGCCCCCGCCGCTGTTTTGGCCGCTGCCGTCGTTGTCGCGTTCAGCCTGCTTTGAGTATGGTTGCCCAGACGGATTTAGCTCTCTAGTCATATCCTGGTGTTTGATCCAACTGGACCAATAAAAGGTTCGCCACCGTGACATCTTGCCTGAGTCGTGATCGGTCGAATATCGGGTGAGATGTACCTTGATAGTCCCCAACAATAGATCGTCAGACTACAATTGAAAATCATACCCAAACGCGTACAGGCCACGGAAAGTTGTAGCTCGAAACCCGACGACGACCAATAAGAGACGTATACGATTACTTCTCTTTCCTTCAAAGTCATTATCATCATTCAATGAAACCTTTCCTTGTACTTGGTATTCGATCTAACGACAGGGAGCTCTATTAGCTCAAACGGCGTCGAAGATCAACCAAATGAGTGTCACTGCCACCAACAGCGCCTCGACCATGAAGGGAGAAACGATGTGACGATAAACATAAAATAGCAGAGTATAATATGCTAACAGGGAGACCGCTTTAGAAACTCGTTCCTGTGCGCAAAGCCATCGCGTAAAGCCCTTTAGAGCTTTGTGGATGGAAGTACTAAGCCCACCATCCCGCCAAGGCCACTCCCGCCCACGCCTGCCTCGCATGTCAGCATCCCCACACAGGAGTACGCCTAGAGCGAACAACACAAGCTAGTCAATTAAAAGACGCCACTAAAATCGGAGACTTACTCGGTATGGACGTCGCAGCGGAGCAGCTTGTCGGTACCTGGAGCAATGTAGAAAGATGTAGACCAAATATCTCTAGGATCTTGGTGGGACAGTAAATGTTTCCGGACCAACAGGCTCGGCCGCGTACGTTGCTTCAGAGCCTGGAGGTCTATGGTCTCGGACGGGGGTGACTGCCACTACCTAGTCGGTTAATTATCAGCGTTTTTGACGTTGAGAATGCTCTCAGCTACGTTATACCGATAATTTGGCGACGAGTACAAGTGATCAATGCTAAAACAGGTCGCAGAGCGTGGGCTGAGAGTCAGCTTGTCTTCGCCTTCGACCTCTATAGTAGTAGTAGAAGTTGCCCTGGTGAGTCGTTGTAGGCGAAAGTGATGGAGCATCGAGCGTAGTCAGGATGAGTGAGCCGTGTGAGGTTGGCCGAATCTCGGGCTCGAAGGTGGACTGTGAGGCATTTTTGCGCAGTCCATAAGGAACAGATAGTGGGTCAGGAGAGTCGGACCGCTGGGTCGGGCGTGCGGCGTGCTCTGAACAGTCAAATGACACCATAGAGACCTATCTAGAAGGTAATGCCGCAGTTTTCGAGTATAGGGGTGCAAATGGGGAGCTTACCCTGCGGTCAACGTCCTTGAGGTCTACCTTATCAGTCGAGTTGACGGCGTTGCTGCGCCAGGAAGCGATGGAGCGATGAGATTATTGAAAAATTGGACGTATGAAGTAGGGTATGGGTTCAAGGAATGGGGAAGTCGCAGAGGGCGTCGCTGAATCCGAGTTGGACTATGATGCTTGGTCTAGATGGCTCTCTTGCTCGCTCTTCAGGCAAAGATGAGCACAATGCGAGTCGTAAACGATTTCCCATACTCTTCCATACCAAACGTTTCGATACAATATCCCACGTTCCTCGGATTGGTTCTCATCCAGTCTTACACGCGTAGTCAGGAACATACAGCCCTTATGTGTCCAATGTCGCAGGAGAACTCTGAAGTGAGATTGATGAAAACCAGGTTGCTGTTGGAGCGAAAAGATGACTTCGGGCAATGATAGTAATATTGTCAGGGGAGGTCAAGTTGGTGAACCTTGGCTTCGAAGGCACTGTGCCATCTATCAAAATGGAATTCCCCGCGCCTGTAACAAAGAAGAAACGAGGCGTTGCTTTGCGAGAACCGCGGGTTTGTGTGTTGGAAAGGTGTAGAATAATTTTGATAGGATAATATTCATCCGAAAAGTAACCAGTTGTGGATTATAGAAGGACGAGGAAACCGTCGCCTGACCCATGGCGGAAGCACGATTGTCGGCAGAAGAAAGATCCGACGCGAATCGTGAGGTAGATCTAGTGTCTTGGCGTTGGTACTGTGATTCATTACACATGATTATGTGTGCGCCTAGCGAGTATTTGCCGCAACGACTGGCAGGCGTGAACGTTACCAGAATCCCGCTGAGCCAATGAGCTGGAGAAATCAGATTGATGGAATCAGCACTCACAAGGGGAGAAACGTGATCGCCCTTTAGCCAAAATTCGACGGAACGCATTGTCATCTAGGATTAGGTGATCGCCAGTGAGTCCACGTGTGGTAGTTCAGTATCTGGAATTGACCTGTCGAGTATTATTAGACTGAATAACAATGTTACACAGCAATCGTCGTGCACGACGACTGACATCTGTGGACAGCTCGCGCCAAGACTGTTCGACGTATTCTCAATAGAAAACGGATCAACATTTCTCGTACTAATTTCACATGCGGAAGCGGACCGTAACAGCCTTTCGCCGGAATGCAACCGCGTTTTGCTTGGCAAGCACAGTCGTTGCTCGAGTGCGGGGAAACCCCAAGTGACCTCGATACTCGTTGAAACAGTATAAAATGTCCACTCGTCTCAACAAATTTCGAGCAACGCCCCTCTCAACTCCTCCGTCATGCTCCGTAGCTGGAACTCGCTCCTTGTTGTCTGCCTCGCCGCCGTTGGCGCTCTCGCCGTCGAACCCGCTGAAAAGCGTGAGGAAGACTCGGCTCTCGTCGCTCGTGCAGGTACTCCCAGCGGTACTGGTACCCACAACGGGTTTTACTACTCGTTCTGGACCGACGGTGCTGGAAACGTCAACTACTCCAACGGCGCCGGTGGATCTTATAGCGTGACCTGGTCCGGAAACGGTAACTGGGTTGGCGGAAAGGGATGGAACCCCGGTTCGGCTCGGTAAGTTCATCGCACCTTTGTCCTCGCTAGCCTATGCTTATGTATCATCAGTGTCGTTTCATACACTGCAGACTATCGTCCCAACGGTAACAGCTACCTCGCTGTCTACGGCTGGACGACGAACCCGCTCATCGAGTACTATGTCGTCGAAAGCTATGGTACATACAATCCAGCGAGCGCCGCCTCGAAGAAGGGCACGATCAGCTCTGATGGTGGAACATACGACATTCTTTCCACCCAGCGTGTCAACCAACCTTCGATCGAAGGCACAAAGACGTTCACCCAGTTCTGGTCCGTCCGTCAATCTCACCGAACCAGCGGATCCGTCACCATGCGCAACCACTTCAACGCCTGGAGCGGCTATGGCATGACTCTTGGTACGCACAACTACCAGATCATGGCCACCGAAGGCTACTTCAGCAGTGGTAGCGCTACTGTTACCGTCAGCGAGGGTTCGAGCCAACAGACCTCTCAGCAGCAGACATCCCAACAGCAAACTTCTCAGCAGCAAACAAGCAGCCAGAACAATGGCGGTGGAAACGTGAGTGCTATTCGTTGCCTACGGCTCGAGACGCAGACTGACGATGCTTTCTAGTGCGCTGCCAAGTGGGGACAATGCGGCGGTCAGGGATACAGCGGACCTACTTGCTGCCAGAGTGGTTCGACTTGCAAGTACTCGAACGCCTGGTACTCTCAGTGCCTCTAGGCCGTTTTCGGTACCTGAGGTCTCACTCATTCATTCGCTCTTTTGTATACCTTCTCTTGAAAAATTCGACTTTGATCCAGTCATTTGCGATTCTCGTTTTGACACACGCGGCCGGAAACCCCTCGCCAGCTATTTCGACCGATTCTATCCCTTTCTAAATCAATGCGCCCAAAACAGATGGCTCGTACCAATCCCGTCATTTGAATCGCAGTGACCCGGTCGTCGACAGAGGATACCCGTGTTTGCCAAGGTGAGGAGTTGTCCACGACGGCGATGCTTCACTGTGATTCAGGGGACGTGCAAAATAAAGTCCGATTTCGGAGACTCGAATGGTCCTGGATGAAGCGCTCAGGAGAAGTGCAATTCTTTATTTCACTCTTGAGCGCGTGGACGCGGCAAATTTGTTATGACACGGATTGCTGCTCGCTCCTTGCCGGCGACCTCGACGACCTCGCTGACTCGGGTTGTAGTCAAACCCGTATATATATCTATTCGAACCGATAAAGAAGTATCTGCGAAACGCTGTACACACCTATCATCAATCCGCCGACACGAGCACAGCAGAGAGCTCGACGACCCATTTAATCCGCCCATCAGCAGCCAGAGACAATCTCCTGATACTATTTTATGAGTCAAAGTCCAGCCTACGAACCGGTTCTACGACTGGACGGTCTGGGCAACGACCAGGTCGCCGTGGGTATTCTACATGTGCAGCGGCTGTTACAACCAAGCGCTAACTCCGCTCTTTATCCCTTTATAATATACACTATCTAGCTGAAACACTCCCTCGATGTGTACGCGTCCAAATAGAACCCATAATTCAAGATAGCGACCCAAGGTCCCACCGAATGTTCGCAAGGATGGCTTATTTTTGATTTCAATGTGAGTAAACGCTCTCGTGTGAAGGCATCTGGCGCTCGTTGATGGTCCAGCCCCTGAGATAATGGATCCCTCGAGTGGAATCCTCTTTTAGACCATCTTTTCATACAATGTAACCCTGCCGAGTGCCGATAAACGTTCGACTCTGCGCTGAGGACGGCGCGCTCCCCGCCTTCCCGCATGATTTCCGTCGGCCACTGGACATCAGTATCCAACGAGGTCAATACCCATCGTCGTATTCAGACGTGACCTGTCTCATAGATGATATAAAGCCAAACTTGTCTCACCGCTCAACCTCGTCGCTCTTGCCCCCGCACTTGTTATGGAAGAAAAGAAAGACATAGTCACACATTATCCGACTCAGCTTCCAGCAGAGTTTACTGTAGGTTCCTCCAGGACACACCCCGTGGTCACGGTTTCCGAGCTTCAAGCGCACCTTCGTCTCCTAGGAGCATTTCACAAGTTGAAAGTAGACGTAGAATCGCAAGAAGAAGGTATAGCAGCGACAAACAAGGACCTTGCTTGGGTCGTTTTCGTCAACAAGGCTGTCGTCTCATTCTTCGACTGGACATTTTCGAAATGGAATTCCACCAAACTTCCGCTAGAGAGCACCATGATGCCGCCACTTCCTGTCATGATGGTCTGGCATACCTATCTCCTCGTACGTCGTCGGAGCAACTCGCCCAATTTGCTGACCCAGGTCAGAATCCACGTCACTATTATGAAGATAGTCAACGTATTTCCAGCTACTATAGCGAAAATTTGACTACTCTCGAGTTCGTTTTCTTCTTTTGGCCGAGTTCCGTTGCTGACTGGCCTGGTCGTAGAGAGTTTCCACTCGAACTAGCTGCATCTCTGATAGATGACGAGACTTTAGAAGCCTATTCACCGAGTGAAGAACGTCGAAAAACCTTTGAGGACCGCACGTACTCTGCCTACGACATTCACCTGGTCACCCATGCAGACGAAGGGCTTTCTCTCCCGTGTCCGTTTTGTGACCATCTAAATCCTCTTGTCACCTGGATTGCGGATGGAGATCGTGGATTTGCTCAGCCAAAGTTTGAGCACAAATGCGAGGGCTGTAACCAAACCTTCAATAAGGGAAACATCGGAGTCGGTCGTTTTGTAGAAGAGTTTATGATGAAAAAGGAGGGCACCCCGGTCTACTTTCCGTGCGTACTCTGCAATCTTATACACCTGTCACTAACGGCATGCAGAGAGACATACCTTCGCGCACGAGAGGGGACCGTAGATACTCAGGCGGCAGATGCTCGCTATTCAAAGCTATTCAAGGTGAGCTGACTTTGTTTCGTGAGCTGCCTCTGATGTTTCGCAGCAACTGGATACGCAGTGGACCGAAATGTCCTTACGGACCCCGCTAGAGAAAATGGAGCAGAAAAGGCAGATCGCAAACACGCTTCAATGGGATCCCGAGGTACTCTGCGACGTCATGCATACAAGTGCTCAGCCTCGAATTCCCCTCAACAAGAATGCACGCGTAAAACTGTTCGACATTTCTCTTGGCGCATATCGATACTGAGTTCCCCTGCAGGCTTCATCGTATAGCAAACGCATATAGCCATGCAGGATATGCCTCCTTGGACCTCGTCGCAGCCATGCTCCGCCAAGGAACGTTTATCGACAAGATGGTTCACATGGGGTGGACTCGACCAGGTCGCTGGGAACACGCCGATACTCGCCCCTCTTGTTCGTTCTGTCGCACGGTACCACGCCTTCTTGGATTTAACGTACGTGAATGGCTGGTCGCTTTTGGTTCCCACTCTGGTACGTCTACGTTGCTACAAAAATATCTCGTTTCATCTTCATTCAGGATATCGTAAGTCTCATCACCGCCATTTGCAAATTGTCTTACCGAAGGGTCGCAGGACCTCTCTTGGCACACGCACCAGCTCAAAGGACGATCCTATCGGGAGGACACGTTGCGAATCCTCGGACGAATTCTCAATCATGATGATTCTATTGATGCGGGCGTCATTTCTTCTCGCTACGACCAGACGGCGAAACTTTGGAGGGAGCGCTTTGGTGTCCCGTACAGCGTGTGCGGGTGCGCTCCAGACACCATACAACCCCCCAGAGCAACGAAGTCTAGCTCACCAGTAATACCTCGCTCAACTGCTCGTCCCAAGCGGCGCGTTGCCATTGTCAGCAAAGTCGCCACGCTTCTCCTGGGCAAGTCTAAACCGGTACACGGGCCGGATATCGAGAGCGCTACCTCGACGATCGTAGTACCCGAGACTTCGTGGCAGAATCCGCGCCCAGATCTGGTGTCTATGGAAAGCGAGGACAGCGAGGCGACGCACCCATCTGAGCACGATATTCTATTTGGGAGACCCGAAAGTTTTGAACCACACGCTCGCCAATCTCTGCGACAGAGAAAGGTAGAGGAATTTGTCAACCACGCCCAGACATATGGCCATGATGATCCGTTTCGCGTCCTTCAAGTGGAGCGAAACAGGAAAAAGGAAGAGGATGATGCACACGAAGAGGCATTTACTGACTTCACGCATGGCTCAGCAAAGTATTATGCATTTTGGGGAGTTTCCATGGCCATCCCCCTCGGGTGAGTGCACCTCGCATCGAATTCAAAGCCAAAAAATCAAGCTGAAGTTGTACAGTTTCTATGGCGGACATGGATTTGGCCTGCCAGGCGCATGCGGAACGAGCTGCGCTGCCTGCGGTAATTGCGCCAGTGGAGACGCAGGAGGGGCAGGGGATGGGGGCGGGGATGGAGGAGGAGGAGGTTGCTCAGGTGGTTGTGGAGGTGGTTGTGGTGGATGTGGAGTAAGTCGCTCCCTCCCTGGCGCGCAAAAGTTCGTTTGTGTGTGGCTGACGGGTTCCACAGTGAGGCCGCAGGCCATTTGACGCATCTGATCCGTTAATATGATCAATGAAGGTTCTTATAGCTTCTTATCATGCTCTTTAGACGCGCATGTGACTCGCAATGCCGGCGCTCGAATCCTGTCGGGTCGTATCAAAGAATACAGCAACCTTGTTGTGGAAACAATCGATCGCTTTAGGCTCTTCTGTGGACACTTGTTGGCTCTCAGAGGCCGCGTCTGCTCCTCACCAGTCGTTTGTCCGCCGTCGTGCGAGCAGTGACTGCCCTCTGTTGGAGATCATGAAGGCGCTACGGCAATACATTCACCCTCAGATCAGCTCGGAATATCCCAATTTCCAACTGGAGCTGTTCCGAGTATTACTCGTTGGCAGGTGCGCGGAACTTCTAAACGAGTTTGGTCAAGCTGGAGCCCCCGCATGTTGACGTCGGAAAAGTGTTTGTAGGTGGTCTAAAAATAGATCTGTCGGCGTTTCTATCTGACCATAGACTCCAGCTAGAACCTCGGTAGTCGGCACAGGGGCAGCGTTTGAATGACGAACCGGTCGTTTCGAGTCGATTTCGTAGCCTACACCTTTACAAATGGCACTCAACTCAAACACGTACACTGAAGGCCACGGCGGGCATCAAGGTCCGATGTGATTTCGGATGCAATCGACATCCAATGCCAACAGCATCCGAGTCCAGGGGGAAACCGAAATGAATTCGACTCGAGGGTTGGAGGAACCGACGCACCTCGCGACGGCGTCACTGTGTTGACAACACATACCAGGCCACCCACACCACATGCCAACACCAAATGCTCGTTCTAGTTTCACCTCCAGACTTTGGTATACTCTTCGTGATCCGGAAAACGCCCGTAATATCGTTGGATGGCAGGCTCGACAAAGGCAGCGCTGCATAAATACGGGGGTGGATTTCGTTCCTCAGGGACAACCCGCTTTGCTCCCCCGAACATGGTGTCTTGGAACTCCCTTCTCGTTACCTGTCTTGCTGCCGCTGGTGCCTTTGCCACCGAGGTCGTTGAGCGTGATGAGACCAAGCAGCTGATGTCCCGCTCGACACCCAGCTCGACTGGCTACAACAACGGATACTATTACTCCTTCTGGACGGACGGCGCTGGAAACGTCAACTATTCCAACGGCGCTGGTGGCTCTTACAGCGTAACGTGGTCCGGTAACGGTAACTGGGTCGGTGGTAAGGGATGGAACCCAGGATCTGCTCAGTATGGTGCTTTCTTTTGTGATACCCCGCCGGTACTGACCCCATGTTTCTCAGAGCCATCTCGTATACTGCCGACTACCGCCCAAACGGCAACAGCTACTTGTCCGTCTACGGTTGGACGACGAACCCTCTTATCGAGTACTATATTGTTGAAAGTTACGGCACGTACAACCCCTCGAGCGCCGCCTCGAAGAAGGGTACGGTCAACTCGGATGGTGGAACCTACGATATCCTCACCACCCAGCGTGTCAACCAGCCTTCTATCCTTGGAACTTCGACGTTTAATCAGTACTGGTCCGTCCGCCAATCCCACCGAACGAGCGGAACGGTCACCACGTCGAACCATTTCAACGCATGGAGGCAATACAATATGAACCTTGGCTCGCACAACTATCAGATTCTTGCCACCGAGGGATACTTTAGCAGTGGTTCAGCTACCGTCACCGTCGGCTCCGGAACTGCCCAGACTTCGCAGCAACAAACCTCGCAGCAGCAGACATCTCAGCAGCAGACGTCTCAGCAACAGACCAGCAGTCAGAATAATGGCAACGGAGGTGGAAGCGTGAGTAGTCTTCCAAGAGTGCTGGTCCTCTTTAGCCTAATCATCAATCTAGTGCTCGGCTATCTGGGGCCAATGTGGCGGCCAGGGCTGGAATGGGCCTACTTGCTGCCAGAGTGGCACGACCTGCAAGTACTCGAACCCATGGTACTCTCAGTGCCTCTAAAAGTAACGTGGGGGGCTCGAACAACTTTTCGACTCGTTACACAGGCTGTATACCTTCTTTTGAACATCGATCATTTATGTCCTTTACTTGGTCCTTGTGCACTTCAATCAACTGGAAATGAACCATCCAACGTCCGCGGGTTGGCAACTCGTGTAGACTCGAGGAAGCAGGACGAGTCATCGGCTGTGCTTTGGGTTTAGATGACCTATGCGAGGGTCGTGGACACCCGTAATGTTAAGCAGCGTGCAGAATTCAGACTAATAGCCCAGTAGACTTGCCCCTTATCCGTATCCAGTTTCCGTCGGGGTTTCAGTCCAATCCAACAGACCACAGGCCAGACTTTTTACCTGTAGTGGACCTCAAACTCGATTTGCTGCGGGGATTTTTCGTCGGGGTCTCCGAGCTGGAAGCGTTCGCTGGTGGTCTAAAAATAGATTTGACGGTGTTGCCATCTGATCATTTGGATTTCAGCTAGATCCTCGGTATTTCAGTAGGCGAATTCCGTGAACGAGGAAGCCACGTTTCAAAAAGGAGGCATAACTCTCAAGCACAAAACACTGGACTCGAACTGGACGGATCCATCAAGAATGGCTGCGGGTATCAAGGGCTCGACTTTATTTCGGCACTAATTGCCTTGTAATCTCAACTATACTTGGGTGCATGGGACTGGAAACGAATTGCGAACGACGATGAGGAACCAATGAGCGTCGCGACGGGGGTTTATGCTATTGACAACCCGTGCCAGGTCACCACATCCGATTCTTAATGACAAGATTTCGTTCTAGTTTCACATGCAGCTTCACTCTACATTTCCTGTGTCCGGGAAACACCCGTTGTGCTCCCTGCGGGGTTTCGAACGTCGTCTTTAATGAGCGCAACGGAGTATAAATACGGCACAAATTTGGGCCTTTGACCAGTATCCCAAACCGCGCTCGCTTACTCATGGTCTCCTGGAACTCTCTCCTCGTTGCCTGCCTTGCTGTCGCTGGCGCCTACGCGACTGAAGTCGTCGAGCGTGATGAGGGCAAGCAACTCGTTTCTCGCTCCACGCCCAGCTCGACTGGTACCAACAATGGCTACTACTACTCCTTCTGGACTGATGGTGGAGGCGATGTGACGTACACAAATGGTGCTGGTGGAACGTACAGCGTAACCTGGTCTGGAAACGGTAACTGGGTCGGTGGAAAGGGATGGAATCCGGGTTCTGCTCAGTACGGAACCCCTGCTTTATATTTCCTCGCTCGTACTAAAAACGAGGTTCTTTAGAGCCATCTCGTATACGGCTGACTACCGTCCGAATGGTAATAGCTACCTGTCTGTGTATGGCTGGACGACAAGCCCCCTTATCGAGTACTATATCGTTGAGAGCTACGGCACATACAACCCGGCTAGTGCAGCATCGAAGAAGGGCACAGTCAACTCGGACGGCGGAACCTACGATATTCTCACCACTCAGCGTGTCAACCAACCTTCTATCCTTGGAACCTCGACATTTGACCAGTACTGGTCGGTCCGTCAATCCCACCGAACGAGCGGAACGGTCACCACATCGAACCATTTCAACGCCTGGAAACAATACAACATGAACCTCGGCACGCACAACTACCAGATTGTCGCGACGGAGGGTTACTACAGCAGTGGTTCGGCTACCGTCACTGTCGGCTCGGGAACTCCCAACACCAACACCCAGACGTCTCAGCAGCAGACGTCTCAGCAACAGAGCAGCAGCCAGAACAATGGTGGTGGAAACGTGAGTGGACGTTGAGCCTACTATTGGCCTTTTCACTGACAAGAAATATAGTGTGCCGCCAAGTGGGGACAATGCGGTGGTCAGGGATTCAGTGGACCTACTTGCTGCCAGAGCGGTTCGACTTGCAAATACTCGAACGCTTGGTACTCCCAGTGCCTCTAAAAAGCGACCTAGGTTCTCTAGTTACACTGGCTGCATACCCTCCTTTGAATACCGATCGTTTTTTCTGCTCTTAAAATTTCCCGGTTCCTCATGTAAACCTCTGGTCTCTACAGTGGGGACAGCCGCGGCCCTTCTTGAGCTCGTCTGCCTCCAATAGTTGGCTTGGATTGGAGCCGGATGACGCTTTCAGCCCCAATTAGACGTGTCCCTATTCGTTTAAAGTTGATCAGCGGAATTTTGCAATCTCCGCTGTACATGCCGAGCTGCCGGAAACTCAAATCTCCGCAACACCGCATAGAGTTCCGGATGAAATGTGACTCACAAAACTTGGTGCCTGGACCGGGTGTCAATAGGTAGCCAAGGATTGGGAGTTGTACGTGGAAGGTCTCGCGGCACATCAAACGGGTCCATAGAGACTTTCGGCCTATAGCAAATAAGTCACAATGCTCGTCTAGTATCCCGAGTTTTTACACGTGCTACGAACTCGTGGTTGAATCTTGTGGTCCTACACCGCAGTCCTCCACTCAAACCTCCCGAGGCTTCTACTGGTGCGAGGGTCAAGACCGACATGGGGTACTGTATAAAAAGGCGTGACAAAAGGTGAGTAGACCACACAAAATTCGGTTTCTTTCACGCATTTCGTCCTCGAGAATGGCTGCTGCACTCATGCAAGCCTACTCTGCGATGAATGGCTGGATGAATGAAGAAGGAATAGTCAATGGCATGTGGACTGCGTTCGTATCACCCTCCATGTCGTCGTTGCTGCATGTTAATCCAGATTTATACAGCATCCTCAACGAGCTGTTCCCGCAAAACACTCTCAATTTCCTTATCGGGCCCGAAGTTCATAGTGCCAACAACACGAACAGAGCCGACCTTTCAATCTATGAATCGACACCACGGCGGGACTCGGCAACTATACGCGAAAAGTGGTTGTTGTCTACGAAGGCAAGAGGTCAGGCTCTACGGACGGTTGGGATGATATTCTCACCCAATGCGACAACTGGACGAGAAGGCAACCAACGAACGTGTTTGCCGTCGGCGAATGCTGTTGGTATATTGGTGCAAAGGGAGGACACGCCAAACTTTGGGTTTGCAAGCGCATAGGGACTGGAAGCCACATAACCGACTTCTGGACAAAGTCTTTGATATTTAATCACGGCCAACCGAGAAATGGAGCGCAGAATAGTAGTACTGACGGATATCCATTCGATTTGACGAACCCCAATGACTGCGCCGCTCTGGACGCCGCTTTGACATATATGCGGGGGAATTTGCGTCACAGGGATACGTGGGGTCCATAGTCTGTTGATAGATCAATGTACTCGGTGCACCGTTGTGCAGAGGAATCTCCAGTTCTCGAGTCGAATAAACGTGGTGTCAGGAGGGAATTAAATTCCTGAACAGAGTGCCCAGTATATCTTTGAAACGGACCCGCAGCGTCACTAATTGCGACTATTTTGCGCTCGGAAATCTGCAAGCCTGAGAAAGAAATGAATGGCTCTTCAAGATACATGTGCAATGTTATTCTTGGCGTACGATAGCCTCCGGATTGAGCAATCTTACTCCCCTTCCACCGTCCCATCTGACAGGCTTTACGATAATCTAGGAGTAGTATCATGACTGATGCTCGTGAAATGATCAGATTCTACTGCACTGGCGATGGAAGTGGCATGCTCGCCGACGCCTACACTGTCAACGGAATGTGGAACTCGTACGCGGTCACTTTTGAGTGCGGAAAGAATAGACGGAGCCGATGTTACTTGTAGGATCCTCAGCGTCTACTTTCCGGCGGGGAGTAACATGTGGCTTACCGCTCCAAACGTCTCCGCCGCTGGTACAGACATCCCGGCTGACCTTGTGACGTACGGCTGGATAGAGGGACCAACCAAGGTCTCTGCTCGAATCCGCCTAGTTAGTGTGAACAAGCCGAGTGGTTCACCAGGTGGATGGGACGAGTTGGCATATGGTATCGTCACTCGATGGACCTAGTTGCAAGACTTCGATAAATTTGCCGAGGGAGGGATTGTGCTTGGTGTGTGGGATGGGCAGCCTAGTCAAGATATGGGTCGGTCAGCGACATCAAGGACGCGAAGTAAACAAGATGAGCCTGGTTGTCGGTACAAACGGCGCTCTGAGTAATGGACAAGAGAACGACGCATCAGATGGGAGTGTCCTCGACATGGCCATCGAACCCGGTCGTAACGCGACTCATTCTGCGTTCCTCTACATGCCCCAGGCGCTGTCTGACAACACGTTGAACTGATCTGGATCTGAGACTTTGAATACGCAAGTTCCATCGGGGTGGAAATCAGCGAAATATACTGTCCCAATCACAATCAACTGTCTTTCCAACCGTGAGGATTTTATGCACTCAATGGATCCTCTAATCCCGTTTCTGGCACGTACTGGCACGGAACAGTGCCAAGCCTCTGGAGACATCGTACCTCCGGTGAAGAGCGTTGATTCGCATTCACAACGCGCAGACATCCCGCTCCAAACACCGCGCCTAGCATTTATTCTCAAACACATTCGAGTTTAAAACTACTGAAATTCCTCAAAATGAGCGAGCCTGATGGACGAGCACTCATGACTTTTTTAGCCACCCCGCCTCAAAGCCAAATCCTTGACAAGGATTCCGCGGTGAGTGGGCTGTGGGCCGCGTACGTATCGACAACATCTATTATATTCATCGCTCTCATTCTCGGTAGCATTCTCGCCGTCTACTTTCCAACGACCGGTAATCCACCCGCCCATCTGATTGTAACCCAGGCCCAGCGTCCACATACCTGAGTCAAAACCTATCTAGTCGCCTACCAGTTTGCTCAGCTTCCAGATGGACCAGCCAAGCGAGCCCTCGTCGTCTTCAATGCCCAGGGTGGCGATGGTCCGACCCTTGGCCTGCTCTGCTGACCGAGTGTCTCGATTGGATCAAGGTACAAGATAATACAGTCCTCGTCGAAGGCCAGGTCTATTTTCTTGTCGCAGGATACGGTACGCGAGTCAAGATGTGGGTGTCCCAACGCCGGGGGGGCGCGTTCAACACAAAGAGCCTCGTAATCATATCTCCTACCAATTATTTTGCAAATGGAGGTCTGAGTAACCCGACGGATGGAGCGACGATCAACCTTGGGTCGAATAATGGCGAAGGAAGGACCAACGCTCATAACGCCCTGAGCCGTATGCTCGTGGCCTTACCTGGAAATTTATTCAGTTGGAATTGATGTATTATTAAGAGCACTTGAGTTGCTTGCCTGTGCATTCCAACTTATACGGTCAAAATGCTGAGTCGGTCCAGTTGCTTCATGAAAGGGTCCAATATGAGCGGTAACGGGCGCTCCCCTCGTCAGATTCCAATCACTATATCTATTATAGTGACTCACCGGACAGATATGAATAACTGTCACCAGGGTCCTGCTCATATCCTTTGGACGCATTGAAAGTAGTCGCTTGAAACCCGCTCGGCAGTCTTCTTTATCGCCCAGTTCTCCAACTGAATGCAATATTCGTGTAAGGATTGGTTCATCTTACAGGTCTGAGCACGGCCGGCCAGGTCGGATTACCTGAGTAACGGGGGTACATAGGGAGTGTAACGCATTAGAGAGAAACGAGGGACACTATGGTCTAGTGGTCTGAGCTGAGTCGGTGCAAATCCGGCTTGTTCCATTTTCCCACGACTAAACGTTACAATTCGTTAGTTCCTATTCCTTAGTCCGTTAGATATCAAGCCGACCTGCTTGCCGACCAGGAATAATATTAGGAACAGCTTCAGTCAGAAATTGAGATATTCAAAGCCAATTTGAGGATGAAATGTTGTCTTAGCGAGTTCATTGTCTCGACCAGACGTCAGTCTTGCGCGTTTGGCGGTGGGTGAGAGACTGCAGACGAGCGTTCACGGCATTTGAAGAGCCAAAACCTGCCCACAAACGAGTTTAAAGCAACCGATATCTCCACACCAAGCCCACTCTATTCTTTGTCACTGTCCGACAGGGTTCGAGTGTCCGTATTGAGAGTCATATGCGCGTCTAAAGAGCGGGATAAGGAGCTGTAAGAACCTCTACTGATCTTATTAATAGAGCAAGTGAGTCAAGCATCCAGCAACTCACTGTCGGACTCGTCAGTCACAGACAAACGAGACCCTGCGCGCGAGCAAGGGACTTACGCCACAACCACCGCAACCCGATCCACATCCTCCCGAGCAGCCCGCTCCAGCATCTCCTGCATCGCCTGGTTTTCCGCCGGAATCTGCTCCTCCCGTGCAAGCGCCGCACGAGGCACAACTCGTTCCGCATGCTCCTGGGAGGCCGAATCCATATCCAGCATAGAATCTATATGAAATTTCCCATTAACCTTAAACCTTGATGATCAAACAGGTGAGCTTACCCGAGCGGTATGGCCATGGAGACCCCCCAGAATGCATAGTACTTTGCCGACCCTTCTTTGATATCAGTAAATGCCTCTAGATGGCCCTCCTTCTCTTTATTATTCTTGTTCCTCTCTACTTGAAGAATGCAGAATGGATCGTCGTGTCCTTGTGTTTGAGCTCGCCTCACAAATCCACCCACTTTCTTCTGTCGCGACGATCGCCGAGCATTGGGCCCAGCGCTTTCTGGTTTCCCAAATAGAACGTTGTGCTCGGATGGGTGAGACGCCTCGCTGTCCTCATCTTCCATCGAAATGAGGTCTGGGCGCGGATTTTTCCATGGAGGTTGGGAAGGCACAGTCCTGATTTCAACGGTCGGTTCTGGAGCAGACTTTGTGACCAGTTCTTGCAGCTGTTCTTGTACGGGCTTCGGCTTGCGCATGAGGAATGCGGCGAGTTTGCTGATAAAGGTGACGCGCCGCTTAGGATGAGCAGTAGGGGGCGGTATCGATGAAAAGCTGGATGTCATCGCATCCACAGGTGGCATGGTATCTTGAGTCACTTTGATGAGTACGACTGGAGGTTCGAGAGGGGGAGTCGGATGAGGTGTTACTGGAGAGTGAGATGCTGTTACTCTGACCGACGATACGGGATCTGGAGCGCAACCGCAGACGCTGTACGGGACACCAAACCGTTCCCTCCAAAGTTTCGCCGTCTGATCGTATCTAGAGGAAATTACGCCAGCATCAATGGAATCATCATGGTTTGGAGTTCGCCCAAGGATGGAGAGCGTTCTCTCCCGATAGGTTCGTCCTTTGAGTTGGTGTGTGTGCCAAGAGAGGTCCTACGACCTCTTGGTGAGACGATTTATGAACGACAGCGACAAGACTTACGATATCCTAAATGGAAGTGAGATGAATTAGTTACTCCATAGAATTGTAGACATACCAGAGTGGGAACCAGAAGTGACCAGCTATTGGTGTACATCAAGTCCAAGAAGGCGTGGTACCTTGCGACAGATCGAACAAGAGGGGCGAGACTATCGGCATGTTCCCAGCGACCTGGTCGAGTCCACCCCATGTGAACTATCTTGTCGATGAACGTTGCTTGGCGGAGCACTGCTGCGACGAGGTCCAGCGAGGCGTATCCTGCATGACTATATGCGGTTGCTAGTCGATGAAGTCTACAAGGGAGCTCAGAATTGGCATCCGACGAGTAATATGACGAACAATTTTACTCGTGCGTCTCTATCGAGCGGAATTCGAGGCTGAGAACTGGTGTGCATCACGTCGCAGAGGACATCTGGATCCCATCGAAGCGTGCTTGCTAGCAGTTTTTTCTGTTCCTTTCTGTCTCCGGTCGATGAGGAGATCAGAGCCCACTCCTCGTCTAGTTGCTGGGCAACGTGAGGGATTGTTCGCTCTACCAAACCAGCCTACCTTGAATATTTTCGAATAGCGAGCCTCCGCACTGTAAATATCCTTGATCCCATCCCGAGCGCGGAGATATGTCTCTCTGCCGTCTATGAGTAAATAGTTCTACGCGATAAAGTACGCACGGGAAATAGATCGATTCGCCTTTCTTTTTCATGATAAACTCGTCTACGAAGCGACCGACTCCGATGTTTCCCTTGTTAAAGGTTTGGTGGCAGCCTTCGCATTTATGCTCAAATCTCGGTTGAGCGAACCCACGTTCTCCGTTTGCAACCCAGGTGACATGGGGGTTCAGGTGCTCGCAAAACGGACAAGGCAAGGAAAGCCCGTCCTCTACGTAGGTGACGAGTAGAATGTCATAGGTAGAGGTCGCGCGATCCTCAAAGGTCTTGCGACGTTTTTCGCTCGGTGGGTAGGCGCCTAAAGATTCTTCATCGATCAAAGACGCGGCTAGTTCGAGCGGAAATTCTCTACAACAATGAGAGCAATTAAGCTGGGAACCTCGACGAGGGGAGATAACGCACTCGAGAATAGTCAGATGCTTGCTATAATTGTTAGAAATACGTTGACTATCCTCATAATAATGCCGGGGATTCTGGATGTAGTGAGTGGCTTGGTTCATATGACTACACAAGGGGCGTACAAGAAGGTAGGTATGCCAGACCATTATCACGGGAAGTGGTGGCATCGCGGTGTCGTCCAACGGGAGTCTAGTGGGACCCCGTTTCGAAGTCATCCAGTTGAAGAACGAAACGACGGCCTTATTCACAAAAACGACCCAAGCAAGGTCTTTGTCCTTTGCCGCTAGGCCTTCGTCTTGAGACTCTACGTCTGCCTTCAACTTGTGAAACGCTCCAAGGAGACGCAGGTGTGCTTGAAGCTCGGAGACCGTGACAAGTGGGCGAATACTGGTCATTCCGACATAAAACTCTTCCGGAAGTTCTGTCGGATAGTGTGCGACTACATCATTTCTTTCTTCCATTTCAAGAGTTCGAATAACGACGCCGGACGGGTGGGTCTGCGAGACGATTTACGTCGAAGTGACCGTAAAGATGGGTACAGAACTTTAACTATTGTCGTGGTGCAACTCTTGCATCACGGGAATGGCGCGGAGAGGTGGGGGGACGACGCGTCGGTTACGGCGAAGCGCCGAGGCGAGTCGAACGTTTGTCGGTATTCGGCCTCGAATTGAATGAGAAGATGGTATACGCAAGGAGAAGAAAGATTCCTCGCGAACAATCTAATCTGTCACAAGCTGGAACGAGCCAGGTCAGACACGTTCTCGGGAGTCATTCCACGAACCTCGAATCCTAGCATATACATTCCGCTGTAGACCGAAACAACGCAGCAACTCTTCGTTGCTGCAGCACCTTGTTCATGGATCGTCGAGTCGTACACCGAACTGCTAGGCCAGGTCTTCCAGTTGAAAAGTGTGTGAATGAACCCTCGAGTTCCTCAGCGGCGCTCTCGTTTTTCAACATATCAGAGCGTGTAAGGAGTCTGTTAGAGATCCTTCATGCATAAAAGCCGAATGCAAGTAGATCGGAGTGCAATACGCTGTGTAGACGAGTTGAACAGGGTTATCGACGCCGGACCGAAAAGAATCATTATAAATAGTTTAATATTTTCGCACTCGGTCGGTAGTAATCACTGGGTCACTCCGATGAACGTGGAGACGCTCTGGTCCAAGGTGCGCTCGCCACTCTAAGGCCATCTATTATCCTATATTCCCGCCTAGAAACACCATTTTCTCCCTATCTCTCCCCGACTTGGTCATAAACAGACGTTCTGAGCTCATACCGCGGCAAGCCGATCGGGAGGTTTGTAATCTTAAACACAACGCTGTGGGAGGCTCCGAGGATTAGCTTTGCTTCGACGAGAGCCCTGACGGGAGCTCGGCGCTGAAGTGAAAGCACAATAGTGGTATAGAGACACATATATATAACTGTAGAATAAACTTGTCCTTCGTAACAGGCTATTCGTGTGTGGGGGGCTCACATGAGTTTCGCTCATCTTATCCAACTGGTGGAATTGGATCTCCGGAATATCCCAATGTATGGTACGGCTTTCACCCGCCGATTCCATGCTCTTCGATGTTTGTGCACTCTTGGCGCATGGTAAAGCCACTACCAGCTGCTCAGTACGACACTGTCCCCGTAAAAGTTACATCCTTCGATTGGGCTCCAGGAATTTTCACTACACTCGACCGACCCACCGTCAACTTGACCGACCAACAGCGCCTCCTGTCAAAAAGTTCGTACAGCGGCGAGTGCAACATGATCTGGAGAGTACCTCTGTTTTTGTTTATCAAACTCGCTCTCAAGGCTCGAGTGTTGATTCTAGGACGCGTGAGGTGAGAGGCAAGACCAGTAATGTCCGGCCGCATCGTCCCGCATCCCTAAATTCCGTTGTATTCTCGACACTAACTAATATCTCCTCTAATCCAACTCGTCTATGCTCCGATGGTGAATAAACTGAGCATTATGGTCGGCCTGGGCTTGGTGTACTTGGTGAAGATTCGTATAATGATCCACTTGTTGCATATGATGATCATAATGAACCTGGTGCGCAGCAGCGAGCTGGTGGTTACCACTATCTCATTGTCAATCCACATTCTTCAACGTATTTCATGATTTGACTCGCGTACGCACTTTTGCTCTGCCGCGTGGATATGATTTGTATGTGTATCTGCATGACCCAGGTGGGTTTTATGATGCACGGATCATGGAGGAATGCGCTCGTCACGCCGGAGAAGAGGGTGGCGGTGGTTGTTCGTATTTGCCTCATTTAATTGACCTTCGCACCGTCTGAGCCTTTTGTTTCCTTGTCTAGGCGCGATAGGTTTCTGCTTGCTGTAGATAATGATCTGCCAGTGCCTGGTGTTGTGCGTGCGCCGCGTGGTGGTTTATACTAAAAGGAGAGGTTGTAGGTGTTGGATAATATGCGTGTACAGGCTATGTAGAGCGAATATATACGCAGAGACTCTTCAGGCGTTGAGTCCTGGTAGACGAATGAGAGTGGGGAAATATCTTCTATGATTAATCAAGATGTAGCTCATAGCCCCTTATATATATGCTCGAGCTGATGATGACTAACCAGGATTAACTATGAGGCTATAGTGTTTAGCCCATGGGGAGCCTGGCTCCGCTGACTCTGTGTCAGCCGTGCTTGCGCTTACAACAGTAGGTAAGTGTTCAAATGTGCCCCCAGCTTCCAAACGTACAAAGGGAACGGAGCAGCAGACGCCAGGAAAGCAGACGCAGCAAAAAGTACAGCAAAGAAACCAAAGCGCATTTTCGATGAGAAGAGAAAGAAGAGAATAAAAGGCGATATGGCACGCTAACTCGGACAAAAATGCATCTATAGTGACAATGTTCGTGACAATTCGTGACAATTCGTGACGATTCGGCACAATGTTCGTGATAATTAATGACAATTCGTGACAATTCGTGATAGTAGTCGTGGCAATTCGTGACCGTGATCGTGACCGTGATCGTGACAGTGACCGTGACAGTGACCGTGACAATTCGTGACAGTGGCCGTGAAAATCACGAATTGTCACTAACATTGTCACGAATTGTCACGACCACTGTTACGGATTGCCGCGATCACGGTCACGAATTGCCACGGCCACTGTCACAAATTGTCAAGACCACTGTCACGATTGCTCACAGTTTGCCAACTGAGTTCAGGCGAATTCGAAGTCAGACACACGGTCTGTCACGACCACAGTCACGAATTGTCACGAACATTTTCACAAATTGTCACGAAACTTGTCACGAATTGTCACGATACTTATCACGAATTGTCACGAGCATTGCCCTGAATCAACACGATCTTGCATGGTCACTGTCACTGTCACAGTCACGATCACGATCACGAATTGTCACAACTACTATCACGAATTATCATTACTTGTCACGAACATTGTCACGAATTATCATTGATTGTCACGAATATCACGAATTTTCACGAATTTTCACGAATTTTCACGAAGTGTCACGAACACTGTCACGAATTATCACGGATTGTCACGAATTGGAACGAATAATCACGAATTGGAACGATCTTTCACGAGGTTTCCAAGTCAAGCCTGTATTTTTGTCCGTGTAGGCAGCCCAAAAGGCGAAGGATGAGAACCAGTCTGAGGAATGGGTGGTCGATGAGTAGGTGCTCTGCTGTGGGAGGCTCCTAGGATTAGCTCTGCTTCGATGAGAGCCCTAACGGGAGCACGACGCTGAAGGGAAAGCACGATAATGGCATAGAGACACATATGTATATAACTACAGAGTAAACATGTCCTTCATAACAGGCTATTCGTGTGTTTGGGGGGACGCGAAGCGGTCGGCAGGCAAAGGGTGGGTGTGGACCAGGGTTGGGAAGGGCGGGCAACCAAAACCAAACCAAACCATACTATACTATACTATACTATACTATACCATACCCGAAGCCTGCCGTTGCTCTGCGTGGGATCTCACGAAATCGCCGGTAAGTCGTGCAGGTGTCAAAGTTGAGGAGTGGGTGGGTAGGCAAAAGGTAAGGTGCGAGGCCACTGTCTCTTCGACGGTTGTGACGAAGACCAAGAAGCGAACGGAGTTGTAACCATCTGCGCTCGCTCACTTGGACGCGACCACGCCCTCTCTCTCGCGCAAAAATCAACGAGTTCTCTCGTATTCCTGCGCTCTCCTCTCTGCTCGCACAGCACGCTGTATGACTTCTTGTCATGCAGCCCCAACATCTGGCTCAGCGTCTAATGGCAAGCCTTACAGTCTCTGTGTGGCCAAATAAATTTCTGTATAACTTTCAGAGCTACAAAATACCAGATACAAAGGTTTCCGGTCAGACAGGCGCGCCTCTTCGCACCACCGACCCAGAATTGTCGTAATATCTACCTCATAGCGCATTACCGAAATTCTTAGAACAAGAATCTACCAAATCCGCGGGAAACCCAGCGCAGAGTTTCGCGACAACATACAAATGCTTCGAGGCCACGCTGAAGAAGCACCTGCAGTTCAAGTGTCTTGGACATAGACCCATACTGTCCGGAAATGTGGAAGATCCCTCAACTCTCAAGTTTGAGCAAGAGTATCGCTGGGAAACGCACGAACAAGTCGCCCAGCGTCGGTTGCATATTGGGAGTGCAATACAATCCATGTTCAACGACGGTGTAATTGGGGGCGGAGATCTACAAACTTTCGGAACATGGACGATATCAGATTTATGAATCGAGCACGCTCAGTTATACCTAGTAACGATAGCCTTCCGGCATTTTGCATTCGCATCGTCGCCATGAAATTAGCGCCTCTCTCTCGGATCACGTCGACTCAGGGCCCGCTGTATTACTGGACGACAAAGGAATGACGGATGCGGCCTACTCGATGAATTACTGCCCTAGCCACGCAGCCACCAACGACCAGGGCCGTCAACTTCTCCTTTCCGCCGATTATTCGACTTACCCCATGTTTAATGACACTAGTGTGTCTTCTTATTACTCAAAGTTCTCACTGACTTGAAGAATGAAAATAAAAATGTATAATGACGGCTCTCTCTACTCTAGACTTTCTCTCAGCCGAGCTACCTCATTGAGTCTGCAGCCTTTTTCCTCGCAGACGCATGCACGAGCAAGTATGTACTTAGAGTCTGGGACTGAGTCCTTGGCCTTGCCTGTGCTGATGACTTTGCCTGTAATTTGTAATGGCCTGTGCGGCTCTCTGCTTCTCGTTGAAGTGATAGTCCACCTTTTGATCAATCAGGACTTTCTCCTTACGCCACTTTCTCTCCTCCCTCTCATGGTGCTTTGCTGACTCTGCGTATGCTGGGCCCCTGTGATTTGTGAGTCAGTTTAACATCTACTATACACAGCGGAAGAATTACTTTCTAAGTGCATCTTCCTTGTGGTCACGATGCGTATTTTCCTTATCTTGGGCATGTCGATAGTCTTTCGCCCAGCTTTGCCAAGCAGCATGATGCGAAGCGTGCTTTTCTTCCAAAGCTTTCAGGGCTGTATCAGTGCGAGCAACCAGAGTTTCGAAGTTGATTTGGGGTCTAAATCGTGCGCAAATTAGATTCGAATACTCGACCATTCTGGGACTCACTCAGGAATGGGGGCACCAGCCGTCAAGATGGCAGATGCGGCAAAAGTGATGATAAGAAGGAATCCGCGCATTTGGAAGAAATGAAAGGTACGTAAAATGAAAAAGAGATAGATAAGAATGTAGAAAAGGCAAGGGAAGAAATGAGAACCAGTCTGAGGTAAATCGACAACGATGAGTAGCCCTTTTATGGCTCTCAGAGTCTATACCACATTTCTGCGTGCAGATAGCACAAAATAACCGCTATTAACAGGTAATATAGACGGAAATAACGACATAGCCCCTCACCGTGACCTCAAACATCTGCTCGGATCAGCGGAGGACTACGCCATGGCGCCTACCTTAAACCCGTAGAAGTGTTCAATTCTATTCATATACTTGAGGTGCAGTAGATGATTGAGTAAACTCCACTTCTCGGCATTCTCTCCCTTTATGGTCGTCACATCTTCGCTTGCTTCAATCCAAGTGAACTATTACTCAAAATACGATGCTCCAGTGTGTTGTCTTTGCCGTATGTCCGATCTGCCAAGAAGTGGCATAGTGTCGCTGCCGCACTTAGCGCGTGAACGGTCACGTATCTCCTGAGCCTTGCAGGAACGTAATGGACATAAGGAGTTTCGCCGTCTTTGCGCCACCCGAATCGCGCAAACGATTGGAATTTGATCATTCGACGAGCGGAGTTATCGGCATCCGCTAATGAACGTGGGACTCACCATTCCCGGATCAAATTCAAAGTTTCGACTGTCACCCGGAGATTACATGTATCTGGATATATGGCAACCCAAGCCCAAGTGCTTTCATCGTGCTCACTTTGTGGACCTGGTGGCTCATCTCGTAGGACAGCCTCTGAAATATCCTTATCGACGTACGTGGTATACACTATAGTAGAGATCAAATCGATGGGCTCATGTAGTATACGAACAACCAGGCTACAGGTTCTCCAGCTGAGCCCACCGACGTTGGTACTCAACGTTTGCGCCGACAGTCGAGAAATTCTGGTAGATCCTGGTCAGTAACCCAACGACCGCTTCGTCTTGGAGCCGCATCGTCTTGCCGGAACCCAAGGTTCTGACTCGACAGCGTCTCTAAAGAGCGCGTTCAGTATGTGTGTTAGGAGAGTCAAGAAGGCCGTTATAAAATGCTGGGGTATGTTCGCACTTCATTGCTAGCAAGCTGTGAACACGCTGGGCCCCTAGGATGCGCTTGCCACTCCAAGGTCCTCCATTAGCATATATTCCCACTTAGAAACACCATTTTTCTTCCATTTTCCCTGAATTAGTCAGAAACAGACGTTCTGAGTTCATACCGCAGCCAGCCGATCGCGGGGTTTGTGATCTTGGACACGACAACATCTGGCTCAACGTCGAATGGCAAGCTTTACAGTCTCTGGGTGGCCAAGTGAGCTTCCGTATGACTCTCAGAGCTACGAAATTCCAGATACAAAGGCACCCGGTCAGACAGGTGCGCCTTTCCGCTCTATAAACATAGAATCGTCGTGACACCTATCTCCTAGCGCATTACCGAAACTCTTTGAACAACAAACTACCAATTCCACGAGGAAATCCAGCGCAGAGTGTCGCGACAACATACGAATGCTTCGAGGTCACGCTGAAGAGGCATCCCCAGTTCAAGTGTCTCGGACATAGACCTATACTGTCCGGAAATGTGGAAGCCCCTCAACTCTCAAGTTTGAGCAAGAATATCGCTGGGAAACGTACGAGCAGGTCGCCCAGCGTCGGTTGCATATTGGGAGTGCAATACAATCCATGTTCAACGACGGTGTAATTGGAGGTGGAGATCTTCAAACTGTTGGAACATGGACGATCAACCGACCAGGTAGGGGCATAGCCAAGAACGCCGTCGAAAATTCTCATCCTTGGCGCAGAATGGCAATTGGTGGATCTCGCTCTGTCTGCATACAACAAAGTAGGTGTCGCTCTGTACAGCACACTTGGTCGGAACGCCGTTGGTACGTCGAAAACAGCCATAGTTTGAATCCGACTGACATCCCTTTTTTCAGAGTACATGTGAGTCGAACATCTTTGTCTTGATCCAATATGCTCATATTAATTCAGAATCAACCACTCGGAGATTACCATTGTCTTTGTCGCCGCCCGGAATATGGAGTCCCTCATCGCATTGGCTCCAAAGTGCCCCAAACTACGGATCGTAGTCTCGTTGGACAAGCTTAGCATGGAAACAGAGCAACGTGCAATCCAAGTGCTCAAGGAGCATGGAATGCGCTTCATGAATCTATCAGAATGTGAGCAAGCGTGTGAGCTGGATTACGAAATTGACCGCGATCGTAGTAGAGGATGCCGGCAAGTCCAACCCACTTCCACCCACTCCACCAAACCCAGAGGACATTGCCACGATATGTTACTCGTCTGGAACGACCGCTAATCCAAAGGGTGTCGTCCTCACGCACTGGAATTTGACTTCCTCGGCAATCGCATTCAGTCAAGGTTTTACTTTTCGCTCAGCAGATCCCAACGTGGCTCTTATTTCCTACCTTCCTCTTGCTCATATCGTCGGGCGCGTTATCGAGTATACTGGATTCCTCTTGGGATGCCGGATCGGCTACTACACTGGAGATCCACTAGCACTCATCCAGGATTGTCAGATTCTCAAACCGAGCATCTTCCCCGCCGTCCCGAGAATACTCAATCGGATTGCCATGCGGTTACAATCAGTCAAGGCGGAGAGTAGTATCAAAGGTACATCCGTCTCGTCGCCGTGTTTCTTCCTCTCACTACACGCCAGGCGCTCTCCTTAGATGGGCACTTGGGACAAAGATTGCGAGAATACAACAGGATGGATACGTACATCACTGGTTCTGGGATTTCCTCATATTCAACAAGGTGGCGGGGGTATATACAAGTACTCGACGTGTATTGACGATTTCTAGCTGAAGGCGGTTCTTGGAGGAAATGTTGAGTATATTTGCTCTGGAGCCGCCCCATGCGTTCCAGATGTTCTCTACATGCTACGTGCAGGATTTGGATGTGAAGTTTGGGAAGGGTGAGTCGAATCCAATTTCCATCCACGAATCTCAGCTGAGATCTCGCAGATGGGGTCTCACGGAAACTTGTGGGGCCGGTGCTCGCTCCTTTCCACGAGATCCATCGGCTGCTGGCACCGTTGGAAGCGTCAGTAGTAGTGTAGAGGTCAAACTCGTTGACGTTCCCGATCTCGGATACAGCGCAGAGGACAGGCCGAATCCACGTGGAGAGCTCTGCGTTCGAGGTCCAAGCGTGTTCAAGGAGTACTACAAGGGTACGGTTATCCTTATTGTAAAGACGAATACTAAGTCGAATGCTTAGAACCTGAACTCACCAAACAAGCCAAGGATGCCGATGGATGGTTCCATACAGGCGATGTTGGTGAAATCGATTCTCAGAAGCGAATTAAAGTCATAGACCGTGTCAAGGTAATAATTGGTTTCCTCCGCGCAGTACGCGTCAGATTACTGACGACCCTGAAAGAACGTCTTGAAGCTCTCCCAGGGAGAATACGTCGCGCTTGATAAAGTAGAAAACGGATATGCAACGTGCTCTATTCTCGCTCAGCTCTTTGTCTACGGAGACTCGAAGAAGAATCACCTTGTCGGGCTTGCGGTACCAGAACTCCCAGAATTTGTCAAGCTGGTCAACAGGGTTCAAGGAAAGAATATCAAACAAGACAATATGGCAGAACTGGAACAAGCCGCCGAAGATCCCGCCGTCAAAACGGAGATTGCGCGGCTGATGGACGCATCGGCCAAAGAAGCGGGTCTCCAAGGGTGAGTGACGCTCTTTTGTTGTGTCGTGTTCTCACACGGTCGACAAGGTTTGAAAAGGTGAAGACTTTCAAGGTGATACTCGAACCATTTAGCACAGAAAATGGCGGCATGACGCCCACCTTCAAATTACGAAGGTTAGTCGACCGACCGTCCTTCCCTCTAATATCTGACCTGCCGTAAAGGAAGGAAATCGAAACTCGGTACAAGAGCACTCTCGAAGCGCTCTACGAAGAATCTTCCTGACGAACATCCTGGCACTCATTTTTCCTCAACTTTGTCACTAGTATTAATTCGATCGAGATTAGCCGCATGGCGTGAATAGATCAAAATGTATAAGACATCTTGCTTCGTCTAGGCCTCGAATGCGCCCTTGAAGAGCCGTGCAACTTCTTGCGCATGGACCTTTGGCACTCCAACGGCGGGAACCTCGCTGGGCTCTCGTCCGACATAGGATACCTCCCTTGTGTATCCCATGTCCCGAAGGACTCTCTGGAGACGCGGCATGACATGCGGCCATGCCCCTTGGTTCTGCGATTCCTCTTGTACCCACAGAACTTCTAATTCGCCGCCCTCCTCTATATAGGGCGATAGGGTATCCCTTATAGCGGTGAATGGGAACGGGCATAGTTCTTCAACACGAAGAATGGCGACAGTCTCGTCAAGCCCGCGGGCTGCCCGTTCTTTCACGAGGTCGTGGTAGAGTTTACCAGACACGATAAGGATGCGCTGTGTGTTTGATGGTGAGACCTCGACGTCTGGAATCACAGGTTGAAAGGCCGTTCCGGGGAGGAAGTCGGACAGATTCGAGGATGCGGCCTACGATTTACCCAGGATTAGCGATGAAACTCAAAGCAATATACGGGAATAATGTACCGGCGATCGTAGTAGGCTCTTTGGAGAGGCGACGATGAGCGGCTTCCGGAAGTTTCGCTTCATTTGTCGCCTGAGCAAGTGGAAGTATTGAGCTGCTGATGTCGGATTCGCTACCGTCATGTTCACATTGACACCCTTGTTGTCGTAGAAGGGGTCATTGGTCAACTTGAGCCAGCGTCAATGCTACTTGTAGTGACTTGAGGCGAAGCTTACCTGAAGCATCCTCTCAATCCTCATGGACGAGTGTTCGGGGCCAGCTCCATCCAAGCCATGGGGAAGGAGCATGACTAGACCTGATTGCATCGCCCACTTCGCTAATGACCTTGTGAGTATCCGCCAGCTTTTTATCTAACCCGAATTGCTCACTTTGCGACGACGAGATGAACGTGTCGATAATCACCTTGGAGTCGAATCAGATACCCAATCAGAAGCATAGCGATTGTAGTGAAGAACATGCCTGTGCGCCGTTGAAAAAGTCACCAAACTGTGCTTCCCAGATGGGGAGAAGGTTGGGCGAGTCCCAGCTCATGCCGTACTCAAACTAGATTCTCGTCAAAACTTGCAGGTGGATAGTCAAACCAACTCACACCTAGTACCGCGAATTCACTCAAGGAGCCTATACGGACGATAAGCGGACGAGGTAGAATGGAAAAAAAAAAGACCGACTATTCGCCAACTCAAGACGCCCTCCAGATAGGAATTCGTTAAGCGGTACAATGACCTCCTCCGTCTTTTGATCGACGAGCATCGCATGTCTTCTCAGAGTCAGCCCAAAAGCTCCAAGGGAAAAGATATTCTATCACATACCGATGACTAAATGTGCCTCGACCGACATCTTGACCAGAGATCCGTACATCATATCCCTCGGTCATCAAAGATCCAAAAGCGAGCGCCTGGGGCACTATTAGTACCACTTCGCTAGGCTACACGATGCCATGCTGCGACATGCCGACAATGTGGAAAAGGGGCGCCATCGTACGTACCTCTGCCGTAGCCCAATTAATACCAGTCTTAATCTCAAGGCTCTTCAAGCGTGCATCGATATGGCGCTTGAGTCGATCATGCATCGTCTAGTCCAGGGTTAGTTTAGTGCCGTCAATAGCGAATGTACTCACGAAGCCATCGGTTGTCTTTACACTCGCCCTCCCAACTTTCATCAACGTATCCTTGTTGACCCCGGTTTCCGGATGGTAGTTTGCAGCACTACTCGCGGGCCAAACCATATCGTTCCACTTGCCCCGCGCAACGCTCTTCTCCTGACCTGGATCCCATTCAGAGGTTGGCTTATAGGATGTGCTCTGCTCCAGTTCGGATTGGAGGTATGCAACGCAATCCTTTCGGAATGTATTGGCGACAGTTTCGTTGATGATTCCGGATTCCTGTGGGATAGGTACGTCAGTCAACGACACGAATCTAATAACAGATGAAGAAGACGATGCGATAGGGAAAGGGGAGAGGGCGAGTGAACGTACGATTAGCTTTTGCTCGTAACGCTTAGGAACGCTAGCACGCTGCCTGATCTCTTGATACATGAGAGGTTGTGTAAAGCTTGGCTCGTCGAGTTCGTTATGTCCCCTTGGCAACCGGGTCAGGCACGTTGCTAATGATTCTCGGTGAACGTACCAGCGACGATAGGTGATAAGGTCGACAATGATATCCTTCAAGTTGTGAGTTTATGCTGAGCAGACGATATGGACAAAATGACCTTGCGGAAGAAATTGCGATACTTGAATGCAATCTCCATCGCTCGAGCGACTTCTTCGGGGAAATCACCATTGACGTGGAGGACGGGTGCGTTGATCATCTTGCCAATGTCCGAGCAGTAAAGCGAGGAGCGGGAGATTGTTCCCGGCGTCGTGTATCCAATACTGTTCCAATCAGAAGCCGAAAGAGACGGAAGAAGCGTACTCACTTGTTGCTATACCACGTCAGCAAAGGTAGAACGAAGAAGATAAGACATACTTTACAACCAAATGAACGCTACCGCCACTTGTGTAATGAGGAAGGTTACCTAGAGGCGTCAGCATCGAGTAGCATAGTTAGGTCCAAACCTACTGAGACCAAGAGACTCCATGACGACTCCTTGTCCGGTGAACGCTGCGTCGCCGTGCAACTGCACACACATGACTTTATCTCCGAGCATGCAGGACGAATCCGAAGTGTGGAGGAGAGAGTATTGCTTTCCGCGCGTCTTGCCAAGAACAACAGGATTGATCGCCTCTACTGGGATTAATCATGGTCCATCGGAATAGGACAAACTAACCCAGATGAGAGGGATTCTGAAGAAGTTGCACGGTCAATTCGCCATGTCCAGTATCTATTTGAGATGTGATTGCTAGGACTGGTAAGCAAATGAGAAGGATTGGGGTTGGGCGGATATACCTAGATGGCTAATAACGTCTCCGGTAGCACCAAGCCATTCAGGGAGTTCTCTATTCCCCTTAATCTTATGGAATAATGCTCTTGGTTTAAACTTGAGGAGATCTGTGAGAAGATTGAGACGGCCGCGATGCGGCATGCCGATCAGAATATGCTCGACGCCCGCTAAAGCAACAGTCAGCTCGGTGTTGTAGGGATAGAGTGGAGGGTAATCACCAAGAGAGGCAGTCCTGAAGAGGGCATCCAGAGCCGGAATCATGCTCTCTGCGCCTTCAAGTCCATAACGTTTGAGATTTGGAAACTTGTCCTGGAGGAACAAGTCCATAGTCTCGCTCTTGACCAACGTCTCCCAAATGCGCCTCTTGTCCTCTTTGGAATGCTTTTGTGCACGCGCCTTTGCGTCCTCGGACTCGAGCAGATGCGCAAACCACAATCGCTCCGCTTTTGACGGCGAGTGCATGAACTCGTAGCCAATAGACCCGACATAGACGTCTCTGAGATGGTTTGTAATGTCGTCGAGGGTCCATTTAAGATCCGAAGAAACTGGCGAGGTCGTGGACGTGTCCAAGCTGGGCGAGTGACCGTCGTACCAGATAATGCCGTTGATATCATACGGCGCGTCTGAGGAGCGTAGACCATAGCGCGCTGGGTCGAGTGCTGAGACGGGTTCACGCTGTAACTTGTCGAGCGGGTCGACGAGGGCGGCGCGGTGACCGTGGAGGCGGATCGAGTCGACGTAGCGGAGTAGGGATGCATTCTTTGCTCTGTTTGCTAGCTGTTCCGGTGTATCTGCATTCCAACGTGTTAGTGTAGTAAAAACATAGACTACGGCTACTACTCACAGTCTGGCATGGCAAATTTCCGGGGTGGTCTGAACCCAAACGAGTGGTCATGGTAGAAGCGTGTTCCGAGTCGTGTTGGTCGACGAGGAGCACGCATCAGAAATCTTGTCGAAATTGGCTGTCGTGGTCGGGACGGAACATTCAGCTGACCAAACGTTGCCATTCTTGACCGCCGCTCCAATGGTTAGCCAATCACATTTTGGCTAATAACCGCGTGATTCACCCGTTTACAGACTGTTTGTCCATATTATCTGCGCGGAGATTGCAGATTCGGTGCAAATTGCAGAAACGAACATCCAAACCCAAAACCATCTGGTACACATCTCCATCGTGTCTTTATGCACTCTCATCTCGTTTACAGGCGCCGCATGGGGCAGCAACGCCCCCTCTACAAGCGCAGCAGGCTCGGGCACTGTTGCCTTCAAGTCCGTCTCTCGTTCATCTTCCCTTCCGTCATCTGACATCAAAATATCAGTGCAGAGTCGATAAAACGCGACTTTGAACCATCCGACAAGCCAATATGGCCCCTATCGTCATACGGCGTCGCAAAAAACGAGCCAAACTTTCTTTCAGGACTCGATATCTCGCCAGAAGAGCTCAGAGCACGCGCAGTAGACAGACTGAAACGCGGAAGAAGTCAATCCTATGTGCGCAATTGTCAATCCCGAATTCCTAACCGCTGACTTTGGATAGACCGATTACGAAGCAAGCATGATACAGAATGCGAGCCAAGTATATTCAAAGGTCACAACTGATCCGCAGGGCGCGTTCCAAACCGCCTTTCAACTCTCCAAAGGAATCGCACCGACTGCTCCGCAAGCCGCTCCACAAGCCGCTCCGCAAGCGGCGTCCTCGTCCGCCTTTGGAGCGCCATCAACTTCGGCATTCGGCAGCACATCAGCCTTTGGGAAACCATCCGCACCAGCATTCGGACAATCCGCTTTCGGTCAACCCGCCGGTGGCTCAGCGTTTGGTCAACCTAGCGGCCCCTCGGCATTTGGCACATCCACATCGACTAGCGCCTTTGGGAAACCGGCATTTGGATCGAGTACAGCTCAGCCAGCGTTTGGCGCGTCGACGTTTGGACAACCAGGTGGCGCAAGTGCATTTGGCGCGTCGACATCAGGCGGTGGATTTGGCGCATCAACATCTGGTTCCACCCCGGCGTTTGGTGCATCTACCTCTGGAGGCGGATTCGGTGCTTCGACCGCCAACACCAGCTCGGCATTTGGAGGCGCCGCAACCAGTGGTGGAGGGTTTGCTGCGTTTGCGTCCAAACCGGCTGGATTTGGACAACCTGCATTTGGGCAATCTGGCTTTGGTGCACTTGCAGCAAGTGCACCGCCAGGAGGTACTCCAGCGTTTGCGCAACCAGCTACTGGCGGAAGCGCGTTCGGTACCTCGACATTTGGCCAACCCTCGACCACGACAACAACAACACCGTTTGGTGGCTCTGCCTTTGGAGCATCTCAGGGAGGAGGTGGAGGTTTCAGCGCGTTTGCGAGTACTGGGCCGTCTGGGTTCGGAGCGTCGACTACCACGACCAATCCACTCAACCCTCCCTCTACGAGCACTTTCGGTCAAGCACAACCACCACCAGCGAGTTCAAACCCACTCGACGCGCCCAGTACCGGTGCGGCGCCACAGAGTGCCTTTGGATCCGCATTCGGCCAACCAGCATCTGGGTTTAGCCAACCGGTAGGACTATCCGGGTTTGGCTCAATGGGACTCGGAGGATCCTCGACCACAACAGCTCCGGCTCCAGCTCCGACCACGACAGCACCAGTAAATCCATTCGGGCCACGCCCAGGCGCTACCACGACAAGCAACCCATTAAACACCTCATCTCCATTTGGTGCGTCGACAGCACCGGCAAATCCGTTTGGACCACGTCCAGGCGCAGCCACGACGAACAATCCATTAAATTCTTCATCTCCTTTTGGTTCATCGACAGTACCAGAAAATCCGTTTGGTTCCACGTCGGTGCAACCGGCATTTGGGACGTCTACATTTGGACCACCATCGGCGTTCGGGGGCACACAACCATCCGCCCAACCCCCTGCGCAAGCCGCGCGGCCACCTACTGTGGCAGAGGCCAACATCTTTGCGTCTCTTTCGATACCATCGACATACAGCCGACCTATCACGGATCCATATGCCTCCCAACTCCCGCCAAACTATATGGCTATGCTCCCTCAAGACGTCAAAGATGCTTTCACCTCGGAAAGGTTTACGTTTGGACAAGGCGTTGGAATTCCGACTTGGATACCGCCGTTGGAAATGCGATAAATCTTTGTACGTATGTTGTATTCAACCTGAACACGAAACTATGGCGCGACTTGTCCATGGTAGAGAAAGTAGTGACGGAGGTGACTACGTTGTTCAGATGCACGTCACGTCGATCTGGAGGGAAGCGCATTGCAACGGTTGGAGCAACCGAGTTCCATGTGTACTGGTTGGATCTGCGAGGTCAAATATAAAGTCATCCGTGGCCTAATCTTCCATGCCATTGGACCGGATACCATTATCAGCAATGATGACAAGACACTGGTGGACATTAGCTGCATAGGTCCTGGTCTACTTGCATACCCACAGGTGAGCTCAACGTTCATATATCTATTCTGATGGATACTTTCGGCCCCAAGCACATTCAGGAGACCGAAACGTGGTCTTGTTTTCGTATTCTTTATCCTTTGGTCAACACATCGGTGGCAGTATGCCTATCATTCGGTTGATCTCAAACGCCGACTGAGCTACATTACATTGTGTTCGTTAGACCCAGTACAATCCCTACTGAACATGATTCACGCTACGCAGCAGTATTCACGTCTCTGCACATATCTTTTCAGGTAAAATGCGGCTTTATTTTGGACACTAAGAAATGCATCCTCTAATCCAACTCCTCTATGCTCCGAGTCTCAAGACGTTGACGGTGATGCTCCGCTTGTTGCATATGGCGAGTGTATTGACCTAGATGATGCACCTGTTGCTGATTATGGTAATCCATCGCCGTCTGGTGCCGCGCAGCGGTTTCTCCATCATGTCTATCTAGCGGTCAGCACACGAATGTCGGTACATTCATGGGTTCGTTTAGCGTACAGACCTTCTTTGCGCCAGGGCGAGGGCGCCGGAGTGGAATATCGCCTGGTTTCCGTGATGACCTGCTTGTATTTGATGGTGATCCGCCGAACGTAGATGATAGTTCATCGCCCCTTCGTGGTTGAAGACAGGACTGAATGGAGGGGAATACGTGAGCACACAGTCACATTGCTCCTGTCTGAACGTACACGGGGAGTGGAGCAGCAGATACCAAGAGAGCAGCCGAGGCGAAAAGTGCAACAAAGCGACTAAAGCGCATACTGGATAAATTGCAAAAGAAGAGAAAGAAGAGTAGAAGAAAGATATCGGGGGATGAAAGTGAAGGGTCAGAACCGGTCTGAAAAGTAAGTGATTGAGATATAAAATCGAAGCTGAGAGCCAGTCTGAGGACTGGGTGGTCGTCGAGTAGCTGTTTTTATAGGAGCTAGGCCTGTTGAAACCGCCCAGAATTGCATCTCCTAATATTCTATAGTGTCATTTGGTCCTCCCTACATCGCTAGACGTCCCTATCACTTGTGTAACAAGCGCTAGTCATCCGACTACTCCGAATGGTTGTCCAGGCGGCTGTACCTGTCTATATCATATATATCTGTGCCCTGAACTCACACTCTGGAAAGCCTTAAGGCGTTGGACCAGTGCCCGTGGCATTGCAATAGGACCTATCGAGCCAAATTAGCGTTTACTGCCTAGATGTCGTACCTGTAGTCGGCATTGAACATTCTCGTCACTCACAGCGTCCCCGCTTCATTCTTGACCCATCGCCGTCTATTGTCGCCGCCAACTATTGGGCGTGCATATTGGACGACAATTAGCGCTTCGTGTCCTGATGTTGTACCCAATGTTATTATTGAATATCTCCGTCATTTACTGTGTCTGCTCCACTCATGACCCCGCGCCATCTATTGTCCCCGCCGTTTATTGGGCCTGCGTATGATGCAGGGATCATGGAGGAATGCACTCGTCACGCCGGAGAAGAGGGTGGCGGTATTCTTTTGTATTTGCCGCATTCGGTTGACCTTCGCACCGACTGAGCCTTGTGTTCCCTTGTCTAGGCACGATAGCATATTCTAGGACAATTGGCGCTTTGTGTCTAGCTGCTGTAGCCAGTGTCATTATTGAATAGTTCCATTATTTACAGCGCCTCCGCTTCATTCTTGGCGCGCCATCATATCGTCCCACGCCATCTATTGGGTATAATATCATAGGGAATTGGCGTTAACGGTCTAGATATTGCGTCCAAATGTGGTGTTGAACAGTCCATTTACGATCAGTGTTGATCACAGTCCAGCGGCCCCAACAATCAGTGTTTCAATCGCTTCAGGGGTATTTTAATGCGTGAAATCGGCTATATTCCTGGAAATAAAGTAAATGAGTCCTCTAATCCAGCTCCTCTATGCTCCGCTTGGTGCAAGCGGCGGGTGGTTGAGTGTGCAGTCTATGGTAGGCTGCCGCTCTGCTGTGCGTAGTGGCGCGGCGGTCAGCTTGCTCCGCCAGACTCAGATAATGATCACGCTGGACCTGGTGATTCTGAGCGGCCGTTGCCCCAGATGGGTCTACGCCCGTGTGATACCTATCTTATCGTCAGCATACCGTCCTTTAGCTGGTTTCATGGCTGAGATAGAGAACGAACTTTCTTAGTGCCGCGTTAATTCTTTCGGTGTGCTGGCTCGACGTTTTATTCAGCATCAATATGACACTGTACGACGCAACTTGTTCATGGTAAAGGAAAAAAAGCAATAGAGGTGACTACGCCGTCCGGCTGCAAAGGCAACCGCAAAAGACTAATACACTAGTCTTCGACGCGTAGGTCAACGGCGCACATATAGAGTCGAATCAGTCTCTTCAATCACGGAGTTGTCATTCAAACTCACGTGGCTGCTGGCGTGCCATCGCACTGGAATGGTGCCATCCTCCTGACGCTCACCTTCTTCATCGCGAGGACTTGACGCATGCAGCGAGGTGTTCCTTCGGCCGCTATGAAGTGCGTGGAAACCCTCATCTCCGCCGCACATATTCCTACCAGCATGAGCGACCATAGTACGTCATCAAATTCATCTAGCCGGACTTTCTGTTCGCTATATGACCGACTTCGCAGACAAAACAACCATAATTAACCCTCAGACGCCGCTGGTGCAGAATTGTGGGAGTATAGGCCACGATCCAGAGCCTCATATTCAGTTTCGCATGTGTATACTGCATTGTCCCCTATCAGGGACCTTCTTTGCGTTCAAGGACCTTTATAATCAGCGCCCACACTGCGCAGCAGAGCTCACATCTCTGTAGAAATTCTTTCATACGCAAATTTAGCAATACTGTGGACAATAAAGATATGTATCCTCTAATCCAACTCGTCTATGCTCCGGTGGTGAAGTTGCGACGCATGGAAGTTGGCCATGTTTTCATGGTGTGCTTGACGGCCCATATGATATTCTGCTTTATTAATACTTTGCTGCCATTGATTCTGGTGCACCCCAACTGCTGCGTGGTCACCTCTATCTCGTTGTTAGCGTACGATTCTTTGGCAGATTCCATGGCTCGATTCGCGGACGGACCTCTGATGTGCGCTGTCGATAAGACCGGCTTGAGTATTTGCATGACGCAGTTGGGCTGATGCCTCTGCACCATGCCACCTTGCGCTTGCTTGGTGTATTCCTAATTGCTCTGCATGGTATGAAAGCCGGTTCGCCGGGCTGAATGAAAGAGTTATCTCAGTGAACGCTCACACAACCTCTCCGCGTCTGAACATACTCAGGGAGCGGAGCAGAGGACACCAAGAAAGCGGACGCGGCGAATAGGACAGCAAAGAAATGGACGCGCATGTTGGCTGGGCAAGTTGGGAGAAGAGACAAAGAAGAATAGGAAAAGAAAAGATGAGGGATGAAAGTAAAGGCTCCAGGCTAGTTTAAGGAATGGGTGGTCAAGGATGAAAGTGAAAGACGAGAACCAGTCTGAGGGGAGAATGGTTGACGAGGGGGTGCTCTTTATAGGAAAAGACTGCACCCATACAGCCTCAAATTCGCATCACCTGATAAAGTCTTTCCTCCATAAAAGCACGAGACGCGCGCATGACTTTGGTGATCAGCGCTCGCCTATCGGCTAGCCTGGGTGCAGTCCACGCAGCTGTAGCAGGCTACATCGTTTGCGTGTATATCTTTAACCGATGCTTTGAGAAAGTTTATACTCCTGGACTAGTGCAGCGCGCGCGTCGGAACAGATCTGGCGGACCGAATGAGCGCTCACTGTCAAAATATTAAACCCGAAAGTAGAATGAATAGTCATACCTTCAATGCTTCATATCCAACCTAACTCCGTCATGGTCCCGCGGCGTTGCGCGCGCATACTGTGGGAATAATCCTCAAAGCTGTTATCCCAAATTTCCACCTGCTTACTAAACGACACTTTGCCATGTAGGATATTATGTTCAGAGGATTGTCACCAAACCAGTGATGTAATATCTTATCAATCATGGTTCGAGACCAAAGGTCTCTCCGTGCTGCGAGCGGCGGGCGAAGGGCAGATAGCGTTGCGTACGATAGAAGATATGACTATTTATTGAGCCAGCGGGCCTAAGTACAGGAGACGAGTGAAGAGCAGGTGGCAAGCCAAACGAAAGGCTTGTCCCCCACAGCGACAACGCACGAACGTTGCGCGCTAGCGGAGCCAGCGCGTCAAAGAGGAGACTGTGGAGATCACCTACCAACCCACTACGCCCTAGGTAATGCTCGATAGGGGGGTAGGAGTTGTAGGGGCGCCATCGCACCCAAGCACTCGCACCCATCACCTGCCTCGCCTATCGGCCCTCTAAATAAGCGTAAGCCTAGGGTGCGGGTGTGAATGGAAAAAAAATTTATCCTAATGATTGACCTACGCAATAAGGATGAGACACCGAAGGAGCGCGATTAGAGTCGCAGTTGACACCATCACAATATCTTTGTAGTCAGTTATATGATGAACTACTATTTACTTGCTGTTTCCCCCGAGGTCGTTTGCAATCTGCGCCGAATACGGTCTACATGGCAGCATTCACATTACTTCAGGAATATTTTTATGGAAGATCCAGCTGTATTCTTAAAACTAAGGAAATGAGTTCTCTAGTCCGACTGGTCTATGCTCCGCTTGCCACTTTGCAGTTTATGGAAAACCGCCTCCCTGTAGTGTGCAACCATTTTATCTTTGTGGTGTTTTACTAGGGATTTCGGGTGAATGTGCTCATCATGGTACGCCTTAGCGAGTCTGAGGTTTGTCCTACCTTAACGTCAGAACGTGATTCTTTGGCATATTTCCATGGATCAATTAGAAGACGAACTTTTTTCTTTTCCTCTTTCGCCTGAGAGGCATTTGGTCCTGCTAATTTTTGGAGGTGTCCCGCATGGGACCTATGTTCGTTTGCTAGTTTTTGATGGTATGCCGCCACCTTACGGAGATCCTCGATCATCGTAGAGCTGGATGAAAGTTGTATTTGGATGAGCACCTAATCATATTCTTCGTGTCCGAACTTACTCAGGGAGCGGAGCAGCGGACACCAAGAAAGCGGGCGCGGCGAAAAGTACAGCAAAGAAACCGACGCGCATGCTGGCTGAACAAGCTGAGAGAAGTGAAAAATCCGAATAGGAAAAGAAAAGATGAGGGATGAAAGTAAAGGCTCCAGGCCAGTCTAAGGAATGGGTGGTCAAGGATGAAAGTGAAAGGCAAGAACCAGTCTGAGAGCAGGATGATTGACGAGGAGGTGCTCTTTATAGGAAAGGGCTGCATCCATACAGCCTCAGACTCACATCACCCGACAAGGTCCATGAAAGCACAAGCCGCGCGCATCACTTTGGTGATCAGCGTTCGTCTTTCGGCTAGCCTGGGTGCAGTGCACGCAGCTGTAGCAGGCTATACCGTTTGCGTGTATATCTTTAATCGATACTTTGAGAAAGTTTATACTCCTGGACCAGTGCAGCGCGCGCGTCGGAACAGATCTGGCGGACCGAATGAGCGCTCACTGTCAAAATGTTAAACCCGAAAGTAGAAACGAATAGTAACACTTTCACTGCTTCATTTCCAACCTAACTCCGTCATGGTGCCGTGGCGTTGCGCGCGCATACCGTGGGAACAATCCTCAATTCCCATCTGATTACTACACGACAGTTCCTCTTTGCTATAGTATGTCTTCGCCATGTAGGATATTCCGTTCAGAGGATTGTCACCGAACCAGACCAGTGATGAAATAACTTATCAATCATGGTTCGAGACCAAAGGTCTCTCCGTGCTGCGAGAGGCAGACGAAGGACAGATAGCGTTATGCGTGATGAACACCATAACATTTTATTGAGCCAGCGGGCCTACGGACAGGAGACGAGTAAAAGAGCAGGTGGTAAGCCAACCGAAAGGCTTTATCCGCCACGGTGACGACGCACGAACATTGCGCGCTAGCGGAACCAGCGCGTCCAAGAAGAGACCGCGGAGATCACCTAGCCACCCACTGCGCCCTAGGCAATGCTCGGGAGGGGGGTAGGAGTCGTGGCCTGCCATCGTGCCCAAGTACTCCCACTCATCACCTGCCTCGCCTATCGGCCCTCAAATCAGAGTAAGCCTAGGATGAGGGCACGAACGGACAAGAAAGCATCCCAATGATTGACCTACATGATAAGGACAAGACACCGAAGGAGCGCGATTAGAGTCGCAGTTGACACCATCACAATATCTTTGTAGTCAATTATATGATGAACTACTATTTACTTTCTGTTTCTCCGAGGTCGTTTGCAATCTGCAAAAGAAGAGAAAGAAGAGTAGAAGAAAGATATCGGGGGATGAAAGTGAAGGGTCAGAACCGGTCTGAAAAGTAAGTGATTGAGATATAAAATCGAAGCTGAGAGCCAATCTGAGGACTGGGTGGTCGTGGAGTAGCCGTTTTTATAGGAGCTAGCCCTGTTGAAACTGCCCAGAATTACATCACCTAATATTCTATAGTGTCATTTGGTCCTCCCTACACCGCTAGACGTCCCTATCACTTGTGTAACAAGCGCTAGTCATCCGACTACTCCGAATGGTTGTCCAGGCGGCTGTACCTGTCTATATCATATATATCTGTGCCCTGAATTCACACTCTGGAAAGCCTTAAGGCGTTGGACCGGTGCGCCCGTGGCATTGAAATAGGACCTATCGAACCAAATTAGCGTTTACTGCCTAGATGTCATACCTGTAGTCGGCATTGAACATTCTCGTCACTCACAGCGTCCCCGCTTCATTCTTGACCCATCGCCATCTATCGTCCTCTCCAAATCAGCTTTCTCCTGGCACCTCAGACTCTCGAGAGGGAGGAGTGAAAGAACTCTGACGAGATCAGCAGTTGACTTCACATTACCAAGAAGTCGTGAAAACTGTCAGAGATTGACGACAGGGACGGGAGGGGCATGGTTAAGCTGCTTCTGCGATTGTTTGCGCATTTTGTCGGGTTTCTCTGCCAATATGTATTTCCGCTGCAGTGAAAGTGACAGTAAACATAAGTACCTTGAAATCTCAGCTGCGAATATGATGCATTTCGACTTCCTCAACCTACAGTCGCCCTATTCCAGACCCCTACGCTTTTCAACTCCGCTTGTAAACCATCCTTTCGATCATTCTATACCTTTCGTTTATTCTAATGAATACACTAAATGCTTGCGCAGAATCGCACGTTCAGTGCGCTTGTAAGCGCGGCCTTGTTAATTGGTGGTTATATACTGCACCACTCCCTACAAAAGGCTTTCTGTTCTTCCAAGGTCATTTACGATCAGTGTTGATCACAGTCCAGGCAGCCCCAACAATCAGTGTTTCAATCGCTTCGGGGGTATTTTAATGCGTGAAATCGGCTATATTCCTGGAAATAAAGTAAATGAGTCCTCTAATCCAGCTCCTCTATGCTCCGCTTGGTGCCAGGGGCGGGTGTTTGAGTGTGCAGTCTATGGTAGGCTGCCTCTCTGTTGTGCGTAGCAGCGTGGCGTTCAGCTTGAGCCGCCAGACTCAGATGATGATCACGCTCGATCTGGTGATTCTGAGCACTCGTTAGTCCATTTGGGTCTAAGCCCGCGTTATACCTATCTTATCGTCAGCACACCGTTCTTTAGCTAGTTTTATGGCTGAGATAGAGAACGAACCTAGCCTTTGCGGCCTTGATTCTGTTGTCGTGAAGGTTGGCAGTTTGTCGGTGGTCCTCTGCTACCGTCGTATGGTGTCGTGCCAGGCCCTCGTGGTGTATTGCCTGTGCATAGTGTTGCGCTGGGGTCATCGGGGGGCTAAGCATAAGTTAGATCTGGATGAGTACCTAATCACTTTTCCCGCGTCTGGACATACTTCGGAAGCGGAGCAGTGGACGCCAAGAGTGCAGCCGAGGCAAAAAGTAGGGCATAGAAACCGACGCGCATAGTGAAAAACTTGCAAAAAAGAAGAGAAAGAAGAATAGAAGAAAGATCCCGAGGGATGAAAGTGAACGGTCAGAATCGGTTTGAAAAGTTAATGAAGTATGAAAGTGAAGGTGAGAACCAGTCTGAGGAGTGGGTGGTCGACGAGTTAGTGGTATTTATAGAGAACGATCCGCGTTGACGCCGCCTCGGACTCACAGTTGGGATACATCTTATTGTGTCATTCCTATTCTCGCAGCACCGGACGCGCTTATTACTTTCATAAGAGGCGCTAATCGCCTGGCTAGCCTGGATGCGGTCTAGTTAGTTGGATCTGTCTATGCTGTCCTTCTCTATACCTTGAATGCATATTCTGAAAGGTACGTCGTACTGAGCCGGTGCAACCCCGGCATCGGAATAGGTCGGCGCTTATGTCTATGTGACACCCGGGAAGTCGGTATTGATAGCCACCCTTCCAAACGTCTCTGCACTGAGGTTGGGCGTGGAATTCGACGGTTCATGGTTGAAGCCCCGCTATCGGAGTAGCGACTGCCTGGCGGCATTTGCACCTACTTTTTCTATATGTCACACCCGAGATCGGTAGTGAATATATTTCAAACCCGAGGTCGGTATTGGATATTCCCATCATTTCCAACGGCTCCGCATCATTCTCGACCAACCGACATCGGGTAGCGTACCATGGGGTTATCCTCATAACTCTTTCTACAATTCGCATTGGTTGACGATAGCATGCGTTTTCTCGCTACAACATACGTTTGCACGACTGACAATTCTGTCTTACCTTATCCAACGGGTCCACAGCGATACCTCAATAGAGAGACTTCAGCCAGTCCTCGGTGCAACTGTGTATGACCAGATCATAAACGCCGTCCAACGGTCTAAATATCATGTAATAGCCTTTTGTGAAGGGAAGCAAAGAATTGAGCTTCACGACGGTACGTAGACGATACTCTTAGTTTGGCAAGCATTACGAATACCGTGCTAAACGAGGAATGATACTATGGAGAAGATTTGTAAGAGATCGCTCACTCTTCGAGAAATTGGGCGTCGAAGCACCAACAGTGGAGATCACCTACCAACCCACTGCGCCCTAGGCAATGCTCGATAGGGGGGTAGGAGTTGTAGGGGCGCCATCGCACCCAAGCACTCGCATTCACCGCCTGCCTCGCCTATCGGCCCCTCTAAATAAGCGTAAGCCTAGGGTGAGGGCGGGAACGGACAAGAAATTTATCCCAATGATTGACCTACGCAATAAGGATGAGGCATCGAAGGAGCGTGATTAGAGTCGCAGTTGACACCATCACAATATCTTTGTAGTCAATCATATGATGAACTACTATTAACTTTCTGTTTCCCCCCCCCGAGGTCGTTTCCAATCTGCGCCGAACACGGCCTACGTGGCAGCATTCACATCGCCTCAGAAATATTTTCATGGAAAAGTCCAGCTGTATTCTTAAAATTAAGGAAATCGAACCCTCTAGTCCAACTGGTCTATGCTCCGCTCACCGAGTAACTGACTATGGTAGAATGTCTGCCCATCACGTACTGCGGGTTGGTGCTCATGTTGCGTTTGTTTTGCCTTATGGTATTTGAGTAGAGCCCTGTGTCTCCGAATGGCGGTTATGTCACCCCTATCCCATCGTCAACGCATGGTGCTTTAGCACATTTCTTGGATAAATTAACAGACGGACCTGAGTCGTGCCTTGCGCAGGTTAGCGGCGTGTGCCCTTACTTGGGCTTTGTGTATTTGTGCTTGTCGGTCATGGTGAGCTGCCCACCGGTTGTGATATTACATAGCCGCATGGTGGTCCGAGTCATTGCCAATGAGGCTGAATGAAGCGGGTTTATGTGAGTACATGACCACTCTACTCTCGTCTGAACGTACTTGGGCAGCGGAGCGGCGGATACCATGAGAGCAGCCGAGGCAAAAAGTACAGCAAAGACACTGACGTACATGCTGAATAAGTTGTGAGGAGAAGAGAAAAACAAAACAAGAGAAGAAAAGTGAGGGATGAAAGTGAAAGTTGAGAACCAGTCTGGGGAGTGGGTGGTTGACGAAGAGGTGCTCTTTATAGGAGCAAGCCGTATTCAGAGCGCCTCTGACTTTCATCGTCATATATAGTATAGTGTCGTTTGTTCCTCCCCAAAACACAGGGGGCGCCTATTACATTCGTACCAAGTGCTAATGGATGCTCCGACTAGTCCGAATACGGTCTAGATAGCTGTACTATGTCTATGCCTTCGACCTCTATATCTTGGATTCATATTCTGAGAAGGTTCGGTTTGTCCTAGCCGAAGTGGCGCTTACTGCCTACACGTCTCCCCCGAAGTCGGCATTGCATTTTCTGACGTCTCTGTCTTATTCTCGACTGACCGACATCGGGCGCGCGTGCCGTTGGCGTATCCTCACAGCCCCTGTCTGTAACCCCTATTCGTCTACGGCATCATCCATTTTCTCTGCACAACCTTACGTTTCACCCGTGAACCGTCATGTAAAGTAACTTGGCAACTTGGCTATGTATCAGCATAGATGTGTGTCAACGCCTGGGCCAACCAACCCTGATAATTACCGGTTGCATTCGAAAGGTCAAACACAAGCCCATCTGCCATATCGTCCTCGATGCCATTCGATTACGCCCCATCCGCCACGACTTTGAGGGACTTTGTATGGAAATCGTGCTCGGAAGCTCAATTGGTCTGGATATTCACACCTTTGCGCGATTTCCACGCGTACCCACCAGCCAAACACATTCATTCGGCGCAATCACGCTGGCAACCCGCTTTGATGCCCAATTATTACACGGCCTAAGATGCTCGCTGTAAGGATTGGTTCACCTTACAGGTCCGGACCCAGCCGACCAGGTTGGATCACCCGAGTAACGGGGGTATATAGGAGTGTAACGCATTAGAGAGAAAAGAGGGAGACTCTAGCCTAGTGCTCTAAAGCTAAGGCGGTGCGAATCCGGCTATTTTCCCACGGCTAAACGTTACACTGGCACACTCGCCTTTTCTTCATAACAACTCTGTCAGGGCCGTTCCAGCACCTGCGAGGATTGGCTCGATAGTCACCATCGATGGTTTTGACTTCTAGGCCGATTATGAAATTCCTGACATTCCTTGGGAACTTCACATTCAATAGGTCTCCCTCTGAGGATATGAACCTACGCATCCCACATCGCATTGGTCAATCCTTCAATGTCCATCCAAGTACTTTTCTCTGAGTAACACACGAGACTGTGAACATGACGAGGGAGAGAGGATAGCAGTGCGAGAGGCCAGGCAAAATTTGCTACTTTTGTGGATTACTTGACTATCGTGACTTTATACCTTTTGTTTCTATTACGTCTCAAATGGGATAAGAAGTTCACGAAAAGGTTTTGAGATAGAAACGAGAACAATGCCGACAACAAGGATGGATTTGAATTCGATCCATCCCAGGAGCAGATCGAAATGCGGTACTCAGGGCCCTCACTCGCATCTTCCAGTTAAAGACAGGCTTGATAAACATTTACGTGGGAATCCTTGAATATCATAGACATAGAATAGCAGATAGATGAAACAAGGTCATACACGAATCGAAAAGCTTATTCATCGAGTTCCATCCCGTGCCCTTCGACTTCCTTGATTGACTTGCGCGAGTTTCTCGTCTGCCGGCGCTGGGTGACCTTTTGACCAGGTCTTTTAGAGGGCGTCTCCTCTTCTTCCGTATCCCCTCCCGCTGGAGCTACGGGCACAGGGGCTGGTCCACCTTTTGTGCCTTTCGGTTGGTTTGGTGGGACAGAAAGGTTCGAGGGCGAAGGCGAGACGGGCGAGGAGAGCTGGGGTATATGCGTCGAATGCGAGAGATCGACGGGTGAAGCGTCTCGACTCGCGCCCTGATGCTGAGCTGGTTTCGGTGCAGGATTGAGGAATCCGCACTTCATGCACACAAACTCTACAATTTACAATCAGTCAAGAAAGTCACGTGAATCTACACAAACGTACGGGTAGTGTCATAGTCGGCTTCCTTGACGAGTCCATTGTGCGTAAAACATCGTTTGCAAATGAGAGCATACTTGCTATGCGCACCCACACCTCCTACGTCTTCTTCTCCGAGGACGACGTCGGCCAGACGATCGAACCAGCGCCTGGGAGTGGGCTGGATGGGTTGTGCGGCTACTACGCATAAGTGGGGGACAGCACACATCAAAAGAGGCACGTACGTGAGTATGCACTCATATATCCTGGATGCATGGGCGTCGGAGATGCACCATTGACGGGTGGACCAGCAGGACGAACGGGCGTGCTGAGGCCCATACCAGGCGGCGGTGGTGCTCCTTGGTTTTGAACAGGTGCCAACGCATTAGGATTGAGAGATGCGCGTGGTCCAGCCGGCATAGGACCCTTTTTGACGGGCGTCGTCATTGGTGCGTTGTCCGGTCGGTCATATCTCTCGAGAAGCTTTTGGGTCGAGTAAAAGTCTGTCTTCTTCTTGAGTTCTTCGACTTTTGCGCGTTGTTCGAGCAAGAGTTTCTTGAGCGTTTCCTCTGCCACGCCATGAGCCCGACTGGTCGATGACACGGCTTGTGAAAGAAGAGATACCTTCGGCGTTTCCTATGCGTGTATACCACAACTGTACGATTCTCCTCGCCGACAATGCGCTATAGAAAAAAAGGCCAAAAAAGGATGAGCGAGCGTGCGTCGGCGATGTTGTCACAGATAAACAAGACGTACAGCAGCGGTCCAACGATAACCAACGAGCCTGCGATACTCTTCCTCCACAAGTTTCTATTTCCATTTGTTTCTGTACCCAGCAGTCGGCCAATCCAACCAATGTACCACACGCCGGCATAGAGGGCCCAGGCGGAGAAGAGATAGAGCGTTACCCAGAGAGATGCGCGTCTTTCACGCAGTCGAATCTCTGCGAGACGCGTTTGACGCGACTGGATCGACAGTCGGAGCTCCTCGAGCACAGTTTCAAAGTTTTCAGGCTCTTTCTGCACGGTTTCAGCACTCAATATAGCTGTAACAAAGGCTGTTTGAACCTTTTTGGAGAAGATAGATAACCAGCCCATGAGGTGTGGTCGTGGTTGGGTTCAAGTGACAAACACCTCTGATGGCAAACATGAAAGAACAATACGAATACGCGCTTATAGAGCTTAGTGGCGAGTAGTCCCCCTTGGAAACGAACAGACGACTTTACACTGAGCATACACACAGAGTGATGCAACTACGAGCTATCTAATGTCAGAGAGTGCAAGTGAAGCCACAAGGATAGACATACTGTCCATGAGCAGCCATATAGTCACGTAGACGATACCCTCAGTCTCGGCGTGAAGAAGTCGACGCCGAGGCAATTCTCCAGTCGAGTCCCAAACTTTGCAAAATGATCTCTCCATGCTTTGAGCCACAGGATCCCCTTGCTCGTCTCCTTCATTTGCTCGACGTTCATAAACGTCTGGACGGCTTCGGGCGCAAGGATGCGGACGTGGAGGAGATTGGGGAAATAGAGTCTGTTCATAAGCTTGAGCACCGATTCGTACGTCTTCCCCGTCGTGGCGGGGACGCATGCGCCTGCAATAGTGAAATGGGCAAGCCCTATGAGGTTGATGGTCGGATGCGCAATTTGACCCGGTCGAAGGGACCATGACATGAGCGAGGCGTCGATGACGAGTCCCACGAGTGACGGACAGCCGTCCAAGAGGGTATTGAGGAACCAAGGCGGGAGAGCGTCGTACCGGTGCTCGACCTGAATGCTGAGCAGCGTCAGTGTTTGTCCAAACTGCTGAAAGACACCATGGAAGATGGGCTGTCGAAAGTCATCTTCTTGCATCCGCACAAACTTGATGAGGAGTGCCTGGAGAAAGGGCATTTGCCAGGAGAGGATGAGCCCCAGGTCTGCGTTTTGGTACTCCATGAGCTCGATGGTGAGCGAGACGAGTTGGGGGAAATGTATAATGGCCTGGGTGGACTTTTCGATCAGCGGAAGGGGTGAGGGTCGTCTTTCTTCTCCATAGAGTTCCATGGTTCGCAAGCCAGCTGCGATTTGCGGGTATTGGATGCAAATAGCGAGTGCCTCTGCAATACTCGTCTGAAGGTGCGAGAGATGGTAGGTAAATGTCGGCGGGAAAACGGTCATAAGGCGGGCGAGATTGAAGCCTCCGACGACGCGGACATTTGGACAGGCCAGCAAGCACGCCAGGACCAAAAAAACGTCTGCACCGACTTCTCGTTCACCCAAGTGAAACTCAACGCGGCGTGTGTACTTTCCCCAGCCCGTGTCGCGCAAAGTGAGGACGAGGCGGGTCCACCACGTCTGGCGGTCGCAGATGAGACACTCGTACAGATATGGCGTCGCAAGCTCTCTAAACACTTTGTTCACTCTCGTCAACGCGAGTTTTGTCGGATAGATGCGCGTCTGTGCATTCAACACGCTCGCCTTTGGACCGTCGCAGTCGAGCGCGCCTGCAAACGGAATGTCCACTGGATCGTACGCGTCAAAGACTGAGATCATCGTGTCTTCAATCTCAAACCTCGTCGACGTCGCCAGGCCCACTATCCGTGCCCAGACGCTCACAGGTGTACGTGCCGTCAGCCGCTCCTGCCGCACAAAAATTTGTCAAAATTCGCCATAATCCTGAACAAATTCGTAGGAAATATTCACCGGAAAGGACACTGGCGTCGCCATGGGCGTTGCGCTCGAGTTGGCTGTAGACGCCCAGTCATGTCGACGACCAGACGGCACCGATAAATCAGCATCGAGGCCCATTCTTCTGACAGCGCTCAAATCCCAGCACATAGCATTTCTCTTTACCAGCATTCTCTTAAAGTTACAGCTAGAACGTAGACTCAAATGCCTCGTCAAGAGTCTCTGCGCTCACATACTCGTCATCCACCCCGACGGCCTCTCCCACTGACCCGACGTCCCTCTTCTTTGTATCCATCCACTTTGCACTCCTCTGCTTCCCCCACGCCCTGACCTCATTTCCGCGCCCCGCCTCGACTAGGCGCTGTGCCCAACGACAACTCAGCCGCTCAAGGTTATGAACCTGATCCGTGAATTGCGCCTCGAGGAACTCGAGACATTCTGCACGGTGCTGTTTTACATCAGGTTCGATATAACCTTCCGTGGCGGGAGGTTCCTCGGTGCGCTCGGTCCACACGTTCATGGGTCCTCCATCAGGCAAGAGCGACCCATTGTTCGTCTTCTCGAGCACCTCTCCAATCCCAACAGATTCTCCGGGTGGAAGCGCCTCTGGATGCGACGGCGTGACACACGGCATGTCGACCTCTTTGCGTAATACAATGTCGATATCAACCGCGCTGAAGAATCCCACACCGACGGGAAGATCATCTAGCCCGAGCCTATACGCGAACAGACATCGTGTCCATAAATTGGCAATCTGCAGTGCCATCGCCAGGCGATACTTGTCCTCGTCGGCAACGAGATAGCGCACCTCGTCATGAACGGAGATCATGTATCGTGCATTGATCGAATACGTTTCGATCAAGTGTTGCATTGCCGACAACAGCAGGTGGAGATAATCCACTCCTGACGACTGCACCACCCAGTTGATACGGCTCGGAAGATAGTCCGTGCCAAACCCTTCTGTGAGATACTTGCGTGATAATGCAGTCGTTACACCACATCCCAGCGCCGGCGTCATCGGGCTATCCGAATGCGCAATCGCCTCGAGCTTGTTGAATAGATAGCTCTCCGTGCCACCGTACCAGAAAGAGCGTCCAAAGTATTTGGTATGGTAGTTCTTCTTCCCCTTTGTATTCAAGTACAGCTTCTCGGCCAGTGATTGCGCCTCGCCGATGGACATGCCCGCGTTGGCCTGTAGCAACAGCTGCACAGCATGGCGCATTCCGGCACCGTAGATGCGCGAATAGTTGAATACTTTGGCGGAATCGCGCGTAATGTTGAGGATGGACGCCGTTTTCGAATGTAGGTCGGTCCCATCCTTTTTCGTGCCCTCGAGCGTCATCCATCCGATGGCCGTCGCGCCATGGAACCCAAATTGTGCATCTCCCATCACGCTCGAGATCCAAAGCTCCTCCGAGTCGACGTCTGCGCCGACAATGGCGTATCCGGGCGGAGCGCGCACCATGGCTTTGAGCTCGGAGCCGACGCGATTCTTCTTGGCGTTGGACGCCGTCAGCCACGTCTTTTCGATCGCCCTTCGCGTGACGGTGCCCATAGTGATGACTTGGGGAAGGATCATGCCCCATTTTTCCGGCAGCTTGCCGCCCACTAGCGTGCCGGCGCTCTCCGTTGGTAGTGGGGAAGCGACGCCGTCCTGCTTGGGATTTGCATCCTGCGGCCGCTTCAGATGCTTCCCAATACCCAACTGCCCATGCTCCTTTTCCCAGACGACCATCTGGCTGAGGATACGATCCCGTGCGCTAATCCAGTAGCTGCATTGCGCGTTCATATCGAGTGCATTTATCGCCCCGTTCACCACCTGTTCGGTGTCACCTGCAACCCCCGGTTCCGTTTCGTTTGTAGTCGATGTATCGACAATAGTCTTCATCGTCCCATCTTGGGCATACTTGACAAAGCTTTTGCTGAGAGGGTTACCCACGTTGGCTTCCTGACCATGAGGGTGTGGAAGTTTTCGGAATGTGTACCCCTCTGTGGCTTGCTCTGCAAGATGGGCGTCGTCGGGGTGATTGAAGAACAGAGTCGTGTCCTCGGTTGGGCTCCCATCTCCATTACTCGCATCAAGAGCCTTGTTCTCTCCCTCGCCTTCTTTGATAGACGATTGGGAAGAGGATGCAGGGGCAATTCGGTAACACCATCCATGCTCACGAGAATACACGAGTGGGTTTCCCAACCATCCCAGACGGAGCAAGATGGGTGAGATGCGCGTGCGTACAGTGATGTCGGGTGAGCCTGCTGGAGCCCCTTTGCGAGGTTTTGTAAGCTCCCAGTACCACTTGGGCCAGGTCGGCGCTGGATACTTGAGCCCTTCTGGCGGTGTCAGATGTCCGATTTGTGTTGTGTCGGATGCAGTTGTGTCGAATGCGGCCTCAACCTCGGGATGCAAGTCCTTGCTTTTGACTCGCTTCGCCTCGCGTGCACCTGTGGACGACGCAAGTTGCGACGGACGCTTCTTCTTCGTCCAATCAAGCTGTTTCCGCGAGAATGTCTTCCTTCCGGTTGTAACCTCCTTCGCCAACGCGAGTAACTGCTCCTTCCGCCTTTTAATGACTGTAGAAGAGGACAATGCTCGCCCAAGCTCATCGTCATCCGTTGTGATCACTCCTTGTTGAAGGAGCACCCGAGCGACTTTTGATGACCAGAAGGGTTCATCCGTACCGATGTCCCTGAGTTTCTGGGGTTGGACGAACACCGCCCCCGAAATCTCGAATTCCTTTAGCGGATCGTCATGCCGTAGCTTCACGATTCCTTTCTTGTCTGCCTCCGGCACTTGGCTTTTGGAGATGCGGTAAACCCACCCTCGCTTTGGATGGTAGAACATTAGACGTCCGAGCCACTTGGCTTGCAAGACAACGGGGATGATTCGATGTCGAGATTCGTGAGAGAGGGGGTTTTGTCTGAGAATGTTGAACCAGTTGGGCATCTCGTAATCCCAACCGTCCTCCTCTGAACTTTTGTGGACCTTGTTCTCTCTCTTCTCCTTCATCGTCCCCTTTTTCGCAGGTGGCGGAGTCATCGCAGAGAGCTCCTTTTTCGTCGGGACCCAGTAGCCACGACTCTTTCCCGCGACCTTTGGCGTCCAGTCCAATTGACTGAGGAAGACGTCCTTTTTCCACTCTCCGCCCTCCATGAGCAACCTCGCTCGTTCCGCCAAGTCGATTAGACGCGTCTTGACACCAGTCTCTAAATCTCGATACTTTTTCTCCGCCTGTGTAAGGTATTTTTCCCACTCTTGGTTAACAGTAAGGAAACTGCTCCCCATCTGCATCACGCCTGCCCAGGACACCGGGTGCGGACATGCGTCGAAGAACTGCGGGAGAACAGCGCGAAAGACGGCGTGCGTCGTGGAAACATCTGTCGCGCAATAGTCGATAAAGGACTCCAGATCCGCGAGAATCTGCTCCGGGGTATCCTCCATAAACGCATTCCGCGTCTCCTTGTCGATGGTGATCCCGCAGTGCAGTTTGGCAACTTCTAGCAGCGAGTTGACAGACGTGACTTCTTCCCATCGTTTGGCCTCGACGTCGGGGGGTTCGTCTGGATCCATCTCAATGGTTTCCTCGTACTTTATTGCACGGCGATGCTCCGTCTCTCGCCGTAAATCTTGTGCGAGCCGTGCTTCCGACAGAGGATCCTGATCGAGGAGATCATCGTCCACTTCTACCTCGTCGCTGCGTTCCTTCTCCTTTTTGAACGCCATCCAAGCAGGGCGCTGGACGGATGAGATGCCTTTGATGGCGACATGAAGTGACATGGTGTCAATCCAACGGATTCCGGACAGCTTGGTGAGGTCGTACTCTTCCTTGACCCGCGCACGGTCGTATGCGACATTATGACCGATTACAACCCTCTCCTCTGGCTTCCGGCCATCGCCACTAGGTCGACCCAGAGGAATGAGATGCTCCGGGTCCTCTGTCTCGCCCAGTAACCACGGAGAGATCCAGACATACCATGCCGTCGGAGATGCCGCACAGGCAAGAACGGCATAGTGATGGTATGCGGGCATTGTCTCGACGTCAAACACGAGCATATTCTCGTTGTCTGGCCCAACTCCCTTATTCTCCAAGAGTGCTCCCGTCTCATCCCGGGTATACTGTGTCCACCCAGAGACTCGAGACCACTGGTGCTTGCTCGGCTGATCGGGGAGCAGTTCGCGCGCAAAATTCGAGGCCAAATCTTTACTCCTCCTGGCTAGCTTTTCACCAACGTTCCAAAAGTGCTGGTCGAGATTCTCGCCTTGCAGTTCTGGTAAGACGAACTCGTAATGGGGTAGTTTCTGGGCCTTTGTGACATCGAGTTTGTGCTTCTTGAGATGTTTGTGAGAGACGTTGACAAATTCCCTGGGTATCTTTTCGAAGGCGACATTGCGAAAGATTTGGTCGCGTAGAGGTTTGGAGAGTAGCTGGACGCCTGCTTCGTTGCGAGGAACTGTATATACCTAAGTCAATCGTTCCCTGAAACGGCATAAGGACAGTAGTCGTACCATTCTCCTCAGGTTTGGATGACGGATTCGACTGCTTCTTCTTGGCTGGTGGAGGTGGACAATCCTTAACATGTTTGATTCGCTTTGAATAGCCGGGAGGTGAATTCTTGGGCTGTCTTGCGACGGCTGCCATCGTAGACATTGCTCGAGATCCAACACCTAAAAGTGGAAGTCTAAATGAGCTTGCGGCGCATCAAAGGAAGAAAGCAAGACCATTGGGCTCACAAACCGTCGAAAAGCTGGTTACAGCCGTTGAAAGGTGCCGTGTTCTGGAGGAACCGAGCGCTGGAGAACGAACAGTGACTAAGAATGACCAAATTATCAGCATTTACGCACCCAGACAATTCTAGAAACTATTTCTTACGTTTACGAGCCCTGCTCAGTGCATCTCCAAGTCGCAATGTCTGCCGGATTTCGTTTTCCAAGTTGACGGCCATGCGACGGTGGTGAAACCGTACGCAATAAAAACGAATAAATTGATGTAATGTCGGAAATTGCTTGAATTGCTGGGCTGGACACAGCGCCGGCAGTCGCCCGGTCCAAAGTTGTGAACGGTACCATAGACCTCGACGAATACGGTCTGTTAGCATAAAGCTCAACAAGTCTCCATTCCTTGATCTGTAGCGTCTATCTTGGGCACTGCTGCTGTGACTGGGTATGATCGATAACGGTGTGGCAAACCATTTGCCAGAGACCGCTAGCACTGGATAACAAGACTCGGAGGCGACGCACGTGATCGGTTATAGAGTCTAGTCACGTTATCCGCTGAGATCGAATCCAAAGTGGACCCCAGAAGCACACAGGCGCCGAGTCATTTCAGGGCGCTGGGTGCGAACCCGCAACTGCCATTCGATCACGATAGGCTCTAAGAGTAACATCCGATGTGATGCTGGGATTTGCCACACTCCTCGTCCGCATATAAAAGCTACCCGACCTAACAGCCTAGTCTCATTCGGTCATCGTTCCTACTCCCGTTACTGATCAATTAACTGAGTGGTCCTGTTCGTCATCCCTAAGAGTAAGAAGAGAATATGAGCTATCTCGCCCCGCGTCTGCATCCAGTTTCGCTCCCACTCGAGACATACCCATTCAACTTGCGCGCCAGCCTCTCGCATTGCTCGACTACGCTCGTCATTTCTTTTGCCAATTCTACGTTTACTTGTCCAAATCTCAGCCCTGACGAGGCCTCGCGCCCGGCGACGCATCCGCCGACGAACCTCATCCGCATCGTTCACCCCTCGTTTACGACGAGCACAGGTGCTCAAGCGATCCTTGTCCAACCCGCTTCGTCTTATAACAATGTCGTGACCGTCGGTGACGTCCTGTATGCCCTCCACGCGTACCTTTCACAGCCCATCTCGCTTGACGATGTTCCGTTGGGGACCCGCGCAGACGTACTATCTTATGCACAGTCACTTTCAGGTACTTCTCCGCTCAATCAACTTGGTCCCCTGCGACGCTTCCACCTCCTCGAAGGCGCTCACCTCTACGGCGGACTGCTCATGGACGTCGCGCAGAGTAACCGCCTCTTGGGCTCGATAGACGCTCTGCAGGCTCTCACCTGGATCCTTGTGACAAAGGAGCCAGGCGCGTCGGTCCTCATTCCGGCCATGTATGTCACTCCGCAGAGCTCAGCGTCGGCTGCATATGGGCCGGTGGATGAGATGGGCAGACGCATTTCTGGTGCTGGAAATGGGGCGGGAGTGTACCCAACGCCGCCGTATACGCGGTAGGCTCTCAGCCTCACGTTGTTCCTTTCTCATGACCGGCTCTTCTCTATTTCCGTTTTGTATTCGGACTCTTCGATTGTCTTCATTTCACCCGTCATCTGTGCTAGTCATTGCGCAAAATCTGATTCTTGTACTGCGGCTTGTATTCTACTCCCCCACTCTGTCTCGTTACTATGAATGTAAACAAATCATCCCAACTACGGTTAAACCTCTCAAAACTCTGTGAATCCAATACCATCGCCGGTTCCTATTTCCAAAGACGTTTGCGCGTGCGAATACCGTTGCGGGGTTTCCCCGCCGTGGGCGGTGCTCGGTACGAATTAAGCAGAATCTAGAACCAGGTTTTGGGTAAACACGCGCGTAACTAATTCTCGAAGATGGTCTTATGCATAGGTGAAACACTCAACTGTTCGGTGGCCAGCACGCATTCAGACACGTCTCTTCTCGAGATTGATTTCGCCATAGCTCGCGTACATCATCTCACAGACTGACTATGTCCGATGAGACGGTGTTTGGCCGAGGGTTACGCCGAGCCACAAGTCTTTACTCCGGCGTCCTGTTGATATTCGAGGCCTAATCCACGTGCGCTCCCTCCGTGTGCTTAAAATAGCACACCGTTTGCCAAGCCACCAAGAATATGCCCAGGTTGTCCTAGTGCGAGTCGAGGAATCGAGCAGAGATTCTCGCCCCTCTTCATTTCCATCTCCCCAGCGCAGTACAGGATGCAAGAGAAACCCTTTTATGCGGTGTTCCTGCATTTAAACCGTAGAAACGTGTGGACACGGGCCGGCGGGCTATTGGGACGTGTGTACAGATCGGTCGTCACACATCGCGATGACTGGTGTCAGAAACGGTGCAGTGCGAGCTGCTCAACTTTATATTTGCAATACTTTTAACCGGAAAACCCCCATGACTTCTCGACACCAGATATATAATCCCTCGATCACCGACCTTGTCGTTCAGCAGCAGTACTTGCATCCCTCGCTCCTTTTCTCCACTTGTCATGGTCGCCATCAAATCCATCCTTGTCGCTCTTGTCGGTGTTGCCGGCGCACTCGCCACTCCTATTGCAGAGGCTGAGCCGGCCAACGTCGAGGTCGAGGCTCGTGCCCCTGAACCCAATAACGAGCTTGTCACGCGCTCAACGCCCAGTTCGACTGGCTACAACAATGGATACTACTATTCCTTCTGGACGGATGGTGCCGGAAACGTCAACTACTCTAATGGCTCTGGTGGATCCTACAGCGTAACCTGGTCTGGAAACGGTAACTGGGTCGGTGGAAAGGGATGGAACCCAGGATCCGCGAGGTGCGTCTAAAGTTTGCCCAGATGAGCGGGACACACTAACCCTTGGATTAGGACCATCAAGTATACCGCCAACTATCGTCCAAACGGAAACAGCTACCTCTCGGTTTACGGCTGGACGACGAACCCACTCGTCGAGTACTACATTGTCGAAAACTATGGTACCTACAACCCTTCCTCGGGTGCCTCGAGCAGGGGTTCCGTCTACTCTGACGGTAGCAACTACAACATCCTGTCGACCACGCGTGTCAACCAGCCCTCTATCCAGGGCACCAAGACGTTCACTCAGTTCTGGAGTGTGCGTCAGAGCAAGCGCTCGAGCGGCTCTGTTACGACTTCGAACCACTTCAATGCCTGGAAGAAGTATAACATGAATCTTGGTCAGCACAACTACCAGATTCTTGCCACCGAGGGTTACTACAGCAGTGGAAGCGCACAGGTCACTGTTAGTTAAAAAGGATACTCCCATTACCGTTGCCCCTCGGGGCGCTATCTCTCTTTTGACCGGATATAAATTCGAACTATTGCGAGTGACATATATACGTTGTATACCCGAACAAACACACGATGAGAGTAAGCCTAGAAGAGGGGACGAGCCCATCGGGACAGAGCGTACGCGTCCCAGCCCATGAGATTTTAAAAATGAACCAATTTGGCTGTCCGCATCCTATGACCTGGCACCCTCGTTCTAGCCACCGACCTCTTCGGTCGTCGAGAGACCTGAAAGTTTGACCCGGCAACTGACGTCCTCTCGGCATATACGTCAAATTATGCCCTTTCTTTGATGAACACATGTCGTTATATGATAAAACTCCCATCGTGTGTTCCAGATCACACAGACTAAATGACCAGCTGGGCTGAAGCAGCGTCCGTTTCTCCCCTTTTCTTAATGCTCCTCGACACATCTACAGGCTACAGATGAGCCCTTGGTATCAAATATCACTCATGCACGCAAATATGACGAATCGATGGAGACGCTGACGGCCGGAGGCAGGCACGGAGATTCAGAAATAATGGTTGGAGACCAGAAGGTCTCGCCATGCTGCGAGAGCGAGCGAGGAATGGGAGCTCCAGGAATAGAACTTAGAAGGAAAACAGTATAGATAGAGAATATATTGGAAAGAATTAATTGACAAACGACGAAATATGAAATCGAAAAATGGAGGTGCGGGTGGAGGTGGCAAGAGCCGCAAACGAAAGGCTCCGCCAACCAACATCAACGCAAGCCCGCTGCCGACAGCACGGGCGTAGCGTGGCCCCCAAAAGGCTGAAAATTCGTCGACCCACCCACCGCGCCCTAGGTGATGCTCTGCAGGCGTGAGCGTGAGCGAGCCTGCCTCGCCTGGAAGGCCCCCCACTTAAGAGTAAACCTAGGACGTGTCGTGACGGACAAGAAAACAATCGAGGATTAAACGGAAACGTTGACCAAGCGAGAATGACGACGAGAAAAGCAGCCATCTTGGTCCTGTTTTGGTCCCCCCCAACACTACCCCAGAGACGGCGTTACTGGACATTTATTTCGCGCCTTCTCCACGTTAGAGAGCTCAGGGCGCGTTTCAGGAGCACTCACGCATAAACCGCTCGGGCAGCTAAGAATCAATCAGATGACACCACAAAGTCAGGACTGGTCGACTGCATCGCAACGACGGCTTCCGGTGCCAACCTGATACAGCTCTTCGTAGGGAGATCTTTTATGCAGTCTACATCTCCTTTCCGCAAATACTCCAGTTCACTGGTCATCCCTTCAGCCACGGCGGGCGATGCCAACGCGAAAGGAGATAAAAGGAGCAGTCACCTATACCAACGGCGCCGCGGGATCCTACGGCGTGGTGTGGTCGGGTAACGCCGGCAATTGGGTCGGTGGCAAGGGTTGGAATCCCGGTTCTACGAGGTGCGATTATTTCTTCATCCTAAATTCGCGTTGGACTGACTCCGGCATAGGAATATCCAGTACACCGCCGACTATCGTCCCAATGGGAACAGCTACCTGTCCGTGTACGGCTGGACGACCAGTCCTCTCATCGAGTACTACATCTTTGAGAGCTACGGAACGTACAATTCCTCTGCTGGTGCAACCAAGAAGGGAACGGTCTACTCGGACGGCGCGACGTATGACATTTTGACCGCGACGCGCTACAACGCACCGTCGATCCAGGGGACCAAGACATTTACCCAATTTTGGAGCGTCCGCCAAAGCAAGCGTACGAGTGGGACGGTAACGACTGCCAACCATTTCAACGCATGGAAGAACTTGGGTATGAACCTCGGCACGCACAACTATCAAATTATTGCAACGGAAGGATACCAGAGCAGCGGAAGCGCGACAGTTACTGTCAAGTAAATAGGATCACCCTCGTTCATGCTCTGCGCATGGCTGTATATACCCGCGTAGTTTCCCTCTGTTATCTAATCTATTGTAGTCACATCAACACATCTTACTCCGCTGGTTCTTTTACTCTCTAAATCGATCTAGACATCGGCAAAGATTACCATGAAATAGCTAACGTCCAAAGTACGATAGGACCTCGTGGTGACGTCCCCTCCAATGATCGTTCCATGCCAGTAATGGTTTTTTTCCCTGTGGTGGCGGTGCATAAGGATACATTGGCTCACCTTTTATGGCAATCCCCGGCCGATCAGCCGACCTGATTGAGTTTCAAGGATATTTACTACACTCGACTGGCCCATCACGATGGCTTCTTGGGGCGTACTATAATGGGGTGCAGCATTTCCACTGCTTCGACGTTCAAACACCAGGCGTTCTACAGTCTCCTCTAAATGTGGTCCACTCGAACAGATGTCGGGGCGGCAGTTGCGCAGCAGCATTCGCATCTCCGCACAAAGAGTTCATGCACGGATTCGGCTATATTTAGGGCATAAAGGAGAACACATTCTCTAATCCAACTCGTCTATGCTCCGACGGGGAATATGCGCAGCATGAAGGTCGGCAATGGCTTGGTGGTGTTCGTGCCGTTCCATATGATAATTCATTCGTTCCATATGGTGCTCGTATTTACCATTGTGCTCTGCAGCGAGCGCGTTGTGGCCACTGTCTCATTGTCAGTACACACCACGTTCCTATGTTCGATTTGGGGACTGACCTCGCTGCGGCTGCTGTGGAATGATTAAGGTGCGTATTTGCAAGCTCTTCGTGATGTTCTGCTCGTTCTAGATGATGGTCTGCCAATGCTTGGTGACGTGCATGTGCCTGAACGTGTGGTCCAATGGCGTCCCTGAAAGTGGTTCTAGGTGAGTATCCGAGCGTAACCCCCACGTCTGAACGTACTTGGGAAGCGGAGCGGCGGACACTAAAAGAGCGACCGAGGCAAGAAATATGGCAAAGAAACCGACGCGCATGTTAAACAAGTTGTGAAGAGAAGAGAAGAGGAGAAAGAAGAAAGAAAAAAGAAATGAAGGATTAAAGCAAAAGTTGAGAACCAGTCTGAGGAGTGGATGGTCGACGAGGAAGGTCTCTTTATAGGGGCGAGCAGCGTTCACACCGCATTGGACATACATCTCCAGATATAGTATAATGTCACTGAGTCGATGATTCTAGCACCACGGGCATGGCCACCGTGGGCGGCCGGCTGAAGGAGTCCGCTTGGTTGGTCTGTACTTCTCTGTCGTGATGTTGGTGGGTATCTATAATAATAAACCATGTGCCTCCATACACTCCATACCCGACTCGGCCTTTGGCTGCCGCGGCCTCACTAGCTTGTAGCAGTTTCTTTTTACCCTTCTTTGCATATACTTCCAATCCATGGCACTTGCATTACCTTGTCTTCCCGCGTGAATGACAATTTTCAGCCTACGCTTTCTAGGAAAGTACCGGCAAAGTTGAGCTCTCTCAATCCAATAAAGCTAAGTTATCAATTGAGCCAACCGGATAACTACACTGTCTGGCAGTTTTTGCGCCAACGGAGAAGGTCAAATCCGGCCACACTTTCCCGGCTGAGCCGGCCCCCCCGCTCCAAACGGGCGCCCCTGCTCGTAGTGTGAGAATCGCTTGTCCGTCTACAATGGCAACCCTGAGTGGCTGGAAGCGCTCAGGATCGGCCATGCCACTCCGGGTCCAGCGCCTTGCTTAGGGAAAATGGAACAAGCTAGATTCGGAACTTAGCTTTGGAATTAAGCGTCACTGTTCCCTTCTAAAGTGCATCAGTCAGTAAAGCCCCCCCGCTCCGCCTCGTTTGACCTGTACGCTGAACTATTGAGTCCTCAGTGTAGACATTCTGCATGATAAATAGGAGTAGTTAACGTGATGAAAGTAACGTTATGGTGTAACACGAGACGATTTGTGTCATAAACGGTAGGGAATTATTGACGAGAGTTTTCATGCTCCCAGGCTGTAGGGTTTCGGTCGACGCTGCTTGCCTAGCCTCGACACCGGCGGCCGGGTCGAGCGAGCGTGCTCGATCGTTTTTTCCCACGATTCCCCTCGACGCCCATACAAAAGGTAGCATTAGTAATGTAATTCAAGCCTAAAAATATGTACAAAATGTGCAGAATATCAAATGACACTAATATTAATCATCTAAATGCTCCTCTGCATAGATCTCCCATGGCGTCATCAGCCAGTCCGCGGTGAAGGAGATGTCATATCGAAGCCCGTATTTGAGAATTTGAAGCATCTCTATGAGTCGTGGAGATGACTGAGTACGTGTACTTGTAGCTGTATGCTTTGCTGAGGAGAAAACATGCTCGCATGGGACGGATGAAGCTTGCGCAGGTAGAATATCGAGCGCAACTTTTCGCAGATTGGGGTAAAGATTTGGTAGATGTTTATCCTAAATATGCAATATGAGCCTATTTTCGCCTAAACACAATGTACATACTTGCCAAAACTTGAGCAGAAGGATGTCTAGACACATTCTCTTTATAACTACCATCGACCTTCAGGTTTTGGGGAACCAAGCCCTTTGAGTCGGTGCAATGTTGGTGCGGAATCCTCCCAACATGTAAAGCGCCGGTTTACAAAGCTTTAAACCCCAAAAACGTTGATGCTTGCTAGCTACAGCACTGTTCTGGCTCGGGCCGGTGGTGTGGCTCGACGACCCTGACGCTACTGAATAGCGTCGAGCAAGCTTGCTCGACGCTGGGCATCGTGGGAACTCGACTCAAAACAAGGTCGATCGCGATTTTGGGCGTCGAGCCGACACCCTACTCCCAGGATATGCTCGCCTGATGCCGTGGGCCGATTATGGCGGGACACCGGAGATGCAGCGTAGAGTGGAAATCCATGGGATAAAGATAAAGAGTTTAATGGTTACCGCCACCGGGATGTGTCTAGAAACGACTGGGAAACTATCTCCGATTTCCAAATGAGTACGCGTACCTCATCTGTTCGGGAGGGAAAACGACGCTGTAGAATACTTGGCCGTGTAAGTTGGAGGCGGTGTAAGCGCGGCTCGTTACTATAAAGAGCACGTTTTCGTCGACGACTCACCCCTCAGACTGGTTCTCAACTTTCACTTTCATTCTTCGCTGTTTCTTCTTTCTTCTTTCTTCTCTTCTCTTCACGACATGCGCGTCGGTTTCTTTGCTATACTTCTTGCCTCGGCTGCTCTTTTAGCCTCTGCCACTCCGCTGCCCAGGTTCTTTGAGACACTTTTGAGACGATTCATTGCTTATTTTGATTCCTTTGCCTTTCAGCCCTGCCAACCAGCCTGTTTCCGCGCATGCGGCACTAAAATATCACGAGGACCGGGAAGCCCACCATATAGAACGTGTCAATGCCCACCTGGATCATGCACAAACCCACCTTGATCAAGCCACAGCCGCAAGAGAGAGGTCCGTCTATGAATCGAGCAGGAAATGCGCCAAAGAATCGGATTCTGTACTAACAATGAGATAGGGGTGATCACCACCTCTCCAGCGCGCACAAGGACAGAGTAGATTACCATCTGGCAAGAGCCGATCACCATGCCGCTCGAGTCAGATACCATGGAACACAGGCCGACATTCACGCAGCCCGAATTTTCAGTAGGAGCATAGAAGACTTGGATTAGAGGAAGCATTCACTGGGGTTGTAGAACATAGCTGAATTTGCGTGTGAGATTCTTGTGCAGACATGTGAATGCTGCTGTGTAGCAGTGACCGACCTCTGTCTACGTCTATATTGTGCAGCTTAAAGACTGATCTATGAGCGTGGAATCAATGAGATTGCTATTCGCAATTAAAGCTGTACGCCAAGGGATCGCTGGAATAGGCATCCTCAAACGCCTATGCCCGATCAGCTCATATTTCAAATATATGTGCTGTAGAAGCAAGAAAATGAGGGAGAACGACATGAACACCAACGTTTGTAAGGTTTCGAGGACTCTTCGTTGCCGCGCACGTCATAACCGCACCCGTGACATTCATTTTCCAATCTATGCCATTCTCACCATCCTTCTCCTCACGGCTTCCACAGTATCTACCTTCGTAGTGACGGAATTAGCACATGCCCAGCTTTCTCGTCTCTCTTTCCTTATTCCAACATTTACCCATGTTATATAGGGCGATATGTACATGTCTTAACTAGCAGGGCTTCTGTATCCCTCCCATGTCGATACCCTCCGCCAATAAACAGGTTTAGACTGGTGAACTCGCTCGCCCCCGCCAAGAATTGCTTACTTGGTCTCGCATAGTCCACGTGCAGATGAGCTCCCACCGTGAACCTCACAGAAACCCACCATACAAAACAGGTTATAAACACACCTAAACCGTGCGGAGGCATATAACCACCATGCAAAAGATGCGAGAGAGGTCAGTCTCCGAATCTAGCCATGCGATTCTTCGAAGAAACGAATCGTGTGCTGACTATGAGATAGGGGTGATCACCACTGCGCCAAGGCGCACAAAGGTAGAGTAAATTACCATTTGAGACTATCAAATGTACATGCTGCTCTAGTACACACCACCAAACGCACGCCGACATGTAACGGGACTGACTTAACAATCAGAGCCTAGACGAGCTGGATTACAGAGTGCGCTTCCTTAGTTTAGCATAAAGTGATTTATGCAGAGAAGATGCTGATTCGCAGTGGTTGGCACGCCCTCTGTTCAAATCGACGAGGGTCGCCGTATGTAAGGATTGGTTCACCTTACTGTACAGGTCCGAACCCGGTCGACCAGGTTGGATTACCTGAGTAACGGGGGTACATAGGGAGTGTAACGCATTAGAGGGAAAAGAGGGACACTATAGTCCAGTCGTCTAGGGCTAAGTCGGCGCGAATCCGGCTTGTTCCATTTTCCCACGGCTAAATGTTACAACGTAGATTCTGCTGGACCTGACGCTTGAACGTGAGGTCAGTGACGATGCCATTTGCAATGATGGGAGTTTGGGTGAGGGTTACTCTGGGGATGGTGACGTTCCCTCGCTTTTGTACGAGTACGACCTCTGGACTAGAACACCACTGCTGTATGCCCATTGCTAGTTCTATGTCATGACTGCAGACACCATTTCTTTCTTCGTATTTATTGCATTCGCTCTCGCATAGCATGCGTCTTCTAGTACCAGTAAATTCTCTATCTCTAGCTTCTTGGCTCCAGACAGCTGAGTCACTCTATACGAACGACACCTTGACCCGAAGTTTACACTGGAAGCGGATTATGGAGAGAGCCGCGCAGTAACGTTCACTTTTCTGCAACATATCTTAGGTTCGTTATGAAATACGTCGATCTTGCCTCTCGCTTCACGCATCCTAGTGCCAACAAGATCAACCGAACGAACGCGAATGTCGCAACGTATCGACCAAGAAGGAAATAGACTAAAATAAAAGCGATATGACGATGAAAATGTCTAGCGGACTATATGTTCATGTCATGTAACATAGACCAGCCATACTGACATAAAACGCGCAAATGCGTATTTGCCTTCACGGATTCGTCCCTTTATGATGCTGATCCGACGGTTTGTAGGTAGCGCCACCCGACTGAACGTTGTGATGGATGATCTTCAGTGCGTGAGCGAGGTTGCTTGCTTGAGTATTATGATGCTTGTCAGACGACGTATGGGCAGGATCGCTTGATTGAGGGTGATGGGAGTTTCCGGAGACAAATGAGTGTGCGTGCTCGTGTGATGTTTCAGAAACGCGATGATGTCCGTCCGTCTGTACGTGGGCGGCGTGGAATATTTGACCAACGTTTGACTGAGATTGACGATGCGCATCCAGTAGCATATGTGCGTCGTGGTTCCCTTGGGCAATCTGAAGCTTGTCTGGCAGCGTATGGGCAGCATTGCTTGACTGGGTGCCCTGAGCAGGGTGTAATCCGGCGTCGTTCGTACGAGAGACCAAATTCACAAAGGTTTCGGGGCTAAAATATTGTCAGTTTGCGAGCTAATGCGTGGACGTCGAGTCTAAATGTAACTTACCCAAGAATTGGAGCGGTGAACACCAAACGGGCCGACCCGGCGAAAACTACTGCAAAGAAACCGACGCGCATGCTTAACAAATTTCGAAAGAAGAGAAGAAAGAATAGAAAAGAAAAAGTGAAGGATGAAGGGAAAGTTGAGAACCAGTCTGAGAACTGGCTGATTGGCGAATAGATGCTCTTTATAGCAAAACGCTGTATCTATATAACCGCCTACGTCGCCTATCTCCACATCTTGAATCAAATGCCTGAAGCTCATCGCCCTGAACAAGTGCGGCGCGCGCATCAGAACAGGATCTGGCAGACCGAATCAGCGCTCATTGTCAAATATCAAACTCGACAGATAATGAATAGTCGCATCTTCTTCACTTCATCCTGAACCTAAGCAAATGATCGTCCCGTGGCGTTGCGCGCGCCTATCGTGGGGACATCCTTGAGGCTGTTGCCCACAAGTCCCATCCGTTCACGAAACAATGCTTCCTCTTGCTATAGTATGTCTTCACTGTGTAGGCTATTTCGTTTCATTCCTCCTCGTGGTTCCAGAGTGACGTCGTCGACTGTTCGACGTCGAACCAGTCATGAGCGAATGTAAACGACGAGATGACTGTCACCAAGCCAGTGGTGTAATATCTTATCAATCATACTTTGGAAACAGGGCAGCGAATCGATTTTCGTGGCGGAATGTACAGGTTTTCCTAGTTTGGCAAACATTGCGAGTACCATGCTAGAACGGGAGTAAGCTAGTTTCGGGATCTGCGACAAGATGACGCTTACTGTTCGAAAACTTGCACGTCGAGCCAGCGGCACAGACCTATATGGATTAGTATAAGGACCTGCCCAAGTGTGGAATAACTCACCGTGGGCCCCGTGTATCCTTGACCTCCGCACTATATTCAAGCGTGAGCACCCGAGATAGACTGGCGCGAAACCAGTGACCTACTTGACCATAAACTGGAGCGGGGATGAGTCAACACGCGACGAGAAACAGTATAGACTCTTACCTGGAGAGGTGGCGCCACCAGAAGGAGCGCTCGAAGTGCTCGACGCTCTCGACGTGGAGCGAGAGCTGCTGCTGGACGACGCAGTGGCTCCAGTCCTCAAGGTGACGGTGTACGAAGAGGTCGTGAGGACGACGTTGGATCCAGTGAACGGTTCGGTTCCAGCTTGGAGGACCGTGAGGTAGTGGCCAGTATTGAAGCTATCACCCAGTCAACGAATGTCAGCCAAAGAACCGGAGGCGTACCCATTATTGGTAGCAAGATACTTGAGGAAATCCATCAGGTCGGCAGAGAAGGACGTGATGGTAGAAGTAGCAACAAACGCTGTGAAACACGGTGAGGAGATTAAGCAAAGAAAGAGAAGCGACGTACAGAAGACACGCATGCTACCATTATACCCATCGTACAACTTCCAGGAGCGGCCGGCGACAGTCGGAGTGGAGACGGGTGAGCCAGAGCTGCTGATGGGCCCTGCACCTCCGAAAGCAGCGAGCCAGATCATAATCTAGAGGTTTCAGCTTCAAAAAGGGGGGCAAGTGACGCCACGGACTTCGTAGGTGTGGGAGCCATTGACATCGCTGGTTGCCGTCGTCATCAAGTCGTACGAAACATTATTGACCGGGTTTGTGCCACTGTTCCATTTTTAGCATCCATCGTTCAATTTGCTGATGGGACCTACGTCTGCGACCTGTCAATCCGTTAGTGAGGAAGAAGACGAGGTGTGATGCTCACCAAGTCCAGGAAGTCGGAATGGACGAGATAGTGCTGACTTTGATGCCCGTTGCAATGTTGTACGCAATGTTATCGTAGGACCTAATGAAGGTCAGCCCTCATCTCGACGGCGAAGCGAGCGCGCTCACTTGACATTATAACTTCCACCAGACCATGACCAGTTTGTCTTCCAAGCAAACGTGGTTCCAGACACAGAGGTCAGTTCCATGCATTGGGACCCAGTTCCGGCGCTAGCACCCCAGAGATTCTACGAAGAGTCAGCGTTGGGACTGAGACCTACGAGAGGAGCCAACCTGATACGCAGTATAACCTCCTTGGACGCTCGAGCCCCAGGTGGCGCAGGAGGACCAAATGGCGCGCTTGGCGAGTTCGGCAGGCGAGACATCGACAGTAGCGAGCGCGATATTTGGAAGGAGGGTGAGGAGCGAGAGGACGCCGGTGAGAGCAGCAGTAGTCTTCATGTTGCTAATGAAGCGTGAAAATGGTCAGAGGGTGACACTAGGGTCGGGAAATAGGGACTTTTATATACCTCCAAAGCCCCCCCCTTTGCGCATCTTTCCGGGGTTCCTCTGCCGGTACGTATTTCCGTACTCACTCGAGTAGCAGCAAAGGGCCGGCTACGCAGATGGTTACCACCATTCGCGGGCCGCGTCGAGTGGGTGTCGGACCCAATGAAGAATCTTGCCGACCATCTAGTATTAGTCCGGAATCTTGTGGTGGGCTCGTACGTATAGATAGAAATCCTTCGCAAAGTAGCCGGTTTTAGGTACGTGATCCAAGGTTAATGCGAGGACTTTGTAGTCGCCGTTGAGATCTTCGCAAGGAGGGCGTCATATCCCGAAGCAACTTCCGAGGAAGAGCGAGTAATATCCTCGACGACTAGAAGAGCAGGATGGTTATCCCAGTGCATCTTGGGCACGTCGAGAGAGAGCACTGAACTGCACATCAAGGTGGTATGGATCCAAGAGGATTTGTTCAGGAATCATGACGAGGAATGTACTCCATTGCAAGATATAATACTGAATATTCCGCTGCTACAGACTGCCGACGCAGAGTCCAAGTTACGCAGCAGTTGAACTCTGACCACGACCGCCCATCATGAGTGTCCCTCGAGCGGATTATGATCCACGAAGAATTTTCCTGATTTCTTGTCCGTCTCTGCCATTCTTCAAGCACAGACGGGCAATTGGAGTGTATGCTGCTGGTGCATTGGTGAGCGTCCATGTTCACGCGCGAGTATCGACTTGTTTCGCTCATTTTATCCCTCTAAATTCGACCCTTATGATCTTCTCACTGGAATATATCATTATCTTAACAGTTTGCACTCGCCCATGCCATGTTCTTCGACGCCTGCGCACTCTCAGCGCACGCAAAGCCACCACCAGACGCTCCCTACGATACTGTCCCGTACACGTCACATTTGTCGATTGGATTCCAGGAATATTCACTACACTCGGCCTGCTCATCATCAACCTGATTGACAAGGAGCGCCTCCTCTCAGAGGGCTCGTATGGCGGTGAACCAACCATCATTTGGAGAGCACGCTTGTTCTTGTTTATTGGATTCGCTCTCATGGCAGGAGGATTGGCGGGTAGCGTCGTATGTCACAGCTAATTGCTCTATCAGAGATCGCTAACTCGCTCCTAGTCGTTGCTCGTTCTCAAGTATATCATCCAGAACTACGAACCTCGTTTCCAGTACTATGGTTACGCAAACGTGGCCCAGAACGTGGCGCTCATGCTAGCCGCAGTCATCCTCTGGTTGGCCCAGCATGCGTCGTCCGAGTACGAATACAATCTCCAGCTCTAGTTTATCGGGCTCTGGTCATTTGAATGTGCCAGTCACCTTTGGCGTTGTATATCTAGTTGCGAATGATATTGACATTGATTTCGCGTTCGCATGTTAGTCCCCGACGGTAACATTCCACTCTGACCATCCGTCCCATCTGGACAGATGTCAGGTCACCCAGTGCATACGGTAGCAGCGTTTACGACATCTCTGCAGAATATTTATACGCACGAACTCGGCGGTATTTAGGGTACTAAAGAAACATCTCTAGTCCAAATCGTCTATGCTTCGACGATGACGGCTCGGCCCTTCGATCCATCGCGCATGGGGATTGTCCCCAGCATGCTTCATAGCCTCCTTCAAGTGTCTACTGGCAGTTGACCTATGCGAACTCGCGATTAACGAATGGTAATGGGCAGCGTTGAGGTGCTTCTCAGCGCTATTCAACTGTCAGTGCACCTTCGGCACCTTGTATAGCTCGGTTACGGACCTTTTTGGGTCTGTAGAGGCTTTATCGTAGGACTTTGGTTCTTGAGTGTCGTGATGGAGTGCTTTTTGGGTATACTGAACGTGCTGTTCCAGTCTACCCATTCCGCGCGTGTGGTAGGTAGGTCTGTAGCGCTTAATGAAAGGGGCTTGAGTAATTATCCGCACGCGTTTCGTGTCTGAGCGTACGCAGGAGACGGAGCGGCGGACGCCAAGGGAGTAGACGCGGCAAAAAGGAGAGCAAAGAAACCGACGCGCATGCTGAGAAGAGGAGAAAGAAAAATAAGAAAAAGTGGGAGATGAAAGTGAAGATTGTAGTAGGAAAGTGAAAGTTGAGAACCAGTCTGTGGGGAGCGCATGCTTGACGAGCAGGTGCTCTTTATAGGATATGAGCAAGCCGCATTCACAGCGCTCCTCTGGTTTGCATCGCCAGAGTTGCCCTAGTGACATTCCTTCCTCCCTAAAGTACTGGGTGTGCCTTTGACTTTGGTAACCCAATCGGCACAGGTATTTCAATTTGGCTAGTCTAGTTGTATTGTAGAAAGCTTCAATCGTACTTGTTTTCAGTCTCTATATCTGTAAGTAGCACTCTGGAAAAAGGTCACGGTCCTGGCCCAGTGCAGCCGGCCCAACGGAACAGGATCTGAACGCCTCCAGCCTATGGCGAACAGCCGTGCTCTTTCCAACTTCCCCTCTTCATTCTCAACTCAAGCCCATCCGCATCTCACACAGCATGAGTGCAAATGGAGTGGAAAGGGAAACCGATCAAGCAAGTTTCATGACCGTATGCACATGTGCTCCTAGTTTGGCAAACATCCCAAATATCATGCTAATGAGGAACTAGTAGCAGGGACTTATGCAAGTCAGCAAAAGAGCTCGATCAAGTGTCAAATAGCTCACAGCATGTCCATCTACCCTCGGGGTCCGGAGTACAACCCAACCCAAGATCGGTCTGAATAGAAAGAATCACATTCCTGACTAGAAACTGTAGATGAGATTAATCAGAATCTGATACGAAGCTGAGTGTTCTGAGACGTGAATGACCAGTTTTCTCATTGAATTTTCGGGACTCAGTTTTCGCAGGGGGACCAAATAGTGCACATGGCGAGTTTGGCGAGCGAGACGTCAATGCTAGCAAGTGCGAGCAAGAGAACCTGGTCAAGAGTAGCGGTGGTCCTCACGGCGTGGCAAGAATTGGAACCTTTATATGTGTCTACACCGGCTGCGCTGTTGATACTAGGACGCGTGAGGTGAGAGGCAAGACCAGTAAGGTCCGGCCGCATCGTCCCGCGTCCCTAAATACATTGAGTTACGACGTGAGCTATTACTATTGGCTAAGCCTATTTAGTGAGCGCTAAGAGTCAAAGGGTAAACCTTCAACATGCGCCTGGTTCCAGAGTTCCTCAGCCGTATATAATAGTGACAACGAAGCTCGACCGGCGCATTCCACCTGTAATTTCGTGGAGTGTTCGCTGCGTATCTATTTGAGGTACTTGATCCAAGGTTAATACATGAATCTGGGGATTCCGGGAATCTTCACTACACTCGGCCTGCTCATCATCAACCTGATCGATAAGGAGCGCCTCCTCTCAGAGGGCTTGTATGGCGGCGAACTAACCATCATTTGGAGAGCACGACTGTTATTTTTTATTGGATTCGCTCTCATGGCTGGAGGATTGGCGGGTAGCGTCGCATGTTCATCCATCCCTCACTATCAGAGGTAGCTAATTCGTCCAAATTGCTCCTTGTTCGCAATTGTATCATTCAGAACTACGGACCTCGTTTCCAATACTATAGTTATACAAACATGGCCCAGAACGTGGCACTCAAGCTCGCTGCAGCTATCCTCTAGATGTCTTATGAATACGACTACTCTATTTCATCGGACACTGGGCATTTGAACATGCCAGCCAAATTTGGGATTGTATATCTAGTTGCGAATGATATTGGCATCGACTCTACGTTCGCATATCAGTCTTCGAGGGCTGCAATCTACTTTGACCATCGTCCATGGAAACAGGTTTCGGTTCACTCTGTGCGCAGCAGCCTTTAGATCTTTACAAGCACGAACTCGGCTATATTTAGGATACAAAGGAGCTGTCTCTAGTCCAACTCGTTTATGTTTCGACGCATGTGTCCGGTCCAAATTTGATGTGCAGGCTGCGCTGCATGCGCGGCCGCCTCGCCTTCGTGGTAACGAAGTTTATTTAGATGATAATCCGCGATTCCTTCATGTTCTAGGACTGCAGATCGGTGGTATGCAGCGCGAGAGTGTTTACCGCTATCTCATTATCAGCACATGATTCCTTGACACAGTTTATTACTAGATTCGCAGACAGACCTGTTTGCTGCGCGACTAGCTTTCCTAGCATGACTTGCTGCTTGCCTCAATTGATGGTCTGCTTGTGCGTCATGGTAAGTGGATTCTCTATTATGATATGCTACCCATTGCGCGTGTGTGGCGGACACGACTACGGGGCTAAATAAAAGGGGATCTAGGTAAGCACCTAAATGCTTCTTTTGCGTCTGAACGTACGCAGGGAGTGGAGCGGCGGACGCCAAGAGAGCCGACGCGGCAAAAAGGAGAGCGAAGAACCCGACGCGCATGCTGAAAAGTTGCGAGAAGGAGAGAAAGAAGAATAAAAAAGAAAAAGTAGGAGATAAAAGTGAAGATTGAAGTAGGAAAATGAAAGTTGAGAACCAGTCTGAGGAGTCGGTGGTTGACGAGGACGTGCTCTTTATAGTAGAAAGCCGCATTCATAGTGCGCCTCGGGCTTACATCGCCAGAGATGCTCTAGTGATGTCCCTTCCTCCCTAAAGCACTGGGCGCGCCTGACTTTGGTAATATAATCGGCGCGGGTCTTTCTTCTGGATGCAATCCAGGCAGCATCATTCCTCCTTATTGTTCATCTCTATATCTGGAAGAAACACACTGAAGGGACCAGAGTTCTGGACCAGTGCAGCGCGCCCATTGGAACAGGATCTGCGCGCCTCCCGTCTATGACGAACGGTCGCGCCTTTCCGAATATCTCCGCTTGATCCTCAGCTCGCCCACCATCACTCGACGGGCGCGCGTGTCCTGACTACCCGAACGCCTCTCGTCTTTTGTGAATGGGCGCGCCGATTTAGACACCTCCGCACTCGAGCCCATCCTCTTCCCACGGGCGCCCAAGGTAAATTTGGAATCGGCGAGAGGCTGACACATACCGTTCAAGAACTTGCAGGTTGCGTCAGCGGCGCAGACCTATAAGCCAGGAGGAGGGCTTGGCGAGGCGCGAAGTACCTCATAGTAGGAGCTTTATATCTTTAGACTTCGTGTATCCTTGATCTCTGCACTATGTACCAGGGTGAGCACCTGAGATAGGTCTTGACAAAAAGAGTCACGCACCTCACCGTACACTAGAAAGGGGATGGACCAATATGTGACGGGAGGCAGTATAACAGCGGGCCAGGAGACGTTGGGCCATCAGACGGAGAACTCGATGTGCTTGACGCCCTCGAGATTGAGCGAGAGTCGCTGCTATACGAAAGGATGGATGTAATCTCGAAAGATACGGCATTCAAAGTGGTTTTGAGGACGATGGTAGATAGGGTGGACAGTTCGGTTCTAGCTTGGAGACCTGTAAGGGAGGGGCCATTGAAGCCACCGCTCGGTCAATGAACATGAGACAGAGCGTCCCATATACGCATTCATTGTTGTTACAGAAGTGCGTTAGGAGGTCCATCAAGTCGACATAGGACGTGGCGGTTGGCGTGATGATTGGATGCTTCGAAATCCTGTCAGCAGATGAAGTGAGAGGACAGAATACGACGTACAGAAGGCGCGTATTCTACATTATATCCATCGTACAACTTCCAGGAGGGACCGGCGATAGTCGAAGTAGAGACGGTAGAACCACAGCTACCAACGGGCCCTGCAACCCCATGGCAGCGAGCCAGATCGTAACCATTGAATTCATTACACAAGGTACGAATCATTTGTATATTGTAGGCGTCGCCTGTTGCCGTCGTCCTCAAGTCGTCCAAATGTGGTTGGCCAGGTTTGTGCCGCTGGTGCATTTTGTCATATGCATCGTTATTCCATAGACAAGAACTGAGTCTGGGACCTACCAATCTGTTAGCGGCGCCGACGACGAGGTGTGATGCTCATCAGGTCTACGACGAAATGGTACTGACTTTGATACCCGTGGCCACCAGTTATCCTTTGAGGATGCCATTGTGTGTGTACGAGGCGTTCACCGCTGCTCATCTAAGGCGTCGACTTGAGGATAGCATCCTGTCGGGCAGACGCAGAGTCCAAGTTGACCTCTGACCACAACCGTCGATACCAAACGTACTCGGCCGATTACGGTCCACAGATAATTTTCCACCGTTATCATCGATTGTTCAAGTACATTGGAGGATATGCTCCCCCGTATTCCATGTTCGTTCATGCGCGAGTTCGCTCGCCTTATCCCTCTCTGTCGATTATTTGCGATGATAGTGCCCGAATATCTCATTTTAAGAGTAGTTTTCACTCGTTCATGCCATGTTCTTCGACGCTTGCGCACTCTCAGCGCATTCAAAGGCATCACCAGACGCCCCATACGACGCTGTCTCACGTACACAATGTTCAATTCAACTTAATTCCAGGAACCTTCACCAGACTCGGCCTGCGCATCATCATCATGATTAAAAGGAGTGCTCAGAGGCTCGTACGGCGACGAACTGACTATCCTGTGCGTTGATGCCTCTCCATTACACTCGCTCATGACGAGAAGTTCAACAGATGGCGTTGTATGTCACACCTACTCTCTATATCAGAGATAACTAACCCATTCTACGTAGGTCCTTGTTCCCGAGGACATCCTTCGGGCCTACAAACCTCGTTTCTAGTACTACAGCTATGCAAACGTGACCTAGAATGTGGTTCTCTCATGCTCGCCGCGGCCATCTTCCGGTCGGCACGGCGTGCACAATCTCCACTCTAGGTAACCTGATTTAGGGCATTTGAATGTGCCTTTGTCAGTAATCACTTGACGTGTACGTCTACTCGCGAATGTCGTTATCATTGATCTCAAGCTCAAATATCGGTCTCCGAGTTGGATCTACCGTCTACCCATGCGGACAGACGTCAGGTCAGCCACTACGCAAGGAGCAACATTCATCTGTGGAATCTTTTCATGCAAGAATGCGTCTATATTTGGGAGGCTAGGCAACTATCTCCCCTAGTCCAACTCATCTATGCTCCGACGATGACCAGGGGGAATCTGCGCACCATGCAATTCGGCCTGGTGGAGATGGTGTGCGTGTTGGTCGATATGATGATTCATCTGTGTAATATGGTGATCGAATTGAGTTCGATGATCCTCTGCGAGTTGGTGGTGACCACTGTCTCATTGTCAGTACGAGACTCTTAGCACATCAATTCATGGACAGACTTCTGTTGTGCCGCATGGGCTTGATCAGAGTGATGCTCTGCCTGATGCATATGAATTGTTGCCTGGTTCCAATGTTGGGTTGCCATTGTTTGATGTCTTGCTTGCGCCGCACGGTGTCCCGCATATGCGTCTCTATATGGAGGAAGTTTAGGTAAGTATTAGGTGTATTCTTTGCGTCTGAATGTACCTGGGCAGCGGAGTAGCGGACACCAAGGCTGCTTTTCTCGTCGTCATTCTCGCTTGGTCAACGTTTCCGTTTAATCCTCGATTGTTTTCTTGTCCGTCACGACACGTCCTAGGTTTACTCTTAAGTGGGGGGCCTTCCAGGCGAGGCAGGCTCCCAGTTTTGCGTTTTTCGCATCTTCCTGCCTTCGCCTGGGCCTTTCCGCTGTTAAGCGCCCCCAATTTTGCCCGGTGAAGGTATCTATTCATAGCCGTTTATCCTTCCATTGTACATTTGCCGCGTGGTATTCGATTATTCCGCCTGTGTTCCTCCAGTATAACTTGAAGCTCTCTGAAGACCAACGTCCCATCTTCTTCACAATCTCCACATCCACGCCACTCAGCAGGAATGCCGTCGTTCCACCAATTCGGAAACAGTGCCTGGTAAAACTTCCTGAACCCGCTGGGCTCCACACCTCGTTGCACATCTTCATGAATTGTGCCTTTGTCATTGTCGTTCTCTCGCCGTTCCGGCTCTTGAATTCACACAGCATCGCCCGAGCGTCTCCAATTCTTGACTTTGCTAGGTGTCGCTCGATGGCTCTTGACGGGTTAAGCTTGTTCCTTTGCTCGACCAGTTTGATTGTCGCTCCTCTGTTCCCAGTCGTCTTCGTCCATGGCAGGTAGAGACTTGATGCCGCCGCCCTTCCATTGCCATCTCGCCTCGTCACTGTCCAATGGTGTCGTTTTGGGTATCGATCCGTTTCCTTCGGTTCTGGTGACGCTGGCAGGAGCTCGCCCAATCTACATAGGCCACACCATGCCGTCATCGCTATCGCTAGCGCCGCTACCTCTTCCGCCGATCCTTCGTACCACTTTCCGATTAGTCTCTCCATCATCTCCGAGGTCACCGGCCGTCTTAGTTCCTTCGGTTCCTTTCTTCTCGGCCACATCCTCTCGATGCCTCGGATTATTCTGCTCGTGTTTGTAGGTTCGATGAATTCCATCCCGTTGTCTTTGTGCCACGATTTTATGCTCGATAGTTTTTTCCGTGCTGTGCCCGGTCCGGTTACACCTGCGCCGTCCGCTATGAATAAGCTCACTATCTCCGGTCGGCTTGGCAGGGCTTTTCCGATTGGGACCCCGATCCCTTCGGCAAACGTTTCGAATTTCTTCACGTAGCCGCTATATCCTTTCCGCGTTTGCTCTGTGAGACCATGATTCAGCGCCGTTGTAAGCTTCTCCTCTGCCTGGTGCCGGCGTTCCTCTGTCGACTCGGTTCTGATCGTCTGTTTTAGTAGGTTTCCGATATCTTTCTCGTTCTTGTCTGCCCTCGACACCTTCCTCTGCCTCTCGCCATTCGCTCGCTTGCTTGCGGCTTTTTCTTTTCCGATCTTCTTCTCATTTCTTTTTCGCCGTTCTCGGCTTCGTTTGGTCTCTTTCTGTTTTCTCGCCATCTGGTAGCTTCGCCTAATTATCATCTGGCGTGGCTTTGTCCAACTTTCATCTTTTGCGTCCTCATCTCTCTCGGGTTCCTTGTTCGTCCAGTCTCTTCTCACCATCGATTCTCATCCTAGGCTCTTCGTACATAACCGACCAATGACCTTGGGAATCTCCCCAGCTTCCTCTGAGTGTATCCGGGCGGCTCTAGCCCCCTCGATGGCCCGTCGGCTGGGTTTTCTTCCGACCGCACATATGTCAGTGTCAGGTATGCCTCTGCTCGCACTAGCCGGCGTAGAATTCGCCCGAGAACCTCGTTTTGCGCCTCGTTTTGCGCCTCGTTTCTCGATGACCGCTTCTTCCAGCCGCCAATTACGCCCTGGTTATCTGTGCAAATCTCTATGTGCGTCCTTTCCGCTTCTGGCCGTTGCAGTATGAACTCGACTGCTAGCTCGACCGCCACAAATTCTGCCCATCCAATCTCTCGTTCTGCGCCATCGCCCTCCCTCGTTCTCCAGTCACTTTCCAACCTGAATTTGTCGTATTCATCATCGATCACGACGCCCAGTCCCCATCCCGTCGACGCGTCTGTGTAGATCCGGTACTTGCAGTTTGGTTCGCGTTGTGTACATAGCTGAATCTTTATCTCCGGCTTCTCGAGCGTTTCCTTCCACCATCTGAGGTTGCACTTCGCCTTCTCCGGCATGTTCCACTTGATATACTTCGAGTGCTGGTTCGGTAGGCCCATTTTCGCTACCGTCGCCCATAAAGCTCTCGTGTGCGTTCGTCCTTCAGGAATTATCATTCCTAGGTGCGCCAGCTTCCCGCATAATGACTGCAGCCTTTCCCCGGACGTCTTCCTTCCTTCCTCCAGCACCTCCTGTACCAGTGCTAGGTTCTTCTTCCGCTTTGACTCGCTGACACTGACTGCATGTTCTTGCCAATGCCAGTCAAAGCCGACGTACGTCGTGATGTTGGCGAAGTCGCGCACCTTGTCCGGCGGAAAGGGGATTCCCAGCTCCTCCCCAAGCTCCAATATTTTCGCTATTCCCATTCCATATATCCATTCCTCCCCGTCTCTCCGTACTGGAAGTCGTCGGATCATCAGGTCGTCTACCCAGTATATGATCGTTCCGAGCTCTTTCCGTGTGCAGATTTCTACGAACGCTCTGTTCGGTAGTTCGAATATGCCAACGGATGATTTTGCGCCAAACTTTGCCGCCTTGTCGATCCAGAATTTCCCATTCCATTCGACTACTCCGTATCTCCAATCCTCTGGACGTATAGGGCAGTTTCTGAACGCCGCTTCCCAGTCTATTGTTGCACCTTGTGCTCCATCTGGCGAGGTCACGATGAGCTCTATCATCTCTGCCAGTCCTCCCCAGTTTGTTCCGAGGTTCTCGATATTCGTTTGTGCGTTTACTGATTGTTGTTCATCTTCGTAGGCAAATGATAGGTGTTCAATTACGCGTTTTCCCCTTCCACTCGCCTTGTCGACCGTTCCAAGTGGGTTTGCCACAAATGCGCCCAGCCTTTTCTCGACTTCCTCGCGTGTATGTGGGCCGTCATATCGATTTGCTGCAACCTCTTTTTCTATATGATCTTCTATCACTTTGGGGTGCTCGACCGCTGACCTCAGGTGTGGGTATACTCGTGTTTCGTCAATTGCCAACTGGCACTGCATATTGAAGCCGTTCTTAAGTCCATCTATGAGCGTCGCATGCTCCTCCAAAATATCAAGATATTTAAGCGCTTCCTCCCGCTTCTTGGCCTGTAGCGGGGTCACTGGCTCTGGTTGTCTTCCATTCGTGTCAGTTTTGTCCGCGCTTGCATGATTGGGCACTGTGGCTGGCTGATAGGCATCCCGTGCATACGTGCTTTCCATTTGCACAACGGCTCGCCGAACATCCTTTGGCCGTGTTGAATGACCAGCAGAAGGACGTTCCATCGAAAAGCGTCCAGTCCCCTTTGGCATTCTTTTTGACGTTGACGTCTGCGCCATCGATTTGGCGTCTTGCGCTGCAGAAGCGCGATTGGTGGCCCGTATCCCGGCATACGAAACACCTACCCCTCGCCTTTGTTTCCTCTCCTGATCCTCTCTGCCCTCCATCCTTCCTGCCGTCCGTTTTCCCATTTGACAGGCTCGCCGAGCTTCCCATACTCGCCCCACTCCTTTCGACTCGATTCTCCAGCGCGTCAAGCCGGTCGACATATCCGACGTTTACCCTCATCTCTGCCCGCATCAGTGCCTTCTCGTCGTTCGGATCTGGCACAAGTCTCGCGCCAGCCTTCGGGTTTGGGATGCATCGTTGGATTGTCTCGATTGCTAGTTCGCGGAGCACGGGCCATTCGTTCTTCGATATCACCTTACTGTGATATAAGTTGTTCCAGAACGACTTCCAGAACTTGGCAACATCCGGCCAGTTGCTCTTCATCAGACTGTAGTGCCGCTTGATCGCTGCGATCCCTTCGTCGAGTGGAATCGACTTGTCACTCTTCTCGTACACCGGGTGTTCGAGTACCCCGTTTCTGTAGCTAATTCTGTATGCATCTTGTCGTTTCAAGAACTCGTCTGTGAGGAAAGTGAGGGGGACGGGGTGCCTTCCTTCGGCGAAGGCCTCCATTAACTTCCGTGGGATCGAACCAATCTCGTCGATTTCGTTGTCAACTTCTGTATATATGTCAATATTATTTTTCGATTACTCGGTTAGCCGCGCGACGAGTAGTGCGTCCAGTCATCTCGTCTGCCTTTGGCAGCTGCTGTTCGGTCTCCTCGGTCTCTTCCTTGATAGGTACGTAGATGTAGCCTTTCCACTTCGACTTTGGGATTGGCTCGCCGCTCGGTTTCCTCTCCTCCGCCTCTTCTCCTTTGGGCACTTTGCCCGTCTCTTCCTGGCTTCCTTCGCTCTCGTTTTCGTCGTTTTCATCAGCCATGATGTGATGCTTCTTCTCGCTGTCCTCGCCCTGTACGGCTTCCTCGCTGCCGCTCAACTCGCTATCCTCGCTTCGCGTGGCCATTTCTGTCGCTACTTGTGCTCTTCCTTCTGCTTCCGAGCCGTCCATATTGTCCTCCTCTCCTTCTTCCGCCCTTTCCTCCTCCGGCTCTGGCGGTCCAATGCCCTCCAGCAACTTGTCGATCGCGCGCGTCCGTTCGTCGACTTCGCGCTCCGCCTGCTTCTTCTTCTCCTTCGGTTTGTCCTTTCCTTTGGTCGTCTTTACGGCGATACCCATCTCGCCAAGTCCCAGGGGGTCGTCCCCGCCACTTCCAAACTTGACAAACGTTGTTGTATCTGCGCTCGCGTAAGTCTCCAATCCATCTTTTCTTGATTCTCGGCGTTCCCAGTCCTTCGGTTGGACGCTCGCGCGCTCTTGGTAGCTCTCGGCCCATGCGATCGTTCCTCTGGCTCAGTCTCTCGGCCTCGTGCCGGTTTTCCATCGCGTTCGTCTATCCTTTCTCTGTCTGCCGGTTCTCGCTCCGGGTCTCATCGTGGCACTGTACTGCCCGCTCAAGTCTAGCAGCCCTGCCTCAGCTGCGCTCGCTGGCTCGTGCCAGTTTCGTCGGTCTCAGTCTCTTCCTCCTCTCCTCCGATTCCCGTTCTTGGGATTTTTCGGCTTTGGGGAGGAGGGGTCTGCCTTCGGCTTTGGCACGACCTCGTGGACGCGACACGTCATCTCGATGTATACGTATCTTGGAACTACGCTCGATTGCGTACAACGATTGCCATTGTCGAGTCTGGTCCTCCCAGCTCGACTTACGCTCCGTGCGTGCTGGCTCACGTCGCCTCGCCGGTCCTCTCGGCTCGAGTTCTCCCGCTCTTGCTACACACTGTAGCCATCTAGTACCTTGCGGTACAGCTCGTTCTTTCCCTGGGCATGTCTCTCCTGCCCCTCCCGTCCTCCAGGCTTGCCATGGTAGTCGGCTATCTCTGGCCTCGGCGCCTGACTTGTCCGCGTTTCCTCCGTGGCGCTCTATACTGTCAACCCGGTTCTGATCGCTCGATCGCTTGTCTTGGCTCTGCCGGCCTCCAGCCGACTGCCATCTGACCCTTCGCTCGCGCCGATGTGAGTTTGATCTTTCCTTTCTCGCCCTTGCCCTTCTTCTTCTTGTTCTTCTTCTCGCCTTCCCTTTTTCTTCCTTTTTTGCTTCTGTTGCAGACGATGATGATGACTCTGATGCGGACGAAGATTCGCTACCAGACGATTGTGATTCGTCCGATTCACTTCCGGACTCGCTGCTGTCCTCATCGCTTGTCGTCTCGTTCTCGCCGGTTTCGTCGACATCCATCTTCTCCATCTCCTTGCGTGCCTTGTCTGCCGCGGCTAATTCTATCTTCTCTTCGATGCTCTCGGCGAGCTCCTTATTCTTTTCGAGTCTTTTGAGGATCTCCTTCCTCTCCACTGCCGCCTCGACCGCTTGCTGACGCGCTTTTTGCTGCTGTCAACCGCAAGCTCCGCAAGCTGTCGTTGATCTTCCTGCTTTCCGTCGTGTCCTGGTTGATTGCAGCCTGGAGGCGTGCAATGCCGTCCTGGTACGTCTTTCGGATTTTTGCGGCATGCCTCTTCTTTGCTGCTTCCAGCGCAGCCTTGGATCTTTCTTTTCTCGACTCGCTGCTTCTTTTCGACGATTTCGACCTTGCACTCTTGCCCTTGGTCGTTTTTGATTTTTGACTTTTCACCATCTTTGACGTGCTTATTGTCTGCTTTTCTCGGCTGATTCAGGTTGTCTTCTGGTTGTTCTTTCGACGAATTTTCAGCCTTTTGGGGGCCACGCTACGCCCGTGCTGTCGGCAGCGGGCTTGCGTTGATGTTGGTTGGCGGAGCCTTTCGTTTGCGGCTCTTGCCACCTCCACCTGCACCTCCATTTTTCGATTTCATATTTTGTCGTTTGTCAATTAATTCTTTCCAATATATTCTCTATCTATACTGTTTTCCTTCTAAGTTCTATTCCTGGAGCTCCCATTCCTCGCTCGCTCTCGCAGCATGGCGAGACCTTCTGGTCTCCAACCAAGAGCAGCCGAGGCGAAAAGTATGGCAAAGAAACCGACGCGCATACTGAAGGAGCTGGGAGAAGAAGAGAAGAAAGAAGAAAAGAAAGAAGAAAAGGAAAGTTGAGAACCAGTCTGAGGGATGGGTGGTTGACAAAGAGGTGCTCTTTATAGGAACGAGCCGCATACACGCCGCCTCAGAGTCACATCGCTAGATACTCAATTTGTGCACCCGTATCACTTCTAGCACCGTTTCAAATGAATCCGCGTCACCTCCCAACGGCGTTGGGCGAGCGTATCGTGAGAGCAAAGCTAGTGTCCACGATTCCCATCCCTTCAGGTGAAGCTACACTACTCTCCCTACAATATACTTCGACCATGTTGACTACTCAGCCCTATCAAACTTAATATAATGGCCGTAGTGCATGGATTAGTTCACCTTACAGGTCAAACCCCAGCAAAACCGGCTGAGATCTCGATTTCCATGTTACAAGCTGACTTTATTATAATTATAACCATCCCTTTTCGTTCTTAGATGACGTGCGCGGCCGATGGCAGTGCAACTCTCACTGAGCTAGCTTGCCGCTTGTTAGCCTGCACATTAGAACAAAAAGGAGACAGTCCAGTCTATCTAGCCTAATGCTAAGTTGGTGAGAATGGCTTATCCTTGTTTCCGATGGCTAAGCGTTCAGCCTAGTTAGCCGTCGATAAGTAAATTTGCTTATTTGCGCTAGGAAAAAAACTGCAAATTTACGCTCATAGAGGTGTCTGTCACGAGCGCTTGATGGATTAAACGTTTTGAATATAAAGGCTAATAATATATGTGAAATCGTTTTCACCTCAAGCACGGATGAAGAACCCACAATAGATGGTGACTGAGGCTGAATCTGTCGCGTAATTCACCATGATGGAGAAACCGCAAACTGGATACTGGGTTTCGGATTTCTCTGTATTTCACACGCACCCCTGTCCGTCAGTCTCAACGCCTTCCCCATCTTGGTACTACTTCCTAGGCAGGCTTAGCGGGGACTTTCAGCGCTCGACCAGAGTTAAGGGATTTTGTCCATACTTCGTGATGAGCTCTGTCATGAAATTTAGGCGCTTAGCGCATCTATCATCACTAGAAGACGTGAAATTTACCGTCTGCTACAACTCTGTATTGATATGGGAACCTCTGTCATTTAGAATTTAGGTGCCTAGCCCGTCAATTTCATCCGGCGGCATAGACTCTATTGTCTATCATTCCGGGATTGCCGTGTGGGATGCTTCGTCACGAAAGAATTCAGGTGCTCGGCTCATCTGTCATCGTTCAGAGACCAGAATTCACCGTCCGTCATACTCAACAATGTTGTGCGGTGATGCTCTGTCACCAAGAATTTAGCCTTTGGACCATCCGTCATCACAAAATAACGTAGAATATGCTATCCTGTCATACTCAGTGTCGCTGTGTGAGAATCTCTGTCATGATAAACTGAGCCATCTCGCTCGTCTGTCATGGTTCGGAGACCCGGAATTTGCCGTCTGTCATACTTGGTACTGTCGTGCCGCAGCACTCTATTATGAAGAGTTTTGGCCCATCAGTTATCGCGAAATGATGTAGAATCTACCATCCATCATATTTGGTATCGCCTATGTTAGAGTCTCCGTCATGATAAATTTGGGCATCTCGCTCATCTGTCATGGTTCGGAGACCCAGAATTCGCTATCTGTCATACTCAGTATTGTTGTACGGCAATGCTCTGTCACAAATAATTTAGGCTTTTGGCCCATCTGTCATTACAAAACGACATAGAATATATCATCCCATCATACTCAGTGCCGCTGTCTCTGTCATGATAAATTTTGGGCATCTCGCTCATCTGTCATGGTTTGGAGACCAGAATTTGCCATCTGTCATTCTCAGTCCTGTCGTGCGGCAACACTCTGTCACGAAAATTTAGGCTTTTAGCCTCTGTCATCATGAACAACGTAGAACCTATCATCCCATCATATTCAGTGCCGCTGTCTCCATCATGATTGATTTGGGCATCTCGCTCATCTGTCATGGTTTGGAGACCAAATTCGCCGTCTGTCATACTCGGTACTGTCGAGCAGCAACACTGTATCATGAAGAATTAGGTTTTGGCACATCTGTTATCGCGAAATGATGTAGAATCCATCATCTCGTCATTCTCAGTGCCGCTTTCTCCGTCATGATAAATTTGGGCATCTTGCTCATCTGTCATGGTTCGGAGACCCACGATTCGCCGTCTGTTATTCTCAGTCCTGTCGTGCGGCAACACTCTGTCACGAAGAATTTAGGCTTTTAGTCCTCTGTCGTCGCAAAACGTCGCGGAACCTATGGTCTGTCATCTCATTGATATCATGTGGAAGCTTCGGTCAATATCACCACCCTCTTCCTCAACAACTATGGACATGCGGAGTTCCTCAATGAGCAAAATCCTCAGTCTGACAGTACCTCGGTCATGTGGAATGGCTTTCGGATCTTTAACGATAGCAAATTCTTCTCATATCTCAACAATACTCATAATAAAGGTTTGGTGGACGCTTGAAGCAATAATTTTCGCTCATCAAATTCTTGGCTGCTCATACAGAGATCTATGCGTTCTGGAAACTTGTATTGGCTGGACACAAATGGGAGCTCGTTTATGCCCATTTTCACAGCCTCTATGTCGATGTCCCGGATGAGGCGGCACAGAGGCTCAAGGCATCACTTCAGGCTGTTGAGCATCGAATTTGGAGAGATGCCATAGAGACTGCACGCATGTATTGCATGGAGACAGCAGCTCAGGGGAGGATGAGATGCATTCGACATCATGTTACCAATTACAAGTACCTTGGGGAGCCAGAGACATGGGTAGAACAGATGGAAAACTCAAGTTTCGAGGATAAAGTTGCACTTATCCTTTCAGCTCGACGCTTCAACCTTGATGGTCAAGTAAATACAATGCTTAAGGAACATGCACGGGCACAATATCAAGCAGGATCCACTGCCCTCAGCGAGTTCAACGTCTCTGAAGGGAATCACTTTGCATTGAAGGAGTATCAATGTGAACCCGACCCCATCATGGAGCCCAAATGGGACGCACTAAAAGATTGGGATGCGGCAGACCGCAGGGATGTCGGAAATGTGCTAGATTCACTTTAATAGACTAGCTAATACAGGGAAATGCACCTCTTCTAATCAATGAAATATTGCGGCACATTTGAGAAGTTATCTCTGTCACGGTTAATGGCCACCAATTTGTACTGATGTACAGGCTTTCACGCTGAGGGAAAAACAACAACACAAATATTTTGGACCCAACATCGACACAAGAATGGGAAAGCGGATACGCCCTGCAGTTGAACAGATATCTACTTCTGCTAGCGTCTCTATCAGCAATGTGCAAGTTCGCCAACCCAAGAAAAGGAAACGAAATACAGAAAATTACGTGACGAGTTGGGATCCAGCTCCGTCTGATGACTACATACCATGGGAGCCAGTAATCCCCCAGGAGAGTGCCAAGTTACAGCCATTCGAACCTCTCCAAGCAACCAGGAGAAGCAAGGTATGTTTCATCTCTGATCCATGCTTGCTCAAGTTGAACTTGCAGACCCAACACGACTTTCTGGATGAATGGATTAATTGCTCAGGGTTGTACCTCTCTGCCCTCCTTGAGCTTGAGTCCTTCCATATGGTCCTATCCCATGCGCATGCAACTCCGGGGAAAAGGACTCTTCATATGTACCAATTGCTTTACAACACCTCGCTGTTCACAATGTATCGTCATATCACATCTTCAAACACCTTTTCACAAGATTAAGCGATGGAATGGAACACATTTGCAAGGATCATCGCTCTCAGACCTTGGCCTCGTCGTGCAGCTTGGTCATCGTGGCTACCCATGCCCAATGCCAGCAGGAGCTCGAAAGCTGTTGGTGCTCCACATTGATGGTTTCCACGCTCTCTCAGTTTCCCTCTGTGGTTGCGACTCCTCAACCACACCAGACTTGCAGCTGTTCAAGTCGAGGATGTTCTCCGCTTCGATTCAGAACCCCAAAACGGCCTTCACTTTCGACCTTCTTGAACACTTCCGTATCCTCAATTTAGAGAGCAAAGGAAGTGCCAACTCTTATCTCTCGTCTCTTTATCGCCTGACAGACCTTGAAGGGTTGAGTAATATAGCAGTGTGTTGCCCTCGTGTCATATAATATTCATGACTGACATCCTTACCAGGACCGCGTTCGAGAATTCCGGCGCATCTCACGGCAGTGGAGTTATCTAGTTGCACAGCGAGATAGTGGCTCCTATGAAACAAGTCAGAACACAGTCTACCCCTTGATCAGATGTCTGGAATGTCCTGCATGCCCTCAACCGGGAGTAAATATTTTGGAGAATTGGGCTGAAACCATGCCAAATGATAGACAGTATGTGAAATCACGAACCTCCAAGGCTTCTCACTCACGACAAGTTATATCAGCTGGCTCGTCCGACGTTACGTACACTTTGACGCCAATTTTCGGCTGACTTTGCTCAAGCATGACAGTCGCAGTCCACTTGACAGAGTGCTGTGGTCGGACGGCGGTTTCTTTGCAAATCCGATTCAATATAGTGACTATCTTGCATCTGGAAATGGCTCTCGACAAGAGATAAGTTGTTCCCAGTAGCAATTGAGACTCTTACATCATTTGTTTAGCCATCGGACTGTTCAAATTGCAGGCTACTGTCAACTCATCTCGAAGTCGATTCAATAGACTTGAGGTTACTGGCCTTGCTGGCGGTGTATGCCGACATGAGTGCATGCAATTCCTCAATCCTTCGTCGACCTCCAAAAGGGGAACGGTCAGGCAATTATTGTTCGCAATGATGATTCCTAATAAGTCGTATAGGTATTTTAATTCAGACTTTGCAATTTCCCAGATCATCCACAGGATGAGTGGTATCAAGGACCTGGTATTAACCTACGATATTGCATGTCAGTATCGTCGGAACTTCAGACTCGCTTCAACAACCTTGCCGCCTTCTTACGCCTCCCACCACATCTTCGAATCATCTTCCTGGTGCCCCAAATTTCACCTTCCAGCTCACAAGGAAGAATGCCGTTATCGATATTCACTCAACTACTGCAAGAAGGTCGGGCGTACAGATGGGGAAGCCATCGAAAGACTGTGGAGTGCCCTTAATCACTTATCAGGAAGCACATCTCGCATGACGCCTGGAGGAAGAATGGATAACCTCAATTTCCACTTGAACTATTGGAACTGGCGGAAGACATGTAAAATGGGTGAGCGGGTCACGGTGTTAGTGTGCCAAGTCTAGGCAATTGAGCACGGCTAGGTACTACACTCTCAAAGAGGTTACAAAATACCCGGGAAATGCTAATTCAGCACCAAACATTGCTTGCCGATCTGCGGGCGAGTATTGGAGAGGCAAAGGCTGCAGTACGTTCTCAGGTTTTCCTGACGTTTAGACTAAATATCTCGAAGGAATGGTCTGAGCTTGAAGATCATTACAATATAGACCAGGAAGGTCGATCTATATATCAGACACTAGCAGACCAAGGTTTGTGCCTGTTTTGCAATCTAATGTGCAAGTCTAACCGTCTTCAGCTCCCACCCGTGCTGAAATAATTCAGAAACTTACACGTTTTGATGCTCTGCTACCACCCCTGGCCCTCGAGAATGCAGATGGTTATCCAGCACTGGCTTTTTGGGTGAATGACGGCCTCGATTTGGAGGAATATCAGTACGTTAGGTAATTATATGCTCTTTTGATACTGAATGTCGACAGGAAGAGGCTAGAGATACATTCACAATCGATCACAACAGAGCGGCAGCGCATTGAGCTCAACCAGAAACGTGTCGCATTAGCCGACAGGATCAACGACTGGAAAGCGCGTACTCCGCTAGATATACATGACGAGGAAGATGAGGAGGATGATCCCGCGCTCCTGAGCAATGGACTTCCCATCCCTTCAACGCTCCTCGGAACGAACAACTTGCAATTCCTCGACAGGTTGAGAAGGAGCTACGAGAAGCGCAAGCGTTTGACTATTTACGCGCTCTCCGCACTGGACTTGCAGAGGAGATCGCACTTTTACGTGACAGGGATCGCCATCAGCACGGATATGACGCGAACTTACGCTCCAGATCACTGATAGAGCGCGTTCGTCGAGACATTAACTTTAATACGGGCCGGTATCGTGCTACCTTTGCTGCGCTGGAAGTTCTAGGTGGTGCTCGGAATCCTGAGCTTAAACCACTCCTACCAGCAGATGTATCTGCTGCTAACGTGTTCCGATACACTCAAGAACTTGGGCGTGGCTTCAATGTCAACATCTCGTGGATCTGGCGTCGGACTGCGGTGGGGACGCACGCAAATGATGATAACTGGCTTGAGAAAGTATTCAAACCCACTTAGATTCTTCCTTAGAGCTCACTTTATGTATAGTGCTTCGCGTACGATATCTGGAGGCCAAAGCAAGTCACGACCGATGGAGTGAAGAGCTTGACTCACTCATGCCGAGATTACATACACTCACAAACTTTCGAATTTAGATGTGAAGAGTGGCTAAAGGGCTTTAAACTCAGAGAAACAGGGCGAGAGGGCACATGCATATGCCATGTCCAGTATTTACCGCCGTTTGGCTGACGAAATCACGGTCATTCAGGTCTAAATGAACTGATTTTATGTCGAATACTTAGTTTATTGGAATTATCGCTAGATTTTATAATGCGAAACCCACCAGAATAAGTTCCTCTCAGCTCGCCTCGTATTGAAAACCAAGAAAGCTTCTTGAGGCGTAGAGGAGTAACGGAAGACTGGAAGAAGAAAATGGAGGCGAGCGGGGAAGCAAGACGCTAACGGGGTTGAACTTAGAACGGTGAGGAAACAGCTGGAATTCGGACTCTGGTACTTCTTTATGTACGGCATAGGTAGATTATGGAGGGTTATATACGCGCGAGAGCGCCAGACGAAACGCGGAAGGATGGGAACGAAGAGTAGGAGCTGGAGATGAGACAGAGCGGAGCTGCTGCGCCGCCTTGAGAGTGTAAGAGACTAGTAAGAGTGTCAGAGACTAGCTAACTAATCCCGAGAGCTCCCACTGGGCTCGTGCCACCAGGCGCGAGGGCGTTACAGTATTGTTTAGCAACGGTTCATTTATGTCACTGCGCAACCAGAAGCCCTGGAATGACTCTTAGACGGTTCCCAAAACGAATAAAGTGCCCTGTTTTCCATGTAACATTCTCTTGTATCCAATCCCCTCGTCCAGTTTACGCCTCAGATTCCCTTAATTAAGCACCCTCACATTGAGGAAACAATCTGAATAGATGCGAATAGGACATAATGTGACTCTGCTTGGGACTCCGCTCACCAGAAAGATGTAAGTGTCATCGCCAACATCTTCATGTGGGCACTGAATTTCGCGCTGTCGGCGTCATGCTCATCAGTGTGTCCTCTTCATGCACAAGCCTATCACCCTGTTACTTGGCTCCCTGATTGTATCTGATTTCACGTGGTTGACTCGTTGACAAAGAAGAGGCCGCATATGTTCATTCGCCTTCTGTTGTATAACCGTCCCTCTTGATATCAGTGAATGGACTCTTGTCGACAATATTGCTCATCTTGAACGTATTCTCATCCATGATTCACCTTTTGTGCTTCTCAAGCGTGCTTCCTTCACTCCTTCGCAACCTTCAGGTGGTGGAGCCATGATCATCTGTGGCCAAATTGGGCAATCTCAAACATTTCCAAACATGCGACTTTGCGTTTGCCAATGCCATCATTCTGCGCTGCTTCAATGTTCAAACTGCTCTTAGCCACCCGAGGGTTTGTAGCCTTTGTCAACACTCAGACGGTCTGAAGACGCTCCCATAGTTAATTATCGACATTTTAGGTCCATTTTGTGACCCGGTTCATGCATCATCCGGGTTTATTCAGATTGAAATTCTGTTGATGTGGACTCCGGGTTGGAAAATGACGCTTTTTTGTTGGTATTTCATACCCAATCTTGGGTTTATCAACAAAGAAGAAGCAAAGTTCCTGGTTCTGAAGTTGAGGGAGGTTCATGCCTTTACCTGGTGTGGTCTTAGTGTAACGCCCTCACGCCTTGTGGCACGAGCCAAGCAGGGACTCTTGGGATTACTTAGCTAGTCTCTTACAATCTCATTAGTCTCTTACACTCCCCAAGTGGTGCAGCAGCTCTGCTCTGTCTCATCTCTTGCTCTTATCTTACTGTCCGTTCCCATCCTTCTGCGTTTCGTCTGGGGCTCTCACACGTATATAAACCCCCAATAATCTACTAAAATATACATGACGAAGTAACAGGGTCCAAACCTCAGTTACTTCCTTGCCGTTATAAGTTTGACATCTGTTAGTGTCCCTTTCCCCGCTCGCCTCCTCCTTCTTCAGTCCTCCGTTAATCCTTTAGGCCTCAGCAAGCATTCACGGTTTCCATTAGTAAGAGGGTACCGAGGGACTGAAGTTCGTTTGCTGAGATAGAGACCGCTGATACTGGCTCATGTCTGTTTTATCCACAATATAGATCGCTTAGAACATGTCAAATAGCAAGAGAGGGTGATTTATTCACAATAAGACAAAGCATATCATCATGAGTGAATTGGTAGCGACCTAGTCACCCCTCTTGGCTCGCTTCCGAGGCCGCAATGTCACCTCAGGTGCTGCACTTACCTCGGTCTGAGCCGCTTGTTTTGCAAGATTGAGTGCACGTGTTCTTTTGCGTTTTTGGGCGGGGGTGAGCTGCTCATAAGGTACCTCGGTCCTGGGCTTGTCAACCATGACGTTTGCAGCTGCGGGCGTGGTTGCTGGTGCTGGCAATGGCCTTTGATCAGGTTCAATTGTCAGAGGTGAAGCTGCTGATGGCAACCCCTGGCACTGGTGCCAGTGAGTGCGTTGAGCATTATTGGCCCTGTAGACGCAGCATTGTCAGACTGGTCCTGTATCAAGGTTATAGTTTATTTTTCATACCTAACTGCCCAATGTTGACGTTTTGGGTACCACCAAAGGCAGGGACCGAATCGTTCTCATCTGGACTGTTAGTGAGCACTAGCCTGGCATTTGTGACGGTTCTTGAGTCCTCTGAAGGGAGCAACTCTGTACAAAACTATCAATTTAAGCTTGTTTTCCGACCCAGTTGAGACATACCTGGAGAGAACGCAGCAATTGCCTTTGCCTTCGGAGTAGGTTTGAAAAGCATGCCCCTTGCCCAGCTGATTGTCCCTTTTTGATGAGACTGTATGAGTCCAATCCACGCATTGAGGTGATCTTTGTTCCAGTTGACATCGCCAGGAAGCGTAGCTCGGGTGGTGGGCTTATTTTCTGCCGTTACGACGGGTATGACATCTGGATAGCACAGATTGTCCATATTTGCCATGATATACTTCCAACCCCATTTCGATTCATCATGTCCTGCACGCACTGTCAAGATGTTAGCCAGATAATATAAAGAAAGTCAATTGAACTTACAGTAGCGGTCCCGAATTGCAGCAGATAGGACACTACGACCGTCATGCATAGACACATTATCATCAAGTGCCCAGAGCCGTATTCCATCACGCTCGCCCAGAAGTGGAACTTTGTATATATCTGGTGACTTTAGCCGACGTTTATTCTTGTTCTGATTGTCGCTTTGGTCTGCGGTCGACTCAGAGGTTGTCTCGGCTTGTGCGGTTGGCAAGGCCAGAGTGGTCGAGTGATCAGGGGCTGTCCAATGTTGAGCTGAAAGTGATCCAATGTCCGATTATGTAAGTGTTCCATACCTATACTGTCAAAGAAGTAGTGCGCATAGGCTTGCATTCCTGCCCGAAACCCTGCAGCGACGTTGGGGCGCTCATGTGCAAGCCATGCTAAAGGGGATAGTTTGTTCTCTGGAGGCGCAATGTTGAATCTACTGGGAATCAATGACAGGGCTGACATCTAAGGCAAACTCACATCCTTGCTTCGGGTGCATTGTTAGGGTCACCAGGAATAACCACAACTGACAATGCAGGGAACTTGAAAGCAGCATACGCATCTCCAATAATTGACGTAAAGCTTGCTGCGACAAGCTCCTTCCGGGCACTAAGTACACAGTTAGTTCCGCTTTTACAGACTTAGTGTAATTATGTACGTACTTAAGAGGAATTAACTCGAAATTCTGCTCGCATTGGTTGAAGAAGTCCACGAACTCCTCCCACACCAGCGCTTGGTCTTTGTCCAGGTCAAAACACGTTTTTGTTGCCAGACGGTGCATGATGAGATCCTTTGCAGCTTGCTTGACCTCAGGCCTGGTCACCACGTGCGCAATTTTACGGGAATTGTCGCTGGAAAAGAAGTTGGTCCAGAACTTCTCGGGATTGCGCTTATTTGGTGCGAACTTATTCTTGTTTCGAGTGACATCCGGCCGTACGGGAATGAGAGAGTCCGCAGACCTTTGTAAATCGGCGAGGTACTGCGCGACAGTGCTTGATTCCGGAGAAGTGTTAAGCGCATTGGGAACCGCTTCAGAAGAGGTGGATGTTGTGCTGGCCTGACCCGTTGAGGTGGTTGAGCCGTGCTGCCCACAGGATGCGATGCGGATGAGGGAGTTGGGATATTTGACGGTATTGCTGAAGCCCGGATCAGAGAGGTGTCAGACAAAGCCGTCGGGTCATGCTGATGTTGTGGAGCTGGCAACGAGGTGCGAGTAGCGGGATCCAAGGAGGACGAGGGAACCGTATTGTTTTGTTGCCCAGATGCCATTGTGAGGAGAGGCCCTTCGAGTGGAATATATGATTGCGTGGAATATAAAGGTGGGCTCCAAGTTGGAAACCCACCGACGCCGTGGGCCTGAGCATGGACCGCTTGGTGATCACCTGCTTGGAACATCTATGAACATGTTAGATTAGCCCATCTAACGCCTTATTATGACCTGATTGGAGACACTAGTTGCGCCGTTGTATGGTTCAAAGTATGCATTTGGACCAGCTGGCCCAAGGACATTGGACGCTGACGTGGGCAGCATGGTAGCTTGTGGATCGAAAGCAGACATTCTGGAAAGCGGGAGACTGTCTATCACCGATTGTTCTCCTTAAATATTTTAGCAACGGCTGAGGATTCATAACCTCCGTGATTGTTCGACACACTCCTCATGCCATGTGTCAATGTATCTTGTACCTCTTAAGACCCGAGAAAGCAAAATTATCACCCTATATGTAACTTGCTCCGCCACGTTTCGCTCACAAACAGTAAATCTTTGTAGATTGTCCATGATGTACAAGGTCAGCCACCGGGAATTGGTGACTCCGCAAGCTTGTGTGTTCGAGACCTGAGCGCGGCCCTGAGTCCTAATATGAAACCCTGGCATTAGATGCCCGATTTTTGCAAAGAATGCGGAGCGTCCTGAGTATGCAAGTCACCGACATGGGTCAAATTTCATAAGGCTGCTCCGGATTCATTCAAATAGACTAGATAGAAAGACGTCAGAGATTGTGCGGTGACACGTTCTCTATGGATAGGCCCCTATCCTTACAGCCAACGTAGCTACCAATGGAAAGCGGAAATTGCGCAATACCTAGCATTCTAACTGTTTGACGGGTTAATGACTTGATTATTGTGCTTTCTTGAGCATTCATTATAATTTGAGCTGGGGGGCTATGGCTGCCATGGTTTCTCCTGTCGCATGCCTTGAGAGTAAAAGCATAAGAGCATGTCTAACATGAGGTATATATAAAGGAAGGATTGGATTGAATACAAGATATGATTTGAGACTTAGGAAGGAATAAGTAATATCCCTCAACTTTGTCAGTTGGTCCCCACTAGGACTGTAAATGATATTCCTCATATATTCAGACTCTTACAATACATCATATTCTACTTGACTGTAGAAAGAGTGTGTGTTCCGAGCATGGGAATAAGCGTAATTTATCTAGAACTCATATAATGGCTCTTACTGATCATATTGCTGTACGGAAATCTTGATATGAATCTTATGTGACGGTGATTGTTCGTCTGAGGTGATTCGCATTGCTAAGTAATAGCCAACGGGAGAAATACCTGAATTTGTAATGACAGAGGGTTTCATATAACGGAGCTTGAAATGAAAGCTCGTGAATTATGTCTTGTTTGCAGATGACAGACAAACTGGGAGCCTAAATTCTTTGCGACAGAGGTCCCACATAGCATGGCAGATGGTAGGTTCTACAACGTTTTGCGATGACAGAGGGCTAGAAGCCTAAATTCTTCGTGACAGAGTGTTACCGCACGACAGGATTGAGAATGATAGACGGCGAATTGTGGGCCTCCGAACTATGACAGATGAGCGAGATGCCCAAATTTATCATGACGGAGAAAGCGGCACTGAGTGCGACGGGATGATGGATTCTACATCATTTCGCGATAAAAGATGCGCCAAAAACCCTAATTCTTCATGATACAGTGTTGCCGCTCGACAGTACCGAGTATGATTGACGGCAAATTCTGGGTCTCCGAACCATGACAGATGAGCGAGATGCCCAAATCTATCATGACAGAAAGCGGCACTGAATATGATGGGATGATAGATTCTATGTCGTTTCGTGATGACAGAGGGCTAAAAGCCTAAATTCTTCGTGACAGAGTGTTGCCGCACGACAGGACTGAGAATAACAGACGGCGAATCGTGGGTCTCCGAACCATGACAGATGAGCAAGATGCCCAAATTTATCATGACGGAGAAAGCGGCACTGAGAATGACGAGATGATGGATTCTACATCATTTCGCGATAACAGATGTGCCAAAAACCCTAATTCTTCATGATACAGTGTTGCCGCTCGACAGTACCGAGTATGACAGACGGCGAATTCTGGGTCTCCAAACCATGACAGATGAGCGAGATGCCCAAATCAATCATGACGGAGACAGCGGCACTGAATATGATGGGATGATAGGTTCTACGTTGTTTCATGATGACAGAGGGCTAAAAGCCTAAATTCTTCGTGACAGAGTGTTGCCGCACGACAGGACTGAGAATGACAGATGGCAAATTCTGGGTCTCCAAACCATGACAGATGAGCGAGATGCCCAAAATTTATCATGACAGAGACAGCGGCACTGAGTATGATGGGATGATATATTCTATGTCGTTTTGTAATGACAGATGGGCCAAAAGCCTAAATTATTTGTGACAGAGCATTGCCGTACAACAATACTGAGTATGACAGATAGCGAATTCTGGGTCTCCGAACCATGACAGATGAGCGAGATGCCCAAATTTATCATGACGGAGACTCTAACATAGGCGATACCAAATATGATGGGATGGTAGATTCTACATCATTTCGCGATAACTGATGGGCCAAAACTCTTCATAATAGAGTGCTGCGGCACGACAGTACCAAGTATGACAGACGGCAAATTCCGGGTCTCCGAACCATGACAGACGAGCGAGATGGCTCAGTTTATCATGACAGAGATTCTCACACAGCGACACTGAGTATGACAGGATAGCATATTCTACGTTATTTTGTGATGACGGATGGTCCAAAGGCTAAATTCTTGGTGACAGAGCATCACCGCACAACATTGTTGAGTATGACGGACGGTGAATTCTGGGTCTCTGAACGATGACAGATGAGCCGAGCACCTGAATTCTTCGTGACGAAGCATCCCACACGGCAATCCCGGAATGATAGACAATAGAGTCTATGCCGCCGGATGAAATTGACGGGCTAGGCACCTAAATTCTAAATGACAGAGGTTCCCATATCAATACAGAGTTGTAGCAGACGGTAAATTTCACGTCTTCTAGTGATGATAGATGCGCTAAGCGCCTAAATTTTTCATGACAGAGCTCATCACGAAGTATGGACAAAATCCCTTAACTCTGGTCGAGCGCTGAAAGTCCCCGCTAAGCCTGCCTAGGAAGTAGTACCAAGATGGGGAAGGCGTTGAGACTGACGGACAGGGGTGCGTGTGAAATACAGAGAAATCCGAAACCCAGTATCCAGTTTGCGGTTTCTCCATCATGGTGAATTACGCGACGGATTCAGCCTCAGTCACCATCTATTGTGGGTTCTTCATCCGTGCTTGAGGTGAAAACGATTTCACATATATTATTAGCCTTTATATTCAAAACGGTTTAATCCATCAAGCGCTCGTGACAGACACCTCTATGAGCGTAAATTTGCAGTTTTTTTCCTAGCGCAAATAAGCAAATTTACTTATCGACGGCTACCATAGGTGAAGCGTTGCATCCAGAGTGACACTGCCTACCGTGAGACTTCCGGCCAACCAGGAGTGCGACCGGGCGAAGATCACCGAGGCAATGATTTTAACATGGCAGGGACGGCGACCCTTCAGATCCTTGTGCTGCCGACGGAGCCGGCAAAGTTTGGCGGACCTGAGCTTCTAAGCTACTCCGAAACTGCGAGAAAGTGCAGTTAGCTAGGATATTTCAATGTATTATTGCCTTTGTTTTGTAAATGGCGCAGAAGATCAATGCTCACGAAGAAATCATGGATGTTCAAAGTAATTCTTGCTACGGATCGGTCCGGCGACTGAGCGAGATGTCGACGCGATTTCGCACCTCGTGTACTACAGAAAACAGTGGAACGAGATACTCAAGAGAGCGAGTGCAAGGCATGTATTCCTGATCCGCCCTCCTGGCGTGACGCAATTGCTTGACTCCTTCCATGGTACACATTGCCATGGCCCACTGCCAAAGGGCGCCCAGGCGTTCTCATAGGATTCTGGAAACAACCATTGGATCGGCTTCACGTCCGCAGAGTGTTTTTCTGTAAGCTTGATACACGCTCGCAACGCGAAATGGACCGCTGAGTTGTAGAGGATAGCGACAGAGTAGTCTCCAATGAGAAGAAGCTTAGAAAACGTAACCAAAGATCGTATCGCGGACATACCGTGTGGCCGTGGTCCCATTTCGGGTGAACCGTGGGCTAAGTTTTGTCCTTTTATCGTGGGATTCTGGCCAGTGTTGCATTAAATCTCCATTGGTCTGTGGAAATGTACAAGCCGCTCGTGCGCTGCCGCTGTATGATGCACGAATCGACGACCAGACCACTCAGGTAACCGCCAACAGTTCTAAAGCCGAAATCAGAATAAATACGACCCTAAGAAAGCGCACACCATCGTCTACAACGAATAAAAGCATTGTAGATAGCAAGGTTTCCTAGCTACGGGACCACGGATTGCTCACCTCGTTTTCGGCCTCTTATCTCGCTGCGTGATTTGTCCTGGTCGAAATTCTGTGTATTGTTCCCTTAAGATCCATTCTCTGACATTTTCGCACACCATCGCATCCGCTTCGCCGAACCTTTCCAGATCATCGGCCTCTATCGCTTTGACGGTTCGAGGCAAAGTGGGTAGTATTCACTTCTCGGTCTATTTCTCGTCTTCCCACAAATCCTACTTCGACCTAGAAAATACTAGACCCTTCGAGTTCCAGTTTGGCACCACGTCACGATCGATATCTGTTGATACTAGGACGCGTGGGGTGAGAGGCAAGACCAGTTTATATGGTGTAACAAACCTAGGACGCGTGAGGTGAGAGGCAAGACCAGTAAGGTCTGGCTGTGTCATCCCGCGTCCTTAAATACATTGAGTTACGACGTGAGCTATTACTATTGGCTAAGTCTATTTAGTGAGCGCTAAGAGTCAAAGGGTGAACCTTCAACACTTATGGGGTGGTTATTCAAGAGCTACAGTTGCCCTTGGCAGAGGCAGACCTCGTATCAAGCTCCTATAGATTAATTTGAAATCAGAACGAGCTCTATCAATGCGCGCGGAGCCTGGATCTGCCGAGTATTGAGTTATGTTTCTGTAAGGGTTGGTCACCTTACAGGTCAGAACCCGGCCGACCAGGTTAGGATTACCTGAGTAACGGGGGTATATAGGAACTGTAACGCATTAGAGGGAAAAGAGGGACACTATAGTCTAGTGGTCTGACGGCTAAGTCGGTGCGAATCCGGCTTGTTCCATTTTCCCACGGCTAAACGTTACAGTTTCACAACTCTCTCTTACTTCTAGAGAGGAAGAAATGCTTTCATCAACTGATATCATGGTATAAATTCTCTTCCGAATGATTTCACGCGTGAAAAGGTTATATAGGCTTAGATACAACAACGCGCATCCTCTAATCCAACTCTTCAATACTTCGGAGGTGCTTCGAAGTCTTCTTGATCTTATCGGCCTCTTTTAAGTGTTTTTGACTGCCCAAATCAGTACATTACCCTCTGTAATAATGATAATAAGACGCAAGGGCTCACCTCTGGCGGTAGTGCTCATTTCCTTTCTGCATGTGACGGTCGCTAGACTCATGCTCCTTACGATGACGTGCCAGGATCACGGATGAATAAACTGTTAACATGCTCGATGCTAAGAAAGAGACTCGTAAGTGCCTATAGCGAACACATTAACTGAGCATGTACGCACTCGTCGAGACTGCGAGCTTGCTTCTTGCCGCTCCTGGTTTGTTCATTGATCCGAAAATTAGCTTGAAAGGTTCTAAAGAATTACGGTGACAAAACGACGTACGACTTGGGATCTGTGTTGTGGGACGAGTGAGAAGATCCTCTACGTGGATCAGTTTTACCACTCTGATGGTGGCTTCCTGAAGTGTGCTTCGGATCCTGGCGACCAGAGGTAGAGGTTTGGCCACGAGAAACTAGATTGCTCGGGCGGTCAAGGCTGTTTCAGTGACCTTTCAGTAACTATTTAGATGATTTTCATGCTAGACGCACTTGTAGAGTGGGGCGGCGGAGGCCAAAAGAGCAGAAGAAGCGAACACCACGGTAAAGGAGGCACGCATAGTGAAAAGCGTTATAAAAGTGAAGAAGAACGATAGAAAAGGTGAATAAAGGATGAAAGTGAAGAAGGAGAACCAGTCTAAGAAGACTTGGGTAGAGGATTAGGCGCTCTTTATACTTTTCGACGCTCCACTGTCTCAGTGGAATCTAAACGTGGACAAAAGTCTCATATCGAGGACAAATTTGTGCTAGATTGTCCTGTGAAGAAATCTGTCAACTGCGCGGAACCACCGAGCCAAAGACCGCACAGTAGAGATTGATTTCTCAGACATAGGACCTTGAAGCGATGCAATTAGTCATAGACAGTTGATTCTAAAGGCCACCTTTGGGCCGACGTGACAGGCCTTAGCGGGACCTCGATTTAGCCATCATCCCAGAGGCCATTAGTAGAGGATAAAGCTCCTCACCATAATTCTGCAATAACATATCGACTACGCCCGACGATCGCGAGCATCGCAGATGACGACAGCTTAGCAAATGGCACAGACCTGCTCGACTGGTCGACTTGTGAGCACTTGAGGAAGCATGTCCAGCTCCGAAGATTGATTTCAATATTCAGCGGAAACACATATAAACCGGAGATGTCGCAGGGATAGAAACAATATATGAATGCAATGTCTGTGTCCCTGGCAGTCGAGGGTGAACTTGATGTCGGTAAAGGTATTATGCTCCGATGAATTATGTAATGATCACGGCTTATCCGTCAAGGAGAACAGCTGCAGGGTGATACCTTGGAGGTCGTCTGCGCGGCGAACATAGATTTGCCGAGATTCTCGCAAAGATCTAGGCAGTTTTTGATAGGAATTTATCTCCCATCGAGCAGTAATTTCTTAGGTATTTTAGTGAGTTCGTCTCGTCTATAAGGTCCTTATGTCGCGAGGACGCAGAGACCTTGAGCAAATCGAATATGTAGATGTGGTTAATTTTCTGGCCTGCGTAATATATATGTACCACAGAAGTTCATGAAGCAGAATTTCGACCCGGGGAGAGGGTCAGCAATGCAATTGCCGCATTGCTGACATGAAGGTCGCACACCAAAGTCACAAACCACGTTTTCGCCAGTTTGATAAACATGTCCAGTTGTGCATCCAAAGTTCCCATCTCCACAGTGCTGGCCCGGTTTCCACCCCCATCCTTTGCACAGTATATCATAATTGCAATTTGGATCCTGAGGCGCTCTGGCGATCTGATGCAATCATTTTTCAGAGTAAAGCTACGGAGCATTCCAGGACCTACAATGATCGATCCAGGGTCGACTGCATGAGCTTGAGACCAAGTGGCCGTGCTGACGTTAAGAACCAAGAGAGTAGCTACAAGCATTTCAAGCTAACGAATGAGTATAGATTCAGTACCTCAAGTTATACTCCGTCACCTTCATTGGAGGAAGAGCGCGGCGATCCTAGGAGTCGTTCTCCGCTTGTTGCTTTCTGAAAGGGCTTTTTATGTGACTTGTGTATACCAGTTTGTGCTGACAGCAACCATGGAGCCACCGGCCACAGTTCAGCTTGCAGTCTGTCAAGTCATTGGAGCAAGCGCTGAACTTACAACAGCTGGTTGGTAGCGATCCAGCCTCATGACTAACCCGCGGCGGTTGAGTAAACTAGTCGTACATGATACCTGCGTTGTAACGTACATACGGCTAGGTGAGCATTAAGACAAATTATCGATCCCATTTTTAATGGGATAAGAGGGCGTGCGAGACATTATGGAAAGAATTCCCGAAGCGAGTCACGAGAAAAGAAATTAAGGTCTATTGCGGCTTGCGCTCGACACTCGAGGTGCTGCCGCTGTCCTTCTCTTGCTGCTTCTCGTGTGGGAGCGAGTCGGCCTCTGGCACGTCCTCACGCTGTTGTTCGAGGTCCGTTGGGCCGTCGAGATTGGCGTCGTTGATCATCTTCGGGTTAAAGGAGAATGCGCCCTTGGGGACCATTGTCGAGGCGATGATAATGGCAGACAAGACAGTAAACTGTGAGAGATGTCAACATATCGACCTTGGAAGCAGAAAGAAGACGTACGTGAACACCGCCAATGTTGACCAAGGCACGGTAAATGTTTCCGTCCTTTGCAAAGACCTTGTCGATGTACGTGCCCAACAAGCTACCGAGGATGGCATAGGTGATGATGTAACTCGAGTAAAGGAACGCCATGACGCTACCGAGGGCGCTGACCTGGGTATCCGTGCTCTCCATGCGGGCCAAGCTGGCCTGGATAAAGGCAGCGAGCGAGACATCACCGGCCGCCCAACCCATCGAGACGGGAATGAACATGGCAGCGATGCGCCAAGCATAGAACGCCTGGTGCGGCTGAATCTGGTGCGAGTAGGCAGGGAGTGCCCAGACAATGAGCAAAGCCAGGGCGTCGAAGCGAAGGAAGGGAAGTGGCGTCTGGATATACGTCGTCGTAACAAGTACAAATGCGGCACCGAAAAGCTCTCCGAGGTTGGAACCGCAGACCATGATTTGCGAATAGGACGAGTCGAGCATGATACGCTTGGCAATGGCGGGTGAGATGGCGTTTTCGAGATAACGATGTCCATAGACTAGAAAGTGTTCAGAGGATTCCTTGTAGACAAGGGGATCAGGAGTGACGTACGCGCAAACGAGTAGCCAGGTAGGAGCCAGATGAAGCGGCGATGAGAGAAGCAGATCACAGCACCCTTGTATGTCGAGCGTGCAAACGTCTTGGCACCAGTGAAGACAGAGCTGATGTAGCTGCCTTGACCGACAGTGTGTCCCTCATCGAGGGCGTCAATGACCTTGGCCGCATCTGAACCGTGGTTGAGCTGGTCAATGAAACGCCAGGTCAAACCAGCGAGCGCGAAGAGAGGAGGAGTAATGAGGAAAGAAAAGTTGTTGCCAAAGACTTTGATGAGCTTGACGCTGACCAAGGCTCCGCATGTGCCTGCAATCTCATAGAGAATATGGACAGTGGCGTCCATCTTCTTGAGCTCTGCGAACTGTTCAGGAAACTGGGTTCAAACACCAAGCGAAACAAAGAACATACTCTGAACATCACCACCGACAATGTCTCGGGGAATGATACGGCGGATGAGTTCCACCATACCATAGGCGATACCCGAAATCATGTAGAGCGGGAAGAGGGCATTAGGACTGCGTGGTATCAGGCACATACTCGGCAGGCAAAAATAGATGGACATACTCCCAGCTCCCGTACTTGAGCTTACCGCCGTTATTGATCCGGGGCTTTCCACCCGTTGCCGCGTCAATAATAAGGAAGAGCGTCGTGATCAGACCAAAGACCAAGATGGCACTCGAGAGCACCGAGCGGGTGGGGAATCTATTAAGATGTGTTGGTTCAAGTCGCTGGGAAAGGAAGACGGGAAGGGACATACGCCTTGATCAGAGGGGCAATGAGGATCGACCCAACGACTTGCATGGCCTGGTTGAGACCAGTGAGCGCACCGAGCTTGCTAAAGGTGTTTGCTGCCTTGAAGCGATCAGTGGCAAGGGTCACAATCGACCCATTGAATGCCTCGAGGCCGAACTTGTACTGGAGACGCCAAGGTGAGCGACCACGGCCAAAACCACCCTAAAAATAGATATACACACCAACATGATGCCAAGGATGTAGATGGCCATGTTACGCCGCTCACGGGCGGTGAACGAGTTCCAGTAGTCGGTGAGGAACATACTCGAGAACCGGGTGGGTGGAAATTGGAACAAGAAATCCAATCGAGGATAACCCATGGCCTTTTTATCCTGCCGTGATGAGAATGTTCTGATAGCGCATACAATGCACACAGACCCACATACACGTTCGTCGGAGTCAACGCGCTGGACTGAATTCGCCAAGATTGCGTGACGTTTGAATACGCAGGAACAAATACAACGCACGGTCTTCGTTGAATCGTCCATAGAGACTCGGTTTGACTCCAATCTACCGGGGGTGAGCTCGTACGACCACAAATACACATATTGCCCCTTTGTCATACCTTATCCATATCCTTTGGAAGGAAGCTTGTCCCAAACGTTTGTTCAGGTCATCCATCGCGTGAGCCTCCTCACGCAACCACCACGAGACGAGCAAATGAAAGCGCACGCGCTCATTGCCAAGAAGACAGACGAGTGTATTCCCCGACTATCGCTTCTTGCAGCCTCTTCACTCATATACGGTTGGTCGGGCGGCCTGGCTTCCGTCAATCCCTCACGCACGTTTGTCCCTTACGGGCCAGAGCCCCCTTGCTCCGAAACGTCCATCGCCATTGTACGCGTAAATTATTACGAAAACTATGTCGCTTGAATGGGTAGACTCGAATCAGATTAGCCTGCGTTTCCTCATTCGCCACCGACTCGATGGGTCACGATCGACCGAGATCCTTGTCAGGTACATTTCCGAAGGAAAGTCCGAATAATGCAGGCCTCGCTTGTTTGCTTCGGTAGACTTCTAGCGGCTTCGTTCATAGCGTCGACGAATGGATCGAGAACGAGTGTGATTCAAAGAGAGCGAAGTGTCTTGTACAAGTTTTATGCTTGGATGAGGAAAACGGCAGTATACGCGGGGACGACGATATACTGACGATTGGTAATCGAGACAGTCGTCTATAAATCCAGTGAGCCATGGTTCGCGATACTCGACAAAGAGGGCGTACCTGCCACTTGGCGACTCCGGCAGCACCACCGAAATGGCGCATAAAGTAGTTGCCATGCGGAACGTTGCTGAGGTCCATACCCAGTGGTTTGGTATCCTTATTCACAATGACCATCGAGAGCTTGTTGCCCTCAGTCGCTGCGTAGATACCGTACGTGTTAGCCGCATTGCTCGTCGCAAAGTTGACTTGAGCAGTCTTGGAGCCAAAGTAGGTACCGAAGCCACGGTAGAGCCAGTACGCCAGTCCGACAGGGCCTTTAGAGTCGGGGTTCGACCAGTAGGTAGCGACGTCGACACCATAACGGCCGAAAAGACCAAGGACATCGACCGTGACGAGACCACCGGTAATATCACCATCGGCGGTGGAGGACCACTCGGAAATGGAGAGCTTGGTTCCAGGGTAGTTGATGTCGATGAGCTGCTTCATCCGTGGGATCAGCCAGATAGCCGTAGGATTGGGTTGGTGGTTTTGAGGGTTCGAGCCGGCCCATGATTCGTCGACGTACGATGGATCTACCAGATATCAGATTATTGCTCATGGTGCCATGCAAAGGCCAACTCACCCCAGAGTGAACGCGTCATGCGCAGACGGAGAGCCTTGGCCGCTGCGTCGTTGGCACTAAGATCAGGCTGGAAGTAGTAGTGGATGTCAAGGTAGTCTGTACACAGTCAGCAACGTGGTTCTGACCAGTTGAACGACATACCGAGAAGTCGCTTGCCTGCAGTAGTCGAGGCAGTCTTCATCTGCGACAGGAACCACGGAAGGAAATCAATGTTCCAGTGAGCGGCATTGTCAGAATAGCCGACTGCGCTCGTCCAGTAGAACCACCAAGAGCAACTGGAAGGAGCAGCGACTTTGGCGTTTGGAAGAGCCTCCTTTGCCATCTTGGCGTAGGTGACCATGCGGTCCAGCTCTTCATCATAGGACATTGGTCTACATCAATCAGTCTTGGCTTGGTATTATCACTGTAGACGACGTACTGCGGGTGGATATCTTGATGGGTGCTGTGCGCGATTTCAATCTCATTGTCGATGAACACAAAATCGGGCTTGTTCGTGAGTCCCGTGAGCCACTTCTTAGCGGCAGTCGTGTTCCAGGGCACATAGGCTCTATTCGGGTCCGGAGGAGGTTGAATGTACGAGCCGTTCGGGTAGAGACCGTTGCCGGCATCGGCATTGTATGGGTCGAACCGCTGCTGGTCTATAACAGATTAACAAGGTTCACGGTATCAAGAGCGTACGTACTAGGATAGATACTCTTCGGGTAAGAGTACGAAGTTGCGTCCTTGGCAACCCAATCCAAGCTAAAGCCTATGAGGGAGAAAATTACAGACAAGGAAATAGACACTTACGCTGGAATCGTCATCATGGCCTGGCTTCCTGCTGCCTTGATCCACCCGATCCACGAGTCAGCATTGCCGCCGTCCGCTTTGCGGTTCTCAAAGAACCAATCGTTTGCCGCGTTGGTAAAGTCTCCGAACGGGTTGTACGCCGTGACCTATCAACTTTTAGATATGATTAGATGACAATAGAGTCGACCACTTACAGCATTTCCACCCCATCGACTGATCGTAACACCAAGCTGTTGGATATACGAAGCAGAAGGCGGCCAGTTGACGCCATAGATGAGTGGACTGATAGGCGTGGAGACCGCAGTCACAATGCTAATGACAATGTCAGACACGGGGTGGAGTCCATGGTCTGTGTGAACATACCTCGCATATTGCACCGTCGGGAGGGTATAGCTGACGTCGAGAGAGCCAGCTTTGACTTTGATCAAGCCAGGTTGGAGGTTGGAGGCGAGCTTCAGGTAGTTGATGGTGCGGGATGGTGTGTCTGCAGGACTGAACGTCGTAATATTTGTCACCGAGATCGTCTAGCCAAACCGTCAGTATAAAACCCTATCTCCTGAAAGAGAACGTACGGCATTGTTGAGGGAGACGGTGAGGTTCTGAAAGTCGACGGTGCCTTGCGTGGTCACGGCGAGAATGTTGTTGGCAATAGGTTCTGCACTTAGGAACTCGGGTTTGACGATAATCGACTGTGGAAGAGTTATGAGAGAATGTGAGACAAGGTCAGAGGAACGAACCGTAAGGAGTCGAATATTGTCAAGATGGTACTGCAGATTGATTAGTCGAGTCGCAGACGATTAGGGATGAACTCACCGTTGCACCGTCACCAAGTGCCTGCCAGTTGATTCTGTCCCACGTGCCGGGCCCGAGCGGGGCGCCACTCGGTGGAAGAGCATTGAAGTCGACAACAACCGTAGTGAACGAGTTGGGATTGATCGCGTTGCTAAGCGCGGAAATAGGAATCGTCGCAGACTGCGAGTTATCCGTGGTGCTCTGGAAATAGAGCTGGAGCTGACTTGGGTTGCAAGCAATGTCAAACTTTAGGCCTGCATACGAGCCAAACGTTGTCGGGTCTTTGAGGGAGATGGCGGACCATGCCTGGGACGTGGCCGAGATTGACGAGTCGCCGACTTTGAGGTCGGTGGCGGCCCAGTTGATGTCAGTGTTCCATCCCCAGTTTTGCCAACCGCCGTTGAGCGCCCCGTCGATATAGATATCTTCATCTGCACGAGCGAGTGTGGTGATAAAGAGAGCGACCAATGCCGCGAGAGGAATCATCGCGGGCGAGAACCTAGCTAGACAAGGTTGTGGACAAGGATGGACGAGAGACGTTCTGAGCGAGTGTGTAGCGCTATTGGCCATTTTATGTCGCCAGTCCTCCCTGGAGGATTTGCGGGTTATTTCGAGGGGGTTGGAACGAGGTCGGCCAGATGTCGGTCTCCCATGCGAAGTTCTGGAGAGACGACATGTTGTTCAGTCACACAAGTAAATGTGCAGGTCGTGATAGTAATCTAGCGGGGTGTCGGCTTCGGCTCAACTACGCCCTGGCTCGACGTGTAGGAGTCGTCGCCGATACGGCATCGGGATGAAACCTGATTGTATACCCCTTTTCTTGGTTCTTCGCCCACTTTACGCTCTGATCGCGTGCGCTAGAACGTGACCGCGTGGGCAATAGCGAGTTCAAGTTGCGGTGCGGGCCGTCGACTCTCGACACGTTTCTCCCGAACGCCTTGATTGCTTTGGTTTCACGAGTAAATTTAGCCATCCTCTTCCGCGCCCATCGTTGACACCGATTTGCCCTCGGGTCGTCGACGGGTTCAAGAAGCACAACTTGCACCTGCCGCCTGGGGACATATTCCGAGTTTACAGTCGTAGAACATTTTTAATACACACAGACTACATCGTGCAATTCTACGCTTGGCGAAGGAAAACGGCGGTATACGACGGAACGACGATATACTGGCGGTTCGTGATCGAAACGGTTGTCTGTAAGGACAAATAAGTGACTAATCTTGGTAAAATAGATAAAAGAGACGTACCTGCCACTTTGCAACCCCAGCCGCTCCACCAAAATGGCGCATAAAGTAGGTAGCGTGCGGCAAATTACTCAGGTCAAAACTAAGTGGTTTTGTATCCTTGTTGAGGATCACCACGGATAGCTTGCTACCCTCCGTTGCCGCATAGATACCGTAGGTATTCGCCGCATCGCTGTTTGCAAAGTTGACTTGTGCAGTCTTGGAGCCAAAGTACGTTCCGGCTCCACGGTAAAGCCAGTAGGCCAACCCAACTGGCCCTTTGGCATCTGGTGTAGCCCAATACGTGGCCGCGTCGAGGCCGTAGCGACCAAAGATACCCAGAGTATCGACCGTGACGAGGCCACCGGTAACGTCACCATCATTGCTTGAAGACCACTCGGAGATGGATAGCTTTGTGCCGGGATAGTTGCTGGCGATCAGCTGCTTCATGCGCGGAATGAGCCAGACGGCGTTTTGATTAGGTTGATGGTTCTCCTTGTTGGTACCAATCCACGATTCATCGACATATCCGGGATCTAACTAGGCTTAGTGGCTAGTTGATGGACTACGTAAAATAGACTCACCCCAGAGCGAGCGTGTCATGCGCAGGCGGAGAGCCTTCGCAGCCGCATCATTGGCACCTGTATCCGGGGCATAGTAGTAGTGAATGTCGAGGTAGTCTAAACCCCTGTTAGATACATCCGACCATTGTTTATGACATACCAAGCAGCCTCTTGCCAGCAGTTGTCGAGGCAGATTTCATCTGCGCCAAGAACCAGGGCAAAAAGTCGACATTTCCGTGAGCAGCATTGTCCGTATAGCCGATGGCACTCGTCCAGTAGAACCACCAAGCGCAGGTGGAGGGAGCAGCAATGTTAGTCGTTGGCAGCACCTCTTTCGCCGCCTTGGCATATGCGATCACACGGCTGAGCTCCTCGTCGTATGACACGGGTCTACATGCACTTAGCTCCCTCTAAACGATTCGAGTCAATAGCGGACGTACTGTGGATGGATATCTTGATGCGTAGCGTGCGCAATCTCGATCTCGTTGTCGACAAATAAGAACTCGGGTTTATTCTTGAGCTCCTTGAGCCACTTCTTCGCAGCAGTCGTGTTCCAGGGGACATAGCCTCTGTTGGGATCGGGTGGTGGCTGGACGTATGAGCCGTTGGGGAATATACCATTTCCGGCGTCGGGTTTATATGGGTCAAACTTTTGCTGGTCTACAAAAAATCGGGGTCAGCACATTTCCATCGCCGTATGGACAACATACCGGGATAAATTGTCTTCGGATAGGAGTAGGACGTCGTATCCTTGGCAACCCAATCCAAACTAAAAGATGTAAGGATGAAGAAATGAACAGAATCATGTCTCATACCCCGGAATGGTCATCATAGCCTTGCTTCCAGCGTCCTTGACCCAGCCAATCCACGAGTCGGCATTGCCCCCATCGCGATTCTCAAAGTACCAGTCACTACCCGCATTGGTGAAATCACCAAATGGGTTGTATGCCGTCACCTGCTTTTTGTTAGCCACAAGTGCCGAGCCAGGCTGTCATACTTACGGCGTTGCCCCCCCATCGACTGAGTGTAACGCCGAGCTGCTGGATATAAGAGGCGGAGGTAGGCCAGTTGACACCATAGATAAGAGGGCTGATAGGCTGGGAGACCGCAGTCACAATGCTACAGAGCTTGTTGGCTATCATGTCCTCAAACGATGACAAGCATATAAATACCTTGCATATTGTACCGCTGGCAAAGTATAATTGACGTTGAGAGTGCCAGCTTTGATGGTGATCGATCCCGCTTTGAGGTTGGAGGCGAGTTTGAGGTAATTGATTGTGCGGGATGGCGTGTCTGCGGGACTAAACGTTGTGATGTTGGTAACCTTGATCGGCTAAGAAGAAGCTTCAGTATATTACAGGCAAGATTCTGGACACAAACGGTATTGTTGAGGGAGACGGTCACGTTCTTAAAGTCGACAGCACCCTGAGTGGTGACGGCAATGAGGTTGTTGGCAAGTGGCTCCGCGCTGAGGAACTGAGGTTTAACAATGATCGACTTTAACCAGCGTCAGTCGGCCACTGCAGAGACGGACGAAGCACGCACCGTGAGAAGCTGAATGTTGTCCAGGTGATACTACAGAGGAGTGAGCATATAGGGCCCTACAAAGAAGCGATTCTTACGGTAGCACCGTCGCCGAGGGCCTGCCAGGTGATCCTGTCCCACGTTCCGGCTCCGAGAGGAGCGCCACTTGGCGGGAGGGCACTAAAGTCAATGACAACGGTGGTGAAAGAGTTTGGGTTGATTCCAGTGCCGAGGGCAGAAACTGGAATACTTGGCGATTGTACGCTATCAGCCGTACTCTCGAGATAAAGCTGGAGCTGGCTCGGAGTGGCAGCAATATCAAACTTGAGACCCGCGTAGGAGCCAAACGTTGCGGGGTCCTTTAGAGAAAGAGCGGACCAGGCCTGGGAAGTGGCTGAGATGGACGAGTCGCCGACTTTGAGGTCAGTGGCCGCAAAGTCGACGACGGTATTCCATCCCCAATTCTGCCATCCACCACTAAGGGCACCATCGACATAGATATCTTCGTCTGCGTGAACGAGCGTGCTGAACAAGAGAGCGACCAACGCCGCGAGGGGGATCATCGCGAACGAGAACCTGGCTAGGCTCTAGATGAATCAATGAGGGAGGAATGATTTATGGGATACTAATACTCCAAAGTGACCTTTATGAGCATCTGTGGATCATTTGCGGGGTATATCGAGGGGCTGAGAAGGAGGTCGGCTCGATATCGGTCTTCTGGGCGAGTTCTTCTGTGACAAGACGATGATCTTGTACATGAGTGAGGCTATGAAACGTGATCCCAATCAAGCGGATGATCGACTTCGTCCCTCCGGACACTTAGAAAGCGTCTGCGACTCGGAACCGACCTTCCATTCTGCATTATGATTAATAACATATTTGAACATACGATTCAGGGTCTCCAATGTGGGCACTAGCGAGCAGGACTAGGGAACCTACGGCAGCCGAGCCCACACGCTGAGTCTTGCATCTCCTTCTTCTCTTTACAAGCTACAGAGGCTCTGATGGCAGTTCTCGTCCGCAGTATACTCTGTTCAACAAGTCGCGGGCGGTCCGGGGCAATTCAAAGATGGTTTCACCTGCCTCCATTTCGGTACACTAATCATTCTCGCGGCAGAATTCAGGAGGAAAGACTTGGATTCCGCAGTAGCTAAGACGGATTCTCTCCGTGGACAAGTGTCTGAGGATTATGTGCAACTTGGTGACCTGTGATGTTCGTTAGAGAAGAAGTGCCAACAACAGTCGCACCATGCTGATCTTCAAACAGAACCTTCGGTGGGTTCTTGACGCCCTTTGCTTCTGCCTCCTCTTTCGAGGCCACAATGTCCGAAACTACACCTGTGCGTTTTCCGCCGCGAATTTTGGTTGAAACTTCATCCCCAACCTCAATGGGTTCACCCTTTTTGTCGACTATCTCTTTCGAGGACATGGCTTGTTTCATCTTTGACTATACTCTAGCAGAACTCGCAAGCTTTATACAGTGAATTGTTCTCATTGCGACATTACTGACGCAAATGATGTCAAGTCGTGCCCCACTCTCGTCGACTCACAAGCCGGACCAACTACTGTTCGGCACTACGAACTTCGCGAGGATTCTTTGCAAACGTTTCGCCTATGAATGCATCATTAGAAGGCATACATTACGACATGCTAAAGTAACTCACCAGATTGCTCCTCTTGAATAATCACCTGTGGGTGTCTGGCGCCATATCTTTGCGCTTCTTCCTTGGTCTCGACAATGTCCTTTACAGTTCCTTTGAGACTATCTTCGTTTGCCGTCTTGACTGTGTCGTCAATTCGGATAGGTTCGCCCTTTTTATCGGGAATGGCTTTATGACCGTACTCGTGCGAGGCTTGCATGGTTTTTATTTCTGAGGAATCCTTCTTCAAACTTTGGACGCACACTGGGCGGTTTATAAACTCAGAATCGAGGACTGTGATGTAATAATGATGCAAGAATCTAGAACCGTCACTTTATAATTCGCTTACTAAGTGTATGGAGCTCCTGATTCCCCCAACTGACTTCTGGTCTTGGCCGTGGCTTCCCCAATCCGAAACGAAGGTGAAGGATGGTGGCAGCACTGTATGAACTTAACAGACGCCACGAGCGACTGCCTCTCGACTTTGGGCGCTATTCGTCTCCATTAAGCCAAAGATATCGCATTATTCGTAAAACCGGTGCAACAAGTAAATCTGGTCGCCCGCTGAGCAAGGGTCGTTGGATCTAACCTCCAAGGGAACACAGGGATCGTCCTTTCCGCTCCGTTATGAAGGTACCGTGTTCTGTTTGCAGATTATATGCCATTTTTACACTGTATCCCAGCCTGTCTCCCTTTTATTTGCCTTTGCAATGTGCGCAGCACCCGCGCTCGCATTGTCTCACGACATTCGGGGGATGGTCAAGGCCCCAACAAGCGTCGAAGTAGGCCTTTTATATCCTTAACCACTACTTAAACTCATAGGCTCTCTAGATTAACAAACGTCAATGCGAAACTACGTCATGTATGGGATTTGGATGGAAGAGCGGGATACATTGCGGCGACGGCAACTTCGGGTGCATCTCTGGTAACGCTTATCAAGTCGGTGACAAAATGGGCAATGTTTGTGACTACGGACCTCGGACATCGTGTCGAACGTGCGGAAAGCTCGATTGCTCATCGTCTTAGATGGGTTCACATATCGTGGGTATAACGTAAATATCAAATTCAGAATAGTACGGATATATATCCGAAGTGACGACTCGGCTACGCAATAATGATTCTACTTGACAGTCACCGTCGCGCTTCCACTGCTATAGTATCCCTCGGTGGCAAGAATCTGGTAGTTGTGAGTACCAAGATTCATGTTGTACTTTTTCCATGCGTTGAAGTGGTTGGCCGTCGTGACCGATCCACTCGAGCGCTTGCTCTGTCGGACGCTCCAGAACTGGGTAAACGTCTTTGTCCCCTCAATCGAAGGGGCATTGTTGCGAGTAGCCGTAAGGATATCATAGTTCGACCCGTCAGTGGTGACGGTACCCCTCTTCGTAGCACCCGAGGAAGGGTTGTAGGTGCCAAAGTTTTCGACGATGTAATACTCGATGAGTGGGTTCGTCGTCCAACCGTATACCGAGAGGTAGCTGTTGCCATTTGGCCTATAGTCCGCCGTGTACGAGATGGTACTAGCTCCAGGTGAGCAAGCACTCTCGTACTGTTTGAGCGGGTAACTCACCGAGCCGATCCAGGGTTCCACCCTTTACCGCCAACCCAGTTACCGTTTCCAGACCACGTTACGCTGTAGGTTCCACCCGAGCCATTGGAGTAGTTGACGTTTCCGGCACCATCAGTCCAGAACGAATAATAGTAACCGTTGTTGTATCCCGTAGAGCTCGGGGTAGAGCGAGTGACAAGCTCACTATTCGGCTCGGGGGCACGAGCTTCGACTTCGACGTTGGCCGGTTCAGCGGCGGCCAGAGCGCCAACGATGCCAACAACAGCGACGACGAGCGACTTGATACCAACCATGGCGAGAGGAAAAGGAGTGAGGGGTTTACTGCTCAAACTCACACCGAAAACTATGGGGGTTTTATAGGCTCTCTTTCCCTGCTTCGACAGAAGTTTGAAATTTGCGGAGAATAACTCGGTTCATGTGTCTTGTGAACGTAAGTGCGAAAATTCTTCAGTGCGACCTCATCTTCTCCAGTCGCCGAATCACACTTGAGAATTGTGATGTCTTGCGCACCTATATGAAAGTATCCAATACCAACCGGTCCGCGTTGCATAATTTCATACACTTCTTTCAAAAGAGAAGGTCAGAGGACTCCCTCACGAGACGCATTATGGCAGTGTGGGGTAAATTGGGCGAGGAGACCGGCCTTCGACCCTTCGTACTAGCTATATCTGATCTATTTTTATTCAGCTCGGCAAATCTTGGCGAATTACGAGAGCTGATGCACGTGCAATCAAGTTCACCTTCACGTGGAATATTAGCCCACATCACTTTCGTCAAACTATGGTCTCAAACTGAGTAAATGCTTTCCCTTGGAATGCTCGTCGACTACCCTCTAAAACTCCGGGTCCGGTAAGCGTCGCGAAAGAAGACGGTCGTCGTGAGGGCCAGAGGCGAGCGCAGTCCAACGACCAAACTTCGAGTCTCGGCACTGATTCAGTACTCGTCACCTCGGAGGGATATAACAATTGCCAGAGTACGTCTTCTTCATTCTAGTTGCACGATAGATCGAGCACTGCCCTCATGCGGGGTTTCCCCGCCACGGCCGCTTTGTTTATCGGCGAGGATCTTTGGAAATAAGAAGAACCTACTGGCGACGATCAGCCAAGTGTATACACGTGCTTCGAGGCGAACCTCGCCGAACCTCGAAGGGTGCTTCCGCAACCACTGGCAGAAAAGGACGTGCGTTCAGAGACTCGATCTGAATCCAATAGCATGGCTCTATACGATCCCAAATTCAAATTTGAATAGTTCTCATAGTCTTCCTGCGCCAGCGAGCTTACAATTGCCGCGAGGTTTCTGTCGGAGATAAATGCACTTTCACATGTTATGCGGCATCGAAATTCCAACGAATCGTTCTGTGAATTATCCAAAGTAGCTCCAGGTGGCTCTGAACCAGAGCAGAGTCGCCTTAAACGGAGACGGAGGAGGATTCAAAGCCAAGTGCCCGTCTGCACGTGAGCCTTCAGCAGAGCAGTCATTTCACTAACTGATACAATCCGTATTTGAAAGTCGAGAGGTCACACCAATGACCAATAAGAGACATACACGACGGAATTAGAGTCCATAAATAGCTATTGGGAGTAGGGGGGAAGGTCAGTGCCCTTTCGGCTCGTCACCACTGTCGTGGGCGGGGGGATGTTGAAAGGGAAATTAACAGATGAAGGGGGATATTGCGATGCCGTATCGTGAGGGCTGGAAAGTGTAGTCACAAGATCTGAACTATGGAATGGATCTGTGCTGGTGCGCGTTTGCATCTGCTGCGTCTGCGGTGACCCATGCACAAAGGATTGGTGGTTGGGTGGTTGAGTCATCGGCGGCGAGATGAATGGCGTGACATGCGGACCAGAGTTTTGTGAGCGTGGTCGCTCGCTCATACTGTCCTTGAGCTCTCCTTCCTGTCGCCGCCGCTGTCGCATCTTGAAGAGCAAGATGGCTATGACCAGCAGGGCAAGCAATGCGATTGCACCAACTACACCAGCGATTATTGTAGTAAATTGGTTCCCTTTCTGAGAAGTTGTAGTGCTGGAGGCTCCAGGCGCCGTCGAGGAGGAAGTCCCCTCGCCCGTACGTTCGTTGTTAATCTTGAACGTGGCGGACTTAACATAATAGTTTATGTAATCTCCAGTTTGTCGTGGCCAAGTAATGTTGATGAACAGCGGGATATACGCTACTGTCGCGCCATTATTCCGCGAAAGCGCTATCTCCGCGTCATGCGAGTAGGCATCGCCTTCCCATTGATTTGTCGCAAAGACACGGTCAAAATTGCCCGCAGGTAAAGAATCCGAAAATGTTTGTGATCCAACGACGACCTTGAGCGGGATGGCCGTACCCGCTGCCGTCTTGGTGGAGATCCATAACGGCTTGTAGCTAAACGTACTATTCGTGTATGTTAGGGATATAGAGCAGACTGAGAGAGACGACGTACCACTTGAGTGTGTCCGTGTTGGGGTACATGTTCATGTCGACGGAGATGTTCGCGTAGAACGAGACGGAGTAGTAGCTCAAGCTCGCACTTGGATACATCCACGCAGTTATACAATACGGTACATCACCGCACCACGCCATGGTCTGTGATCCAACTGTCCAATGATCAGTCTACTCCATTGATAATGGATTTACACGCACTGTTAACGTCGAGAGAAGATCTGTCATAATACCAGTAACCATTTTCGTTGACAAACCCGCCTCCACCGTTGGCCGCTGCAAAGGCATCGTACGGAGCAGGAGAAGCAGGCATTAGAGGCTTGGAACGACCAGAGGAGGCGGCAGTTAAAAAGCTCCAGTGCCCTGTGAATTATTGGCTGTTTAACTCCGTGGACCTGAAAGCGCGGCAACGGACCAGCAACCGCACATTCAGTCCTCGGACCCAGATAATACGAAGCAGTGCCTCTGGTCGTTGATTTATGTCGATCCCGGTGACCATTCAATGCCGTATGTCTCACATATACCGAAACCGCCCAAGGCCTAACCGGCTGCAACAAAATGAAAGTAAGATTACAAGTGCCTCGTTCTGTTCATATCTACTATCGTTCCTATCGTTGAGTGTCATAGGCTGCGAGCTGCGGATCCAATAAGTATCACACCGCCACCGGAAATGCATGGTCAACGTACGTCGAGGGTCAGGGTGCTGGAGCTATTGACGTCTTGGTCACGGTATATGCCGACAAGTGAATGACTTCTCTCGTAGAGGGACCCCTTGAGCGAGATGACGATAAACTGGAACGTGTCCGCGCAGTGCTGCCGAATATAATTGGCCACTTTGGCAACATTAGTGTTGTCCAACGCGGCATCTACTTCATCCAATACGAAGAAAGGCGAGGGTTGGAAGCTACCAGCAAATCGTCAGCGACCCCGCGTATAGCCAAAGACGGGTGAGCATAGACGTTACCTGTGGATCGCGAACAGCAGTGCAAGAGCCGCGACTGTCTTTTCTCCTCCAGAGAGTTGATCCATGTCGCGAAAACGTTTCATCGGGGGCATGGCATGGAAGGTAATCCCACCCAGGTACGGTTCCTTCAAGCGATCAGAATTCATGACTCGCACAATACACGTAACTCACCTCATTATCTTCTAGATTAAGGTACGCCACTCCTCCCATCGGCGCGGCCTTGCCCTTTGTAAGATCTTTGTATACTTTGTCGATACAGTCCGAGATGTGATCAAACGCTTTGCGGAACAGCAGAGTTCTGTCATCTTGTATGAGTGACCAAATCATCGTAAACGACTATAACTCACCGTTCCCGCCTTACTTCGTTGAAGCGATCGCGAGCGGCTTTCGATGCCTTCTTTGCCTGCTCAGCCTCTACCTCTGCCTCCTTGAGTTTCGATGCAACGTCTCCCAACCGCTCGTTTGCTTTCATGTTCGGAGCCATATGGTCAATCTCCGCTGTCAAATTCTGAATCTTTGTGTCGAGCTGGTCGCCGAATCGAGGATTTTCCAGTTCGTCGGCGTCAACGCTCGAAAAGTCGACGACCAGGCCATAGTCTTCGACATCTTTGACCGGAGACGTATCTTCCTCATCGACATCCATGCCAACTTCTTGACGAATGTTCTGAAAATAATCAGTCCTTGTGCTTGGGCCGGGTGGTGTACGAACCTCGGTGACGGGGACGTCAGATAAACCGCCTTGTCGCAGTGGCAAAGGAACCTCTTCTAGGCGGCATTTGCGGTAGATGTTTCCACGGTCCATTGCAAGTGACTGAATCTCGTCATTCTGCAATGGCTCAGCAATATTCAATCACCGAAAGATCTCACTCACCATGGACGCAATCTCCTTCATTGCTCGATCGTGATCTTTGGATGCCTTGACTGCAAGCTTTTTCGCACTATCAAGTTCCTTGGACTTTTCCTCAAGGTTGGCGTTGAGATCCTTCAACTCTTCCTGAATAGTCTCCAGTCCAGCAGATAACGAGTCCATCTCTTCTTTGATCGCTGCTTGTTCGGCCTCAAGCGTTGCGAGTTGAGCGCGTTGCGACGACGCTGCTTCCTCCAAGCGTTCCAACCGGGTACGCGTGCTATTCGCTTGTTCTTCGCTGAACCGGATTCTAAAGAGATGTGTCAGGGTTGCTCCAAATTTGGACGAGAAACCATACTGGTGAGTCAATCGGGAAATTTGAGTATCAAATCGAAGGCGAATCTCCGATTCCTCCTGAGCAGACTTGAGCTGCCGATCTTCATACTCCCGAATACTTGAGAATCGATACTTCTCACAAAACTCAGCAAAGACCTCGCTCTCAGCCTTGTCTACGACACTCTGTAGCTTGGCCATTTCACGTTCAATAGCGGATTGAGACTCATTGGCCTGCCAATATTGTCAGCTTATATTGCAGACGTACGCGCTGCGTACCTTCTTTAGCTGTGGAGCGAGTTTCGCGAGCTCGTCGTGGATATGCTTCAGTTCTTTCTTGATGTCGTCAACTTTGGATCTGGCAGAGGCCTGATACATCTCAGTGGCAATCCATGCGAGGGTGGATACCTTACCCGCTCCTCCCTTGCAATCACTAGGGCTGACTCGAGGCGGTTAAACTCCGTCGTGAGTCCCTCATCCGCTCTCGCACGGGGTTTCGACTTGTTCAGGTCCCTCATCTGGGCAAGAAGCTCATCTCGGGCCCGTTGAAGATCTAATTCTATCTCAGCAACCTCTATAGGAGCGATAGGTCGACGTACTCTGAATCTCCCTTTCCTCCCAGGTCTTTCCAGTATTGTGTGTGCTACGCCCACCAGTCATGAGACCACTTTTATGGATGACAGTACCATCCAATGACACCGCTAACAGTCATCAGCCCGGCAGGTGACTTCATTTCGTAGCATACCTTTGACGTCTTGCCCTCGGCCAAACGAGACCTCTCGCGCAATATCCATCGTGTCGCAAATGAGTGCATTTCCGCAAGCGTGATGAACAGCACGCTCGACAGACGGGTCACATTGAACCACCTCGACAGCAAGTCGTGCTCCCTTTGCCAGACTCCGCAACCGATCGTTGATAGGTTTGACTTTGATTGTATCAAGTGGTATAAAGGTCGCTTGTCCAGCACGTTGATTTCGCATATACTGTATCTTAAATGAGTCTTGGCTCTGCAAATCTTGTTGGCGGACACGTACCTCGATGCATTCGATACAGGTCTTCTCCGTATCGACCACAATTGCATCGATATTCCGTCCAAGAACAACCGAGACCGCCAAGTCGTATTTACGCGCACTCGGCTTGCAAAGGTCAACCAGTCTTCCGCGCACGCCCGGGAAGATACGTTGCAAATTTTGGAGATTCTCTTTGAAACTGCGGTCACGTTCCGTCTCACGCTGTTCCGCACTGGCTTGCAGAAGTTGATTGTGAATGTTTTGCAGCTTTTCATTGACCTCGCCTTCGAGTTTCCTGTGGTCCTTGAGTGACCGAGCCCTCAGAGGTGCCTAACTTACGTGATTTTTGTCCGTTCGGCCTCGTTCTTATCCAGATGCTGTTTCACTGCTTTGACGTCGGCTTTGAGCTTGGTGACTTTTTCTTCTGCCTGCGACATATGAGCGAACGCTGGAGAATATGTTGAAGAAGCGCACCTCTGCCGCCTTTTCCTTCCAGGTCTCATAATCTTGCATCAAAGTCGTTTGCTTAGAATCGTGTTCGTCATGTTTGGCTTGCAAAGTGGCCAACGAACGCGCTCCAATCTTGTAATCTCTGTTGAGTTTGTCGAGTCCTTGGCGTTCGGCGACGGCATGCGATGTCGCATTCGATTTGCTGTGGCAAGAATTAGTGGGGATTAGAGAACATGTATCGACACGAACAGTGCTTGATACTCCTCCAAATGTCCTTCAGCGAGTTTGAGACTGGAATTGGCCACGCGCTTTTGCGCCTCTGATGTGGGTGAGAACGCGAGCGATGAAGAGGGGTGAATACACACTTGTTGCCATCTCGGCAGTCTTCTGTACTACCAACAGATCCGCCTTGAGACGCTCGAGCTTTTCCTGCTCCTTGCTGAAATCGCGCTTGACTTCTTGGGCAATCTTCTCCGCGTTTTGTATCTTGCGTTCACCATGTGTGATTTGTGTCTCGACTGCTAAAAGTGCCGGTTTCTGCATCCATTAGCAAGTTGGAGGCTATTCAGAGCGTTACAATCGCACCTTTGCCTCAATAGTCTTCTCCTGCTTTTTGATCGCCTTTTCCTTCTTCATCACCTCGCTCCTCGCTTTTGCCTGCTGCTGCTGTGCGAGCGCAAGTGCGTCTTCTTGTCGAGTTAGCTCAGCCCGTATCCCAGCCAGTTCGGCGTCGCGTTTCTTGATGGATTGGGTATTGCGTTTGATCGTACTCTCGATGTTGTACAAGCGCCAGAGCAGACGTTGGATAACCAGCTCGTCCTATTCGCACGTCAGTAATGGCCAACGTCGGGCAAGGAGACACGTACCCTCTCATCAAGCAACTTTTCAAACTTATCCGCCTCTGTCTTTTGTTCCTTGAACTGCTTAATCTCCGCCATGATCCCACGGCGTTTGGTAAAGTTGAACGTAGAGCTCTCAGTAGCTTTATCCTGCGCTCGCTTGGCTTCTTCATAGTCCTTTGCCAGCTCCAATGATCCAGAGATGCGCTCAATAAGTTTGGTCAAGTCCTTTGGCGATTGCGATGCAATGGCCTCAACGTCGCCTTGGAACACGAGAAAGTTTTTGGCTTGTACGAGAATGTTCTGAGACTGCAACGCCTCGTCGTACGTCTTGTGGGTGACAACCTTATTGTTGAGTCGATATTCGGAGCTGCCTGCCATCGAGACGCTATCCAAACTCGTTAGGACGGACAGATATCTCAACAAATAGCTAGCATACGTGCGCTTGAACCGCATCTCCTTGCCCTTTTCGTCGACATAGACGGCCAGGACCCACGCACTCGTCGCATCTCCGTCTCCATCCAACTCTTCTTCGACCAGTAGGCTGGGAGGGTTCATTGGGATCCTGCGCGAGCTTTCGACCGCGGTAGATAAAGTCGGTCTTGTCCTGGCTACGCAAATACATGCTCCGCACGCCGAGAACAAACGAAATGGCGTCCATGACATTGCTCTTGCCGGAACCGTTCGGACCAATGATACACGTAAAGTTTTTAAACGGCCCGATAACGTGGTGTCCCCTGTTCGAATGCGCAAGGTTGAGTCGGACAAAGGGGTCAAATGTGAGTGACGACGACGCGTTTGGAGCGCGTAGACTGACCGATAGGACTTGAAATTGAACACTTCGAGTCGTATGAGCGGCATGACTGCTGTGGCGAAATGCTGGTGGCGTCCAAACGACGTGGACCACCTGCAAACATTTCACCTTTCTCACCCAATTCCCTTACAAACTTGAAAAACGAGATTCTAATTCACCGTATCATACAAAAACTAGGCCTTTTTGCCAGTCGCGAGTCTTCTCGAGCTCCTCCGAACAGCTTCACTCTCCCCGTCCAACTCATCCGTCTCGGCTTCCGTCGTCTCAGCCGCACTCATAGACGCCGTCGCTCTCAAACTACGCCGAGTTACCGCGGGCGGAATAGCGACACCAGCGGCACCACGCTTGCCTCGTCTACCCGCATCGCTCTCCTCTTCTGCCGTCTCCAACGCTTTGTCTTCTTCAATAGGTTGCGGGACCGATATCACATTCACACCGCGCTTGCCTCTCCCTCTTTGCGTAGGAGCCGCCTGAGACGTCTGCGACCCAGTCGAAGGAGGCTTCTCCACAGAACCGCGTTTTGCTTTCGTCTCTGTCTTTGTTTTTGAATCCGGTTTGGTTCTCGTAGATGGTTTGACGGGAGTGGCTTTGCCAGCCGTGGCTTTGGACCGACGCGTAGACTTGCGCGGGCTCTTTGTTTCTCCATCCTCTTCTTCGTCGGGGAAAAATGCACCAGGCATGCGTGGGCTACCTGCTTCCTCGGTATCGCCCGTCTCAGAGGGTCCCGTCGACGGACTCGGTCCGCGTAAGCTGCCGCCACGAGAACCTTGACTACCCCCTGTGGCACTTCCAGGAGCTATTGGACTGAGATTCGGCTGGAGAGTTCTCGCGCTTCTCCTCACACCCAGTGGTTGGGAATGTGCCTGCCCGCCATCGCCATCACTCGAGGGAATGGCCGTCGTGGACGATCCATGTGCTCCGACTGCACTGCGCGTAGTCCTCGATGATGTGGAAGAAGGCGGTTCGGGAACATTAATGCGTCCAATGGACGCTTCATTCGAAATCCTTGGTCCAACGCCAGGCTTGCGGACAACCGGGGTAGGACCCGCTTCGGTTTTCCTCTTCCTTTCCCCACACTATCATCCTCATCCATCTTTTCCGCATCTTCCCTCGTCATCGTATCATCTTCATCTCTCTTTCTCTTCCCTGTCGTCCCACCAGAAGCCGAGCCAAACGAGCTGTCGTGCCCTAGACTCTGTCTATGTTGCTCGAGTTTGGCACGCCTGGCCATGGCCTCTCGTTCACGCTGCGCGAGGCGTTCTTGCTGCCGCGCGCTCGCTTCCTCTTCTTGCTGCCTACGTTCCTGCTCGCGATCCACGGCCTTTTTTATCTGCGCCACCTTTGCCGCAAAGTCTGGTCGTCCAACGAGTGGTCGAGAGCGTAAAGGAGGCGGAGGCGCAATGACATATGACTCGTCTTCTCCTGTACTTTCCACTCTCTCCTGTTCTTCCTGAACACGCGACGCCTCTTGCTCTTGTTCATCCACAATATCCGTATCGCCATCATCCGCATCCCGCATCTCTACATCCCCAGAAGCGCGACGGATATGCGCACCAGGTCCCTTGGACACGGGTGTTTCCGAAGAGAGAATGAGTCCCTTGACCGCACGGACGTTGGGATCGAAAAACGCATTCTTATTCGCCACGCGTCCCGTACTAGGAGGCGGCGCACCACTCCTATCCTCCAATCCAAGACTACTCGGTGTCTCCCCGGGCGTGCGCGTGGTCGCCCCAAGCATCGGAGTCCGAAGAGGTGTCATATACGACATGAGTCCACCAGGTCTCTTGGGCGTAGGCGCCTTTGCCACCCTTCCAAGCGTCTGCGTCTCAATAGGCGAAAACACAGCTGACGACCGCGCGACTCGTGATCTCTTCTGCGGAGACGAAAGTGGAGTGACGGGGACACCACCATCTGTATGGAGCGTCCCCGCCGTCGTATTCGCAGCGTCCTTTCCAGGAGGTGGGGGCGTCGATTGCGAGTCGGGGACGATGGGCTCGATACTCTCCCATGACATTTCCATCGAAGGTCCGGCAATCGCACGCACACGCTCCTCGTCTTCATCCCGCCTGTCGTGCGCATGGGGAGCAATAGCGCGGAGATGGGGATTCGCAAACGACGTTGGGGGTTTGATCGCACCTTCGTTGATCTGGCTCTCGAGCACACGTCTGTGTTCGATGGGCAAGAGTGCGACAGATTCGCGGAGCATTTCGCGCCATTCTTCGTTTTTCTGAGCGAGGATCATGCCCGGTCGCTGTCCATCTGCTTCTCCGAATGCCGCGACGTCAGTCGAGGTAAGCAGCTTTTCGGCCATTTGCGAAAACTCGCGGTTCAAGCGCACGGCTGTCGTATAATCGCCTTCTTGGGTGAGCCGAAGAATGACGAGCGATTGGAGAGTCGCAAGAGATTGCTCTGGAACTTCCATTGGTGGCTCCGTGACGTATCTGTACAAGAAATCCTGTTCGAATAGCTGGAGGGGAATGGCAGAGAGAAGATGGATGGCAGCACGAGACGGGCGTGCTATTTCAAACGTCAGCAACCAGTTTTGTAGCATGAAAACCCAACGCACGGATGAGAATTGCTTTAAAGATGATATGGAGAGAGTTGAACCGCAATGGACCCTCGTCTCCGCGTTGATAGTTCCATGCGTCCATAAAGTTGACTTGTGAGAGGGCGGAGAGATAGATTTCGAGCGACTTGGGCGTGTTCATGATGGGTTTTGCCATGCGTGCATAGCGGAGGATGAGGACATTGGGGTCTGCGTCTGTCGCAATGGAGAGGGCCTGAAAGACCTTTGGGAGCGACGTCTTGTTCGATGAGAGGTGTAGACAGGAGAGACGTAGCCAACTGGAATGACAAGGCGCGTTAGCATCCCGTGTTTCCCAATGAAATAGCCATTATACCGTGGATTTACCCGTGTCGAGAAAGAAGAATGCGTGCGTGAGTTCGATATAATGATTTGGCAAGCGCTGCTCGACGCTGTATTCGCCATGGGCATTGGTGTTCCACCAGGCGAGGAGATAATAGATTAAACAGCTTCTCTTGAGTCCAGCGTGCAAGTTTCTCGTAACAGGTTTTGTGCCCGCCGTCTCCTGACTCCATTCGTTTGCTTCTACGACATCCCAGACATCAGCGCCTGGCTCCTACACACTAAACATCCAACTCACCAGTGCGCCCAAACCCCCAGTCACTACATACAATCTCCGTGACGAGAATCTTAAACGCCTCGACGGTGCGCGGTGGAAACTTTTTTGTTGGCTCGACAATGGCGGCCTGGCTGAGCATGTAATCGACAAACAACTGACCATCGAGTTGTTTCCTGCGCTGTTCAATCTTTTTGCATCGCGTGTCGTCAAAGGGAAACGAGTCAGCCGAGAGGTCAAAGAGCCCAAGTGTCGCGTCGACGAGTGCAGCCGTCGAATCAAACTGTTACTGTGATTAGTATTTGCTTATGTTGTTGACAGGTAAAAGGGGCGACGCGCACATTGTCCATGGGATTTCGACACAGAGGCCAACGTTGGTCTCCACCTTTACCATGCTCCAGGAAGAATGTACGCCAGAGACGATTAGAGAGTACTCTACTTAGTATCACAGCATCAAAGCAGACTCACGCACAGAGCTCTAAGCAACCACAAGCACAGAGCTCCACCACGACGACGGCAGCTATGGGCACTTTGGACCCTACAGGCGAAAATGCAAAGCGTATCCGTGAAGAGCTTCAAGCAGAGGAACTAGACGGCATCATTCGTCCCAACGTCCAGCCCCGCTTTGGTTTGGCCACTGCCGGACGCATCCACGGTCCAAACCAAGACAACCCTTCGTACGTCACCTCTAACACGACTCTTACCGTCTAACATCTAAAAGGTAAACGTGTTTATAGGATGCATAGTCTATGATACTATTGTGCCATATACCGCTTATCGCCTTCCCAGACCTCTTTGTCAAAGTCGGACACGTTGTTAATCGCCGGCTTGCCATCAAACGTATCCATCTAACCGTGATATTAGCATCAGATACGTATAAAGAAGCAAGCAGACATACTTCGACATTGTTGCCCGAACTACCTCCATGCGTCGAGATGTGCGTCTCGACATGGATACCATCCACCCTTCGACCGCCCATCGTATTCCCACCGCTCATCCCACGTCCACGACCAGCGACAAAGCTCACTCCACGCTCGACGTTACCCGCACTTCGATACGCAAGGTCATTCGGGATAAACGAACGCTTGCCGCCGACGTGGGTCGGACCAGGGTGGGTACCCGTGGAACGCTCGTGGGACGTCATGCGCTCGGTGCGCATCTCGTTGCGGATGTTGAGCGTGTAGAGAAGGGAGACGGCGTACAACTTTGGCAAGACCATGTTAAACGCAATGTGCCTATACATTTATCAGACGCGTGCTAATGGCGAGAGGAAACGTACGTGAGTTCCAGTGGTCGGGTTTCGAGTACGACTGCGTTGACGATGACACAGAGGGTGGGTGGAAGCGCGGTTTGCCATGTCATGCGAACCAGACGGTCAATCATCTCCGACGTGCTACGTCCATTAGCGAAAAGTAAGCAACAGTGGGTTATCACTAACCTCTGGATACTCGTCTTCTTCTTGTACAAGTGCAACGCCGTACCAGCCGTGATGAGCGTGTCGACGGTAATGGCAGCAACAAAGTGCACGAGCGACCACTTTTTGATCGTAGCGTGCTGGATGAGTCGGAGGTAATGAATCTGCGACGAGTGGTCAGGTGCGATCAGATCCCTGAGCAAAGGGACGTACGACGAGGATGGCGGCGATGAGCGAAATGACCATGCCGACGACCATGACAGCGCAGACATACCACCGCTTGGTGAGCATCCAGTATCGGTAGACGAAGAAGCACTGGACAAATGTAGCGATGAGAGCGGTCTACACCCAGTAAGTACACAACCACCGTCTCTCACAAAAAAAAAAAGTTACGAACCGACAAGCTGGTTGTATAGTGCCACCAATTAGTCGCGACGAGCATCATGGACACGTCGGGATTGGCAAACGCGGCAATGACCGTGTCCCAGACAATGGTAATGTTTTGGGCACTCTTGAGGAGACATAGAATGGTGAGGACGATGACGAGCCATGCAAAACGGCGGTGACTACCGTCAGCGTCGCGGTAGCTAAAGTAGTTTGCCGTTTGCGCCGCCAAGATTCCTATGGATGTTGACTTTAGCAACGTCGTCTCACTCATCAGGTGGTAATCTAACCTTGAAGGAACAAGTCGGCGAAAGTGCCCATGACCCATGGTGCAATCTGAACATTTGCACCGTCGACATAGGCCTGTGAATAGGGATTTAGGGTGATATTGGAAGGCACAAAGCCAGGGATGCCAGCCATGATTGAACTATGGAGCGGGTTATGGTATAAGCGGGGGGGGGAAGAGAGGTGAAAGACGTGACGAGACGTGATGGAGTGGGTTTTTGTTCGTCTCGAGGAAACAGGTGAAAGCCTTGGCTCTACGGCGATTTAAAGTAGGAATTTCAAGGGGCGACAAGCTCGGGTCAATAGAAGTCATTCGCCATACAGGGACAGAGGGCCAACGCCACGAGCGAATAGTCGTTTTGAATTGGGAGCCGGGACGGTCGGACGACGGCCCTGTGATGGTATCACTAACTAGACAGGACTCGGAGGCTGACGCTGGGAATTGGCACAAGGGGGGTGGGACGAGAAGCAGAGGTAGCCAGCGAATAAGGAGAGGAGCCATGTATCCGCCCGACAACCCATGTCGAGACGACGAGACCACGACGACAAACTCGGGGGCATACTGGCATCGGCGGGGATCTAATCGAGGCCGGGGACGCTGTTTTGGCTACTCGAGGACTGACGGCCGAGCGTCACGGCAGAGTGGGGAGATGAAAATCTGGGTTTAGAATTTAGTGAATAAGGTCATCCAACGTAATAGGCACTGTCATTACATGAGTTGATCCGTGTTTGTAGGAAATGACTACTTGGCCCTTTTCATCCCAACGGTGCCCAGTGGAGGCGTCAGTTTGGACTCTACGGACGCCGCTTGCCGTTGCCAATTTGATGGCAGAAATCGCATCATCTTCGTCTGTTTCGTTGCCTCTCTCGGTCGTTGACCGTCTTCCTCCCGAACTCTGGATCGGAATCTTTTCCCTCGCCGTCAGCATCCCCGGCGAACTCAACACGGCCGCCTCGACCATCTTTGACCGTCCAGGAAACCCAGAAGTCGCCCTTTTACGCACCCAGCTCGTTCCAACATCCCTCGCGATCCTCTCCACCTCCAAGCTCTTTTACACTCTCTCCGTCTCACTCCTCTACCGTGCTATTCTGCTTAAATCATCAAAGAGTGTTCATCTTTTGCTCCGTACGCTCAACGCATCCAATGCTCTCGCGCAACGAGGCGGCCGCGTGCCTACTCAGCACCAAGACGACCCCGCCGTCGCGGTGACAGCTGAGCTTGGACAAAGGACAAAAAGGTTGGATGTACGCGTCAAATCTGGTGATGCATGGAAGGAACACGGCGCTCTTATTGTCAAATTATTCCCCCTGCTCCCAAACCTCACTCACCTCGTCGGCTGCGGTAACTGGAAAGAACTCGAGCCAACCCTCTTCATCCAACCTCTCACTCAACTCCGCCATCTCCAGCTCCTTTTCGTCCCCATCTTCGTACCCGACTCGAAATATCTCACTCTCTGCCGCCAAATCGTCGAGGCACTCCCGTCCCTCTCCGTCATCGTCTTTAGTCTCAACAGAAATCACAAACTGTACCCTCTTCTCCCAGCGCCCTATACAAATCTGCGCATCCTAGGCAGCGCCGACGGTGGACTCTACCACGACCCATGTCAACCTGCCAAACAACTCCCAAATCTGCGCGCACTCCATTTGTGCCACCCAAACAGGCTCGACTTTGATCCAAGCTTTATGAGCGCACATGGCGCCAAAATTACGACAATCGATATGGAAGAATGCCCACTCAAGGAACTCATCACCTGCGCACCTTGGTTCCCCAACCTGACCCAACTCATCATCGACATTTCCTTCAACACCATTGACGCCATTCGCGAAGTGGTCAACCATCAGTCCAAGATTCGTTCCGTCCGCCGAGTGGGGCTTACCGTACTCCGACGGCAATTCCCCATACGATTATACAAAGACGCCTATGCGACGTTTCTGTCCCTTTTCCCAAACCTCGAGGGGATCCGGTTCATGGAACGACGCGTCGTCGATCTGTTGATGACGCAGAGTGTGCAAAAGGTCCGGATGTGGCACCAGGATTTACTCACCAAGCGCGTCCATCTCGAGAGGGAAGATGGGGTTTGTATTCTTCGAGGGTTCGACTCGCCTTGTGAGTGCGTTTTGCGCAAGTCGGTCGACCTCGTCCAGGGCATGGCTGAAATGGCCATACATCGATAGTCTATATCCAGATACCCACATTGCCGACCTTAACCCCTGCATGGTCCTTGTATGTACGTACCAACATGAAAATCGATTCACTATCCCATTTCCATCGGCTCAACTATCCTGATATCGTCTACATTCGCGTCCATGACAGACCCTAGCCGATGAATAAATATGGTGAGAGATGGGATGGGAATGGCGGACGCCCCGGATCCAGTGGGACGATGCGGGGTTGGAAGCGGGTACGACTGTTTATTCCCAACTTTGGGCTTGACATAGCACTAATTTGGTGGTATAGATGCGGGGCCGCGCTGGTCCAGGGCCAAGACATGTTTCATAGTTTCACTTCAACGTCTACCTGGACCACATACACAATGGAAATGAGATGAGACGACAGAGGAGAGGATGAAACTGTAGTGTAACTGAGCAGGAGCACGGCTTGTTCCTATAAAGCGCACCTGCTCGTCAACCACCCACTCCTCAGACTGGTTCTCAACTTTCACTTTCACATCCATCATTTCTTCTTTTTCCATTCTTTCCTCTCTTCACAACCTGTTCAGTACGCGCGTCAGTCTCTTTGCCGTACTCTTTGCCTCGGCCACTCTCTTGGTGTCCGGCCTGTCCTCTCTCCAGGTGCGCTCAGACCCAACAAGTGTGTCCGTGTACCTTACTCAGACCTTCATTTCACTCAGTCATCGCATCACGTACGTTCAGTCCCCCCAGACGGCTCCAGACTCGATGAATGCGTATGTATACTCACTTTCATTTAGTACTCTCTCTCAGCTCGCGGCACACCACGGGATGCACAAACGTCTCCAAGGCCATGCAGACTACGATCTAGCCCGGGCTGAGATCAACATGAACCAGGCAGAGAGAACTATGCAAACCAAATAATTGCGGCAGAAACAATGTCGGTGCGCGAATCTAACTACCATGCGCGAATCTAACTATAAAATATGCTGAAGGATAGTGTGCTGACAATTAATGAAACAGTGACGACCACCAGGGCGCTGCGCATCACCAGACTCGATATAATTACTACAGCGCACAAGCGTGGTTCCATATGGATCGTCATCAACGTCACCAGAATCGGGCCGACTGTCATGGCTCGCAGATTCCCCGCTGGCCATAATCGTCAGAGGAGCATTGACGAGTTGGATTAGAAAGAAACGTTTCCTTAATGTCGTTATAGCAAATAGTCGAATTCTTAGACGAAAAACGTCTGCACACAAGTGGATGCTGTGGTTGACCCGAGAATGATGAAGAGGACACGGCTATTCACTCCCGACGTCGGATCTGATATATGTCTGGGCCTACCCTTTACCCACGGTCATGGTAATTCATTACCGACTCCGGCTTTGACATGTAGGCAGTAAGCGCTAATTCGGTTATACAGATCTTGCTCCGATACCGGGCCTACACTGGTCCAGGACCATGAGCCTTTTCAAAGCGCTAATTCAAAATATGGTTACAACTACCAAGAAGGCATACAGAAATCCGGAAGAGTAGCGCTTAGTTCCATGTGAGAGGCGCGTCTAGTGCATTTGAGAGGAAAACCCCCGACGCCACGATATGATCCGTCATGTAACTCTGCGGCGGTGTAAGTGCGGCTCGCTCCTATAAAGACTCGTATTCGTCCACAAACCACTTCCTCAGACTGGTTCTCAACTTTCACTTTCATCTCTCTCGCGTTTTTCTTTTCTTTTTTCTTCTTTCTCTTCTCTTCAGAACTCATTCAGCATGCGCTTCGGTTTCTTTGCCGTACTTTTTGCCTCGGCTGCTCTCCTGGCGTCCGCCGTTCCGCTCCCCAAGTACGTTCAAGTTTGGGTTGAGGAATGTGCGTAGGTACTGACCCAAATTTCTCTTTCATTCAGGGGAGATCACGTTGCGGCGCACGCACACCACCAAGAACAAGCAGACCACCATTTACAACAGGCAGAACATCACCTTGATCAGGCAACGAATCATTTAGATCGCGCCGACGCTGCACGAGCGAGGTCAGTCCGCCAATCTATCCACGAAATGGTCTCAAGGATTATCGTGTGCTGACAACGAGATAGTGGCGATCATCACACTGCTGTGGGGCACGAACTTCAATCCGATAACCATAACGCGCAAGTTGATCATCATACGTCTCAACACGAACATCACCAAGCTCTGGCTGACCATCATGATTCACACCTTCCCCACCGGGTCATACATGCCCGCCCCAACAACTAACGCTGGCAGCCACTGATCCGCACTTGGTGTATATGAATCGTAAATCTCGGATCAAATCGCTCATATATTACTTTTGCTTGCATCTGCCTGAAGGTGGTCCGAGAGACGTCCTCCTTAGTAGGGCTTGAGTCAAGTTGAGCTGGCTTGATAATTTTGGTCCTGTTTGCATATGCTAGAGGTTGAATGAGCCAATTTACTCAAGCGTAGGCCGCGAGATTCTCTTACCAATTGGTTCTGGCCCGTATCTGCGTCGCCAGGGCATTGACAAGTTGAATCAAGGGCGAACCTCATCCAGTGTTTCACATCTAGCCGAGCCCGTTCATGAGAATTATTTCTGTAGAGGCGTGAATTTGTTGGCCCGCAAAGGCTCAACTAGTTCAGAGTGCGGGCAAACTGCGGTGCCATAGGTTACAGAGTGCGAAAAGTGTGCCGTTGCTACTATATCTCACGGTGAAATATTTGCCCAAACCAAAACTAAGCCGCTCAGTATTTCATCGTTGCCCTGTGTGCGCGCAACCAACTGACAATAGGCTACGCCATCCGCTTTAGCGTGAACATAGTTTGTTTCCATATCTCATGGTTGCCCCTGGCCAGCGTACAATGGACAGCACCTGTTGCATCCGTTCGAATGCAACCTGTTCCCGTCAGGAGGACCTCTTAAGACAAAAATAGCACCTGTGTAACGTGTGTGTATCGAAGTCAGTTACAAGTGAGTACAAGTCTACTCTAGAGGTCGGAGAACAGGGAAGTACTGCCTGTTATATAGGCAACGTTGAAATAGATTGGAAGGAATGGAGGTATTGGGGATGTAAATAGGGACGAACGACAGATATCTGACTGAGGTATAAGGGTAAATGAGTGACGACGGTCAGAAGGCTGTAAGGGACAGAATGAGATCAATGTAATGAGTCGTAACGGTTACTATGACAAGGACTAAAGTGATGAGAATTAATCCTTGATTCGCAAGAGGTTGCAGCGTCGTACAGAGTAGACGCGTGAGCCTGTCTGCGCGGGGTCAGCGTACAGTATGCCGCGCCTTCACCACGGTGTGGACACAGCTTACTCCCATATATACCATGACTACCATCCTCTGCCTATGCGTTCACGGCCAGCATGCAATGGGTAGCGCCTTCCGCCTCGGTAAGACTCCAACTTGTTCCTATAAAGGACACCTGCTCGTCAATCACCCGCCCCTCGGACTGGTTCTCAACTTTCATCTTTCATACCTCAACCTCCAATTTCAACTTTTACTTTCACTTTGTCTATTCGCTTTCTTCCTCTCACAACGTTTCAGCATGCGCCTCGTTTTCTTTGCTCTACTTTTCGCCGCGTCCGCTCTCGGGGTGTCTGCCGCTCCGCTCCCTACGTACGTTCAGACGTAAAAATTGCATGTGGATACTTACTCAGGTCCTCCTCCACTCAGTCCAAACCGGCCCGTCACCCACAGGCAATGGGAACGATATCACAACCGAAAATTCAATGAGCATGACAGATTGGGAGACCAGCATATGACCGAAGCATCAAGGCATGAAAAGCTTGCCAATAGGGCGAGAAAAAAGTTTGTCCGCGAGGAAGGAAGCACCGAGGAATCGTACACTGACAATAAGGTAGGGGTAAAGAAACAGATGCTCAGCGTCACCATCAAGAGGCCAGAGAACATGCAGAAGCAGCGGCTCATCATCAGAGGGAAGCCTTAACTCATGCACGAAAGGCCGACTGGCATCATAATCAGGATCCTGATGAACCTTGGTCCGACATCCGTCAGCATCGTCGAAGCATAGACGAGTTAGACTAGAGGATATATCTCGTTGAAACCCTTAATATAGCCAAATTCGCGTATAAAAGTTCCCTGCAGTAATACTCAGCATAGAAGGGAAAGGAGATAAAGTTTGAACGAAAAATGTCATTCGCGACCAGAGGTACACGCCAAGAGGTTACTGCCACAGGTATATTCGAACGGCCAGAGCCCGATAAACTAGAGCTGAAGATCATAATCGTATTCAGGAGATACCTGCTGTGCCAACCAGAGGACGAAGGCGACCAGCCTGAGTGCCACCTGTGCCACGTTTGCGCAGCCATAGTACTGGAAAGATGTTGATGGTTATGGATGATATCCTTGAGAATGAGGAGCGAAAAGGAACGAGTTAGCTATTTCTGATGTCGGGAGTAATGGCTGGATTTACGATGCTACCCACCAGTCCTCAGCTATGAGAGCAAGCCAAATGAACAGGAACAAAGGCGTCCTCTTCTTAATGGTTGATTCGATGCCGCTCGTGCCTCGTGAGAGGGGTAAGGCGATACCTTGTCGACCAAATTGAGCCCAAGTGTGGGGAAGTTTACTGAATACAGTTGGAGAATGTATCATCTGCATGCGCGGAGAGTGCGTAGACGTTGAAGAATATGGCATCGGCGGGTGCAAACTATCTCTAGTCGTAAAAAGCGGGAGATTTTGGGGGTAAAATGAGCAAAATCAGCGAGTAAAGGGGGAATGCTATCCGAACATACCACTCTAGGACAGTCTGATCTGTCGGTGGCAAAGGACGGTCGTCACGAAAGGCCTAAACAACATCTGGGCAGGGAATTCCTAGGATTCCATGCTCTGTTTCCGTTCTCAACCAATTTTGTACATGTTCAAGAACGTGTCCTTGTCAAACAGTAGAGTTGACCGCCTTTCAGAAGTCATCCAGAAGTTTAGATGCTCTCCAGGTCGGACGCTTTTGAAGAGACGATGAAACCGCGTATCGACCTCGTTCCGTGGCAAGGGGTAGGATGCCGAATCTGTTACTCCGGACGATCCAGAACCTCTTGATGGCCGTGAGACGTCCCGTCGAGGGATGGACTTCACTCGCGGTGATCCGGCGCTCCATTTACGATACGTGCGCCCGGTGGGTAATACGAATGAGGCGGTATGGGTAGAGTTTCGGTCGGATGACGAGTAGAGCTGCATCGACGTAACCCCCCAGGGCGTTGCAATTAATTATCTAAGCACATGATCCTGTGCATTTTAATTGCACGGGCGTGCTGCTCGCCTTTCAGTAGGGCCAACGGCGGTCGTCGCAGGCTGTTGCTTGGTCACTGCGTGCACGCAAACTCGCAAGAAATTCGAGACGGTTGTTTCTAATGCAAATAAGCCATTCGGAGTAGCCATGGCATCGACAGCGAACGGGCTGAACAGACGGTGGGTGGCAGCAGCCTCAGACTTGCCACCTGGAACCCAGTAAGCAAAAACACCGAAGCAGACCCACTTATTACCATTCCTTTGCTCGTCTCTACTACTCGTCATCTTCCCCGACGCCGTCCGAACATGCGTCAGCGCTGCTTTGCGCCCGTTTGGAGCGCCGCTTTTCTTGTCCCCAACCATCTCCACGGCCAACCGCTCAACCTCGCCGGATAAATCGCAGGAAATTCACTGTGAGTACTCTACACGACCATAAATACGCTCCGTGGCGTGGATGCTGATTTGCCCCTTGGACTGTCCAGCCGAACCTTTGTCCGTGTTGAATCAACCGCCGGCTATTATACACGCTCGCCACCATGTAAAGCTCTTTCCATTCAAGTCTGGACTGTTTTCTAACACTAATTTTCAATTTTTAGTATTTTTGACACGACGCCTTTCTCCACTCGGCGACCTGACTTTGTAAGCCACATCTCCCACAGTCGAGCCGTCTCTGATTATCCTTGTTTCTCTCCAGATCTAAATCGCCTCTTCACGTATTCGACCGCCTAACATGTCCGCAAATATGCACCTCGACTCTGAAATGGCTCGCCATCAGCAGTTTCTAAGCCAACTTGGTGCATCCGATGGAGGTCTCTTCGGTATCGATCCTACCCTCCTCCCAGATCACCTCGGTGCCTACCACGACGACGACAACGCCGGTGATGGTGACGAAGGCGAAGAGCACGATGGACAGGATGTTGGCGACGCAGAGCAACTCGACCACGAAGACCATGATGTACCCACACCACCCTTTTACAATGGCGAGATTCCGGAGCCGAGTGCCCGTCCGCGTGCGGGCACGCTCAAGTCTCCCACCAGTATGCAAGGCCCTTCTCTCGCCAATGGCCAGGGTGTGAGTGCTGGAAGCTCTGCCAGTGCTGGAGGTGCCGGAGGGCAGAGAATCAGCCGCCTTCCAGACCCACGCGCACAGGCGCTCATGCAACTCGTTCCGATGCCATCCCAGCTCCCTCCAGGTGCCCAACATGATCCCAATGGCCAGCAGATGAACGACCTTGGAGGAATGCACAACTATGACGACCCGCGATACAACACACCAACAGGCGGTGCCCAGCCGGGTATGCTCCCTCATCCGGCCATGCTCATGGCGCCTGGACTCGCGCCCGTGGGGCTCTCGACCGCTAACCCTGCCGATCAAGTTGGGACGTGGACTGAATCCGTCAACGCCTATTGGCAGCCGATGGGGTTGCCCGCTTTCCAGGCGCCCGTGCTCGTTTCCGGTGGACTGGCGGCGACCATTCGAGATGCGCGGATTGCATGGATGGTGGGCGAAAGCGTATGTGGGCATCCGTCGTGCTTGGGGCGGCGCTTTGAGCGCAAGACGAATTTGCTCAAGCATCTCCTCACGCACGTCGAGGCGCGCCCATACGTTTGTCCAGTCCAAGGTTGCGATCAGGCGTTTAAGCAAAAGTGGTTGCTCGATCGTCACGGTCGCGTTCATTCCACCAACAAGTAAGACGTCTCGTATCGAATGGTGACTCGTACTTACACGTGACTAGGGAGGTGCACAAGTGTCCCGTTCCCGGTTGCACGACGACGTGCTCTTCGCTCTATAACCTTCGTAATCACGAGCTTGTTCATTCCGAGACCAAGTACGTCTCCGCGGTCGCCTATTTTTGTCATTGCGAATGCGTTCTAACCCCTCTTTTAGAAAATTCTTGTGCGAGTTCGAAAACTGTGGGCGTACCTTTGCAACCGCGCGAAACTTGCGACTTCACCAACGCACGCACACGGGAGATAAGCCATTCGCATGTGATTATCCTGGATGCGGAATGCGCTATCATCGACCAGCACATTTGAAGAGACATCAAGAGATTCATTCCGACAACCCGTACGTCTGTTCCATCTTCTCGCGTTGTTCCCTCCACCTATTTCTGGAAGCGCCACCATTCATTCCGCCCATTCATCTGCTGAAGCATGAACTAACATGCAACAGGAAGCCAAAAGCTCGCAAGCGCAAGGACGGCACCAGCACGACCACCGGTCGCCGTAATCGTCGCACCAACTCGGAGTTGGACAACGAGATTGATGAACTCGCCGGTGATGCGGACGCGTATATGGCTCGACTCAACGCAGCGGGCTCGGCCAATGGCGACGAGGAGGCGGGTGTTCGTGCTCGACCTCGTCGTTCCGCTGCCGTCGCAGCAATGCAAGCCAATCGAAGCAAAAAATACCAAGACGTTGATTTCGGTGATGACGGCGAAGAAGAGGAGGAAGAGGATGATGAAGATGACGAGGATGAAGTTGGTCCCGATGGCGACGCTGGTATGGACGAGGACGATGAAGAGGACGACGAAGAAGAGGACGCGGATGGGTATCGTGGATATGCAAAACGTAGTGGATTCACCCCTGGACGCAAGGGTGCTCCGGCTGGACCGACCATGGGTGGAGTTCCGGCCATCGCATACCCTATGCCTGGCTATGGACAACATGCGTAAACGACAGATCATCACGGTTGAATCCTCGCTCCACTACCAAGGTCAGCAACTTTGCCCAACTCGACTCTTACGGCTCGCTTTCACAACTCTTCTTGCCCACTATTGACTCTCATCGTAAAGACTACATCTGTCCTCATCGCCTCCAATCGACCTCACTCCTCTTTCTTGACACGAGCCTCATAACCGCCAGCTTACCCAAGCCAAGCTATTGGCACCAACCCTTTTGTACGTAATCGTAGCTGTTTTATAAATCAGTTTGTATAGCGTTAAGCCAGGTGGACCCTGCTGAGTGCCGGAAAGAAGGCTCGTAGGAACTGAGAACGAGTTATGGATCTGCAGAATGGAAAAAGTAAGGTAGCCTCTCTCAGATTCCAAAACTAGCCAACTTCGCTTTGAGCGTGCTCCCAATGCTTGCCAAACTCCACGTACGTAGTGTCGTGGGAGCGTTTCCCAGTCCCGTCTACAAATCAAGACCAGTATGCTGGTAGATGATTGGCGAAGCAATCCTGATCTTGGCGGTTACAAAAGTCTCACACGTGGCGATGGTATTTTAGAGTCATTAGGGAGAAAACTGAATGGTGCGTATGTCCAAGTATATCATAGTGTGAGAGGGTGTGGCGTCTTAAATGGATGGGGATGAGAGCTCTAGACAACGGCTCTTGAGGATAGTCCCACGATACGCGCCCTCGGCAGAATGATGGGGTTAGGTTGAGAATGAAGTGGAGGGCTTGGATGTGGCGCGGCTATTTATTTCTGACTTCGGAGTATGACATTTAAACAGCAGGTGCTCATTTGGTCGGACAGGTCCCTCCCCGATGCGCGGGCTGCACCGATTCAAGACCTTGACCCTGTCCAGAGTCCTTTGTGGACATATACAGATAGACAATTACAGGAGGAGACAGATACCTGGACTGTATCCAGATCCGTCTCATGAGTAGCGCTTAAGTGGTAGGCGCGCCTGGCACATTCGGGAGGAAGCAATGGGACATAGGATGTAATTTTGAGTAGGTGTGTGTCTGTCTCTCCCTATAAAGAGGACCTCTTTGTCAATCACCTACTCCTCAGACTGGTTCTCAAACTTCACTTTCATCACTCCCACTTTATCTTCTATCTTTCACTTCTTGCAACTTGTTCAGAATGCGCTTCGGTTTCTTTGCCGTACTTTTTGCTGCATCAACTCTCTTGGCATCCGCTGCTCCACTCCCCAGGTGCGTTCATGCGCGGGGAATGTGCATAAATACTTACCCAGATCCTCCTTTCATTCAGCCCTATGAAGGGACCCGCCACACATGCAAAGTGGGAAGAGCATCACCGTTCAGAGGCCGCCAAACATGCGGAGTCAGCAAGACAATTCCGGGATGTAGCCGAAATACACAATAATCACGCCTGGATGGCAGCAGCCAGGTCAGTGATTGAGCCTTATAACGTGCCGAAGAGTGGTTTGCTGACAATGAGATAGGGGTCGTGACAACTCTTCAGATGTTCGTCTAGCCAAGAGCAATAGGAAGCTATCAAGGGAACATGCGGATGCCGCTGCCAAACACCAGAGTGCGGCTAACTGGCATTCTCAACAGAATCCCCATCTTCTTTGGTCACCACCACATCCGCGAAGCATAGACGAATTGGATTAGAGGAGACATAAGCGCCCTAGATATGGCTGAACTGCTGTATAGCCGAGACGAGAATGTGTTTGCTCCCGTAGACTATATGTACGTGAAATCAATGACAACACCATTTGCAACCAGATTTACTCACCGATTGATTAGATACTGAATAATTAGCTCGATGATTGTTATCTGGTCGTTTACATTCACTCATCTCATGGCACGTAGACAATGAACGCGAAGGCTCAGTCGGGGCGGAAAGCAACCAAATGAGGTGAACACAACTAAACTCCGCGCACTCTCTCATACGTGTGATGATTGTCCCTCGAAAACCACTCTACCTTCTCCATGATCGCAGTATCATACATGACTAGTGTTACGGACCAGCCCGTAAGGCTCAGAGTCATCTGGATAGCTCTTATAAGTCATTAATGAGTCACAAATAACGAGGATAGTCACTTACCTGACTCACGATGCACGGCCAGCCGTAGCCAGTTCTGGCCATTGCAAGGAAAACCTGGCGTGGACGGCTGGGCGAAACTCGCCGGTATCAAGAGTCATCCCCATAGATGACTTGTTTATATAGGCGCTACGATATAAGATGTCGGATCACCATCTTGTCTCGGACTCCTCTTGCCCCCTATCCCGACTCCCTGCAACCATACGCCCTCCTACGTACACCCGCTACCAACTAATGGTTCCGAGATAATGCTTACATAAGCTTGTCGAGAGGTATAAAAGGCCCGATTTTCCATGTAATATTCGCTGGTCTGATATCTGATCCTCTCGCCCACTTCACGCGTTGTATTCCAGCAACTAAGTAGCGCTACATCACAGCAACCATCTAGGTAAATCTTGCTAGGCTTATCGTGACCCTACTCGGGACTCCGCTGGCCAGAAAGACATGAGTATCGTCTTTAACAACTAGTTGAAAGTCGGACGGTCGACGATGTCACTCTGGAACCACTAAGCGAGATGAGACGGAATAGCCTACATGATGAAGACCTACTATTGCTAGAAGAGGTCTCGTACCGTCAAAGGATATGAATTGTTGGCAAGAGTTTTGAGGATGCTCTTCGCTATGGACGATCATTGGGTTGGGTTGAGAGTGAAGCGAAGGCGGTGCGACTATTCATTTTCCACTTTCGGGTTTAATATTTCGACAGGAAGCGCTCATTCGACCTGCCAGATCCTGTTCCGACGCGCGCGCTGCACTGGTCCGGGAGCACAATCCTTTTCAAAACTTCAATCTTAGATCCAGGTAGTTATGGCTACCTGGACTGCATTCAAGTCAGCCGAAACACTGGCGCTTCGATATGGCGCGCGTCTACTACTCTGCGATAGAAGCATGGAGCTATAGGGAGGCCCAGACAGTGTGAATGTGGCTCATTTCTATAAAGAGCGTCCCGTCGTCGACCACTTGTCCACTCAGAACTGGTTCTCAACTTTCGCTTTCTACTCTTCTCTTTCCTTCGCAACCTTCCCTCATGCGTGTCGATTTCGTTGCGATATTTTTTGCCTTGGCAACTCTATTGGTGTCCGCTACTCCGCTCCCTAGGTACGTTCAGAACCGAGGGATGCGGGTGTGTGCTCATGTACATCCATCTGTCGTTCAGGGGAGTAAACAGAGTAGACCGTGCGCAGCAGCGAGCACAATCACACCAACGACAGGCAGACTACCATCATAACAACGCAGTATTCCATATAAATCGTGTTAATACACATTTAGAGCGTCTTAAAGACGCTGAAAGAAGGTCTGTCTGTGAATCATGCTATGAAATGTCCCAAAAATTGCGCGCTGGCTACGCTGACAATGAGATAGGGGCGACCAACGAGCCATTGAGAGGCACGAGAGCAACTTTGACTACCATTTGGATAAAGCGAGATATCATACCACCCAACGCGACACACACCAAGCCTGGGCCAACTGGCATGCTTCGCATATTCACAGTCGGAGTATAAACGAGTTAGATTAGGCATTTTCCCATCATCCCAAACGCATTAGATGTTATACATGAAACGATTTGGTCAGATATGCGAATGCTGCTGCGCAGTGGGTGACCCACGTCACTTTTCGACTCGCCTCCCCTTCACTTCACGGTCAAGGAGGTCACTCGTTTCTTCAAGGCCCGTTTCGGGTGCTCAAGCTCGAATATAGTGTGAAGGTCAAGGGATAAACTCGACGTCCTGTTAGATATTCAACATTTCGCCCAGTCGTTCTGCTCCATGCTGCTGGCTCGACGTGCGAGTTCTCGAACAGTAAGCGTGCTAGCTTCTCGCGGATTGTGGAACTAATTAACCCCCTCTTTTGTGTAGAATTGGCAATGCTTGACAAACATAGAACATGTGTACATACCCTCGTGGAAATCGACTCACTCCCCCACCCCTAAAGCGTATTACATCATAGCTTCGATGATGCGGATCAGTTTCACTTGTGACTGGTTGAAGGCCTCAAGATTTTCGAGATCTCTGGAGCTATTAGCCGAGAGAGGCAGCATGGAGACGTTGTAGGGAGCGAGAGGTGTCTGTCACGGAGTCAACCCAAAGATCCTAATCCTCATCGCCGCTCTGTTTGTTCCCACGCCCTACCCCTTATTAGTGTAGCTGACGCAACCAAACAAACAACGAACCTTGGAATATCCGACCCCGAACAGATCCTTTTCGGCTGGTCATCGTCGCGTCCCCCTCGTTGTCTCTCCGACTCCTCTTCAACACTTGACCTGTCAGAAGATTCCAAGTGACGCCACCGCCATAGTTTTGTTTCGTGAACGCATGTAAATTGTTGACAGCAGCTTTGAGGATGCTCCCACGGTATGCGCATGCTACGCTATGGACGATCAGGCGGTTCGGCTCAGGATGAAGTGTAGAAAGTGCGACTATTCATTATTTGCCTTCGGTTTTGACATTTCCACAGTGCGCGCTTATTCGACGGTCCGCCAGATCCTGTTCCGATGCGCGCGCTGCACTGGTCCGGGACGATGAAACTTTTCAAACATGAATTAAAGAGATAAATGTGGGCGATATAGGCGGTTACAACTACCTGGACTGCATCCAAACTAGCCGATAAAAAGGCTAGCGCTAATTACCAAAGGGACACGCGCGTCTAGTGCTTTAGGGAGGAAATAATGTTTATCTTGTGATGTAAGTCTTTGTTGGCCTGACGGCTGCTCATGCATATAAAGAGCACGTCCTTCCTTATAAACCGCCCATTCCACAGACTGGTTCTCAACTTTCACTTTCAACCTTCATTTATTCTCTCGTATTCTTTTTCTTCTTCTCTCCGTAGCTTATCCACCATGCGCGTTGGTTTTATTGCGATACTCCTTACCTTGTCTGCTCTCTTGGCGTCGGCTATTCCGCTCCCTAAGTAATCTCAAATGCGAGGGGTACACTGAAACACTCACCTAGCCTTTCTCGTTTAACCCTGCCGACCATGACGCGGTGCACGGTGCGAATGTTCAAAGTCACAATAACGATGCATCTCGCCATCGAGTCGAGGCATTGCGCCACATAAGTCTTGCAGGCAAGCATATTCAGCGTGCCAAAGAAGCAGGAGAAAGGTGCGTTCATGATATATGCGGAAGAATCAGGCGCTGACAATGAGATAGTGGCAACCACAAACGCAAGACGTATCACCTACAGAAATCTTTTTACCATATAAAAAAGGCGAAAGAACATCTCAGACATCACCAGAGCCATCTGAATCATGACCCCTCGCGCACTCGGCTTCCTCGGAGCATAGACGAGTTGGATTAGAGAAATAAGTTTAATGTCGAAAATATAGCCCTAATTTGTGCATGAAAATATTTTGCAGAGACGTTAATGTACCCAAGTCTTTATGGTTTCTCGTGTGTAGGGATGGTCACTATGAGCTGGTTTCTGCGCTGAAAGAGGATGAATAATAGTTGGTTTCACATCCGTCACACAAAGGTAGTCACTTCAATGTCATCTTTTGGATCAGCGTCCTTGTAAATGGGGTTTCTCTAGTGATCGCCACGGCTTAGCCTGCACTACGTCAGTACTCACCGGCCTCTCCTTGAGTGTTTCTGGTCTCGAATCAAAGCCTCTCGCAGGTGGCAGCGCTAGCTTGCTGACCACGCCACCAGCACTACATCCACTTGAGTGGTTTTGCGGGGTCGCCCGGGGCCCATATCCACGATAGCGCACGTACTTTGACCGTTTGGTAGTTTATGCGCTTCCGACGATGCTTTACCTAACGCCCTGTAGACGATAGATTCCGAAGGACTCGTCTGGTACTCAGATATCCAGGTAAAATCTACTTTAAATTCGCAAATAGCGCGACTGAAATCTTTCTTATCGATTCGGCGACGCCGTTATCACTACCAACGCAGGCCACTTTGTTGTTTACTTCGCTTTTCCACTCGTTTTGCTATAGTATCAGACTTTTGAGATCTGATAAAGGCTTTCAAATGACCTATACTATCGAAATGGCCTTCACCTCTCGAGGAATCATCAAGTTTAACGGTACAGGATACGGATCATGGGCCAACAAGATGAAAGGGTCTCTACAAGAGATTTATTTGTGGAAATACGTCTCTGGGAAAGCATTTAGACCACGTGATCCGATAGATCCGCTAGACGTAGACGCCGCCGACACCAGAGCACTCGAAGCCTGGATCATGAACGACAAGGCCGCAAAGATCTTTCTCGAAGACGGCACGGAAGATGCAATTGTACGGGAAATCGAATCACTTGACACTGCAATGGCACGCTGGGACCGTCTCAAAGCCAAGTATGAGCCAAAGGAGATCGTTATGGCCTTGTACAAGACTGTCTGCAAAACTGACTTTCACGGACGTACCGTCGATGAGCTCATTCAACATTTCAATGACATGATCAACGCAAATGCTAGGTTGGGATTGCAGAAGATGGCATTGCCGGATCCCATCCTAGCCATGTATATGATCACAAGTGTCTCTCATCGGGGATCGTCATGGGAGGTAGTTGAGCTGCAGGCGCTCAACCTCGAAACGGACGAAGCGAAACTTTCGCCAATGATGGTCCGTGACTTCTACATTAGTCGCGTTTCCTTTTCAAGACTACTCGATTTTGCGTCCGGTACCCAATCCACGTCGGGCACGCCACAATCTCAACATCCGAACCCCAAGGTCGGATGCTAGAAGGAGCGTACAGGAGCTGCCAAGTCACTCGCGTGTAACTACTGTAGGCGTGGACATGCATTAGGAGAATGCTAGAAAAATTCTCATGACGAACTCAAGGCAATCAATGCTACTGCAGCGCGGCCAAGCAATCCGTAGTGTACAGTACAGTATGATTTTGACATAATGACGCAGAGGATTTACTACAACTCCCGCTTCAATTCGTCCACAATTGAGGAAGTGAACAAAGTAATCCCCACATTCCGAAACGGGAGGACACTGATGACGATGGCCTCAAGAAAGTTTGGAGTTTATAGTCTTTAGGTACAGAAACGCAGAAATATTGCCTCTAGAGTCCTTCTTGAACGATGGTGTGCCACCACGCCCTCGCTACCCAAGCATAGACACCACCAGAGCACCACTGTTAGACAGTTATCGATGATGCAAATAGAGGCGATCATAACTCACGTGTAGGCAGTCCATGAACCTGTTCGCCCAAGCAACATGGGCGTCTGGTCTCGTTGCCGCCAGATTCCACACATCCCAATAGTCAGTGACGATGCCACTTCCCCAAGAATCTTGTGAGAGATGTCGTCTCTCCCATTTGTCCTCTATCGTTGACCGAGACTTGGATCGTACGCTCCACCGGCCGCGGCCCCAAAGCTCTCGCGCCACATCGTTGTACTGGGGGAACCAATGCCAATGGTAAGGTCCAGTGAAAGGTCCTGTCGGATGTACTGCGGCGTCGTCATACTTTGTCACTGGATAAAGCTTCTTCTCGCAATCTTTGTGACCTGGAAGAGTGGAGCGGTAGAGAATCCGGAGGTCCAAAGTGCTTGGGAGCGCTGAAAGTGATTCGTAGACTTTTTGCATCTATAACTGTTCGAGTTTGATTCCGGGGTGATAAGAGATCGTACTGTAAGGTTGTAGGCCAGTTGCATCTGAGCCTCTGTACTTGGCTTGAAGCGATCTGGCTCCCAATGGGGGCCAGTATTAATGAGCACGATTCCTGCCTATGACAAATCGGCAACGGGCGATCAGATAGCTAGAAAATCGAACCTTCTCGCCATCCCATCCATCGTAGTCGGCATACGATGCAAGGTATTCCCTCCACGGAGCCAAGGTTCGCAGCTGGATTGTCCAATCGAGTGGCTGCAATGAATCATCAGTGTGGTTAGGGAGGTTGTATCAAAACAAGGCTTACGATGCCCAATCCCTCGATCAGAATTTCTTCCATTTCTTCCTCACTGGCGAGATTTGAGTTGCGTACGAATCTGACAATGGGCTCGAAGAAGCGTTGGCGAGGAATCTTCCCGAGTAATTCATCTTCTTTCTCTCCCTTTCCATCTACTGCGCTGTCGTGTCGTTCAAGAAGAGCTTTACCGAGCGAATGAGCCATATTGAGGGTAAGATTGTTGTAATAGACCTCGGGACCGGTAGCATGCTTCCATCTAACGGGACCATGACCATAGGTCCGTTCAAGTGCCAATGGATGAGAGGTTGGATTTGGTTCACAGAGCATTCGATGGAGGGCGACGAAGATGCCGTCAGTGAGAGAGTCTAATTCGCTCGTTCGTCAGCAATTTTTCCGTGAGGAAACGTGGAGGTACATACCGCCGACCATAAAGTACCCAAATCGACTCTGCAGCCCTCGGATAACAAACCTTTCAACACTCCAGTCTTCTAATGGTTCTCCATCTCCTTTCATCCAGTCCCAAGCGTCTATGTCTTGCGATCGTCGAACGCCGCTTCCTTTAGGGTGAAGCTCAGATTCACTCCAACAGTTGTACCTCGAGGAAGCATCTGTCCACTGCAGGGAGAGATTTTGGTGGGCCGGGTTGGACTGCCACCGGCCAGATGAGAGAGCGAGACGAGTCGGAGAAGCGTCTCCGACTTGCAAGAGTTGGATGCGATCTTCTTTTGCAGAATCAACCGGATCGTATGATGGCCAAGCAGTAAATTTGTCCAACGGGATCACGGCACGGACAGTATCGGCATGAAATGTCCACAGAGAGGCGAGGAGAAGCACCCAAATAAACGTAATTAGCGCGATGAGTTGAATGAGATGTGAGCTCAGCCGTCTGGAACCCAACGACATTGCTGAGAGACAAGTTGAGACAACGTGAGAGAAAGGTGACTACCGTCAAGTGAATATTATTTTTTCGTGAATGTAATACTTGTTGATTTTCAGCGAAGAAATCGATGCGAGAGATATAGACTCCGCTGTAGTTGGGTCGAGAATAGACTTGCCAACCCCACCCGACGCCGCCTACAATGCTTGTCTCTGTATACTACACAGCCAGCGCGGCACCTAATCTAACTCGTCTATGCTCCGACGCTGGCCAGGAGGAAGATGTGAAGCATGAATGTCAGCCTGGCCCTGGTGATATTCGTGGAAGCGGAGATGAGAATTCCCTTGTCGTACATGGTGGTCGTGTAGGAGCTGGTGATTGCGAGCACGGCGCCGGTCGCCCCTATCTCATCGTCAGTGCATGGTTCTTTTATAAGCCTATTTCATGACTAGATTTGGACACAAACCTCCGCTGTGCCGCTCGGTATTTGGCGGCATTAGACTGTGCACGGCTTGCGTGGTGCCCTGCTGCGAATAGATGATAGTCTGCCTCTCCTTGGTGGTGATCTCGCATGGTACGGTGCATTGCGTATGCATCCAACGGCCTGAATAAAAGAGGAATTTAATTTAGTATCTACACACATTCCTGGCGTCCGGACGTACGTAGGGACTGGAGAGGCTGATGCTATGAGAGCGGATCCGGCAAAAAGTGCAGCAAAGAAACCGATGCGCATTCTGAACAGGTTGCAAAGAGAAGCTGAGAAGGTATAGAAAAGAGAAGTGAAAGACGAAAGTGAAAGTTGAGAACCAGCTCTGACCAGTGGGTGTTTAAACAAGGAGGCACCCTTTATAGGACAAGCCGCATCCATCCCACCGCAGACCTACATCGCCAAATATACAATGGTGTCATCCTTTCCACTAGACGCGCGCATCACTTTGGTAGTAAGCGCTAGCCTTGATACCGTCCAAGTAGCTGTAAGCTATGTTCGCCTAACTCGCTCATCCCCATGTCTAATTGAAAGGTCCGATAAGTTCATGGGCCTAGGCCAATGCAGTGCGCACATTGGAGCAGGATCCGGTGGACCGAATGAGTGCTCACTGCCGAAATGTCAAACACAAAGCAGATATTGAATATTCACACCTTTTCCGCTTCATTCTCAACCCAACCCAATGATCATCACATAGCGTAGCGCGCGCATACCGTGGGAGCATCCTAGAGGTTGTTGCCAATATTCATTCCCATCCGTTTACGACAAGGCACTTCCTCTTGCTACACTATACTTCGCAGTGATGGTTCTTTCGGCTTATCTTCCTGAATGACTCCATAGTGACCTTGCCAATCTTGAGACTTTCATGATATGAATCGCGCCTTGCAGACGGGGCAGCGAATCAATTTCACGACAATATGTACACATGCTCTATCATTGCCAATCGCTTCGAATTCCACGCTAAATAGGGGTCAGCTAGTCTCACAATCTGCGAGAGACTAGCACGTTCACTATTTGAAAACTCGCACGTCGAGCCAGCGGCACGGACATATACAGGCCAGAGAAGAAACTTGGCGAAATTTTGAGTAGCTCACCAGACGTCCCGTGGATCCTTGACCTCTGCACTACCTACATTTGAGCATCCGTGACGGGTTACGAGAGGAAGAGCGACCTACTTGACCATAAAATGGAGGGGAGATGGGATAAATGTGACAAAAATAACATAGATCCTTACCTGGAGAGCTGGTCCCACAAGAGGGGGTGCTCTTAGTGCTCTATACCCTCGAGGTCGAGCAAAGAGTGCCTCTAGACGACACAGTAGCCCCAGTCTTGAGGAAGATAGTATTCAAGGAGGTAGTTGAATCCAGCAAACGTTTCAGTTTCAGGCGTATCGAGTCCAAGGGTTAGCTCCATCTCGACAACTCCTCAGTTAACGCTGTAACTACCACCAGAATACGACCAAACTTGCCTTCCAAGCAAATGTGATGACGGGCACAGAGGTCAATTCCATGCACTGGGGCCCAGTTCTAGCGCTAGCACTCCAGGAAGAGTCAGCTCTAGGAGGGAGTGCTATGACGCATGAATAACCTGATATTTCCATGAGTGTGAGAGGTCTAGCTGTCGCAAGAGAGTCAACATAGTGCGTTAGCGGCGAGACATTCACGGTAGCGAGTGTGACACTGGACACAGAGGCGAGCGAGAGAACGCAAGCGAGAGCAGCAGTCATTTCGTGTATTTTGAGATATACAGATCAACTCACCCAGAGGCTCTATTCGAATGAAGTAATCGAATCGTTGGTCGAGAAGAGGGGTCGCATCCAAAGCATCTTTAGATGAAGAGCGAGAGATATGGTCAACTATAACATTTCACAAGTGGTATACGCGTGAGCCTAAGCCTCGACTCTCGGAGGCCAGAGCGATTACGTCAGGTCTCAACCTTCAGAAGGCAGACAAGTATATTTAGTTAGTTACTGTACATAGTCGCATGAAAATAGGAGCATACCTTCAGAAGGCAGACAAGAGGTCAAAGCTGTCTGCTTCTGAAGGCGGTCGGAAGGTTTTAAATTATCGGAGCCATGCGGAAGCGTGTAGAAGATGGAAGGTGTAGGGCAAGGGCATTAGTGACGTGAGTCGGTGCCTCGCGGTTGGTGGCTGTCGGTCGCTCCGATGGCTGTGCCGGATCTGCAGGATCTGCCTTTCGGGCATGCTTGTTATGTTATGCCGTTCCTGACATAACAGCGCACGTGGTGGGTTTCTCAGCTCCGCCGCGGTACGGAGATTGTCGGCGGATCCAAGTTGAATCACGAGTGTCCCTCAAGAGGATTATGGTTCACAAGATTTACCTGACTTTCTGTTCATCTCTGTCATTCTTCAAGTACAGATAGGCCATTTGAATTCCACGCTCACGCGAGTTTTGCTCTTCTTATCCGACAGCTGGAATTGGATCTCCGGAATATCCCAGCATATGTACACCTTTCACCTGCCCATTCCATGTTCTTCGACGTTTGTGCACTCTTGGCGCATGGTAAAGCCACTACCAGCTGCTCAGTACGACACTGTCCCCGTAGTTACATCCTTCGATTGGGCTCCAGGAATTTTCACTACACTCGACCGACCCACCGTCAACTTGACGACCAGCAGCGCCTCCACTCAAAAAGTCCTGCGTGCTATTACACGATTCTCTAGTGCTAGTGTCCACTGCAGGGGTTCTAATGAGGCGAGTGAGTGAACTTCTTATCTTCAGGCGCGGCTACCAAAGAGCTCAGCCATGAAGAGGGAGGCTCAATAGAAGGAGGATCAGCGGTAATTAGATACGCACGCACGCAAGGGGACTGTGGGATGGAATGACGATATTCCAGACACTGCGCTAACAGGGGTGGGAGTTGAACCGAGCATCTCGTTTCGCGTTGCGTTCCATATGAGGGTGTTTTGATCCTGTCGGCCAACTTGGTACCCACATGTCTAATGGTCTTAGTCGTTGGCCTGTATGAGCGAGCGATAGGGCGGCGAGTCCAACATAATCTGGAGACTGCCTCTTTTCTTGTTTATCGTATTCGCTCTCAAGGCTCGACCACTAGTAGATCACGTCGTACGTCTCGTCGCCACTCTCTATAACATATATCGCTGTCTAGATTTCTCATTCTGAGTCGGTCCTCATACTCGAGTTACTGTTCACAGCTGGGGACTTCTTTTGTAGTACTACGGCGACGCAATCATGGTCCGAAACCTATCCTCATACTGACTGCGGACATCCTTGGCTTGGCGAGGTATGCGTCTCCTGACCGTGATTACGCTCTCTAGCTCTCGGTTATTGGGCCTGGAGCATTTCAAAACGCCAATAATAGCAACCCTTTGGCGCGTATGTCTAGCTGCGAATGAAATTGTCGTTGATCTCGCGTTCACATATCAAATCCTTTACAATGACCATGACCCACTTGACAAGACGCAACATCGGCCATAGTATACAGGCTTCTGCCAGATATTCTCATGCACAAATTCCGTTATATTTTCGACACTAACTAATATCTCCTCTAATCCAACTCGTCTATGCTCCGATGGTGAATAAACCGAGCATGGTAGTCAGCCTGGGCTTGGTGTTCCTGATGAAGGTTCGTATGATGATCCACTTGTTGCATATGATGATCGTAATGAACCTGGTGTGCCGCAGCGAGCTGTTGGTTACCACTATCTCATTGTCAATCCACATTCTTCGGCACATTTCATGATTTGACTCGCGTACTCACTTTTGTTCTGCCGCGTGGATATGATTTGCATGTGTCTCTGCATGACCCAGGTGGGTTTCTGCTTGCTGTAGATGGTGGTCTGCCTGTGCTTGGTGATGTGCATGCTCCACATGGTGATCGATTCTGGATGAAAAGGATGTATAAGGAGGCATTCTCGTCCCCTTCTCGTGTCCAAACTCACCTAGGGACCGGAGTAGCGGACACCAGAAGAGCGGATGCAGCAAAAATTATGGCGAAGAATCCGAAGCGCATGCTGAACAAGATACGAAAAGAAGATGAAGAAAAGGGGTAGAAATGAAGATATGAAAGTTGAAAGGGAAAGTTGAGAACCAGTCTGAGGAGTGGGTGCTTGACGAGCAGGTGCTCTTTATAGACACAAGACGCCTTCAATCGCCTCGGACTCACATCACTAGATGTACGATGGTGACATTCTTTTCTCTCAAAGGACTAGACCTGTGCATAGCTTTGGTGATAGGATAAGTGCTAGTCCTCGGCTAGTCCGGATGCCGTCCATGTAGCTGTACTCTTCGGTACTCTGTGTTGAATTCTCCCCCCTGAAATGTTCATGCAGTTGGGCGCGCGAAGGAACAGGATCTACCAGCTTAAATGAGCGCGCGCTTACCGCCTTCAATGTCGAACCCTCAAGTGAAGAATGAATAGTCATGCCGTTTGAACGACTTCGCTTCAATCTCGACGTCATCTTATTCTTGTTCCGTGACATCGGTGTCGTGTATCGTGGGAGTACAGTAGCCTCAAAGCTGTGGTCCACAAGTCGCCTCTGCTTACGACGGCACATCTCCTCTCACTATGCTATATTTTCTGCTTTGCTTTATCGTATCTAACAGCTCCGGTGTATAGAGTGGCTCACCTGGTAGTTCGAACCCTGCCGACGAGGATGCCATAGAGTGCGTTAGAGGGAAAAGAGGCACAATAGCCTATGACTAAATCGGTGCGAATGCGGCGTTATCGTTTCCCACGGACGGATATCAACTCTAGACTGACATCGCCGATCGTGAGAGCAGCACTGGAGGCACGGCCCCTTCGGGGTGGGGTGGCCGGCCGAGCCAAGAACGGTTGGTTTGCTGGGAAATCCAGACTGTGTGATTATTCGATTTAATGATTTCTTGTTCCTCGCAGCAGGCATTTGACAGCGGCAGTGTGTGTGTTTTGTCTGTTAGCCACTGGCCGTTGTCCTCGACCGCCCTGGCGAACGACTTGCTGACAGTAGTTTCCTTGATTAATTTATAAAAACTTCCCTGCATCCCCTCTCGGCTCCCTACACAAGAGTAAGCCAAGGTTGAGCGACCTTGTTAGTGGAAGTTGAACTACCAAACCAAATACCTCGACTTTGTAGTCTAGTCGATTTTATTATCTAAACATCTAAACACTTGTCTGATCACGATCCACGGGAAATTCTTCTTATTTCCCGTTCACATATGTTATTGTTCAGGCACGGGCGAGTCATTAGGGTTTATTCAGCGGAGCACATAGTGTCCGTGCCCGAGGAAGTACGTCTCATATCCCTCTGGATTCCAATCCTTATGCCAATTCGGTTGGAGCACCTCATTATTCGAATGGTTTTCACTCGGCCGTGCCATGTTTTTAAACATCTTAGGGCCCTTCGGCGCCCGCAAATCCATCAAGCTATGCTCCACACGACAAAGTCCA